ATTCAAATAAATTCTTATAAAAATAAGTAAATCCTTTTGCAAACGAATCATTGCATTTTATTGTATTTATTTTCAAAAAACTTTTAAAAATGAATAAAAATTAAATTTTAGTAAAATGAATGTAAATAAATTTTAAGAAAACGAATATAAGTTCATTTTATAAAACGAATAAAAATAAATTTTAAGGAAACTTACTGGTGTATAAATTTTAAGAAAATTGAAACGCATGTAAATTTTAAGAGAGATGAATAAGTACGTTTTCAAAAAAATCTTTATGTAGATTACAAGTATATTTCAAGAAGAAAAATATGAAAAATGCAAGTAAATTTTAAGACAATAAAGAATGTAAGTCAATTTTTAAGAAATGAAGATAATTATATGCATTTCCCTAGGAAAATAATAAAATGAATATTTTAGAAAAATATAGAAGACTTCAAATAAATTTTAAGAAAGAAAATATTAAGTTTTAAAAAATTGCCTGCATAAACAAATTTTTAAAAAATCGAGACTATGAGTAATTCATTAGAATCAAAAGTAAGAAGAAAAAAAAGTAAGTTATTAAACGAGGATAAATTCGACTTAACCAATTCACTCTATAAAGAATGAGTAAATTCATTTAAAGAATAGATCTTTTTAAATAGCAAGCAGAAGTTAACGTTTCAGTCTTAACTGTAATTTTCGTCACGTATAAAAGGAATGTAGGTCAAGTGATTGTGTTTTTGTCTTCCACCATTTAAATATCTTTCTCGCTCGAGCGATTATCAATGGCTCGGCGACCTCGACCAAGACCAGATCGAACTATAACAAACTATGCTCAATAAAAATACTAAAGATTTAAATAACAAACAAATCGGAACATTTAATACCGCTCAAGTCCTTGATAAAAACAAGGTATATTTGAACTTTTTAAGGTTGTAATAAATGAATTAAAAGTCATTTATAAGAAATAGTTTGATAATTATAAGGAAATAAATTCATTGCTAACAAATGGGGGGAAAAAAGAAATTTTGAATTAATTTCTGAATAAAATTTCGGAATAAAATTTCTAATTAAAATTTCTAAATAAAACTTCGGAATAAAATTTCGGAACTAAGTTTCGGAACTAAATTTCGGAACTAAATTTCGGAACTAAATTTCGGAATTTATGGAGAATGTATGTAAATTTTAAAAGAAATGGAAATAAATAAATTTTTTAAAAAAAATAGAATGTTAATAATTAAAAAGAATTTACTACGATCGAGACTAGATCATACAACTGCAACAAGCTATTTTCAATCAGAATAATAGAAGTTTAATATCATGAAAATTTCAAGACTTAACACGTTGAATGCCACGCTAATTTTACATGGCTTGCCCGTCTGGCCAAAATTATTTTCTCAGTATGCGTTGCATATTTTGATGAAATATTATTTACAACAAAACAGTTAATTTTTGTAATCATTCGTGACGCATTTAATTCACTGAGGTCACCGGTGACCCCCATGGTATTCAACGTGTTAAGTTGTTGTTGTTGTTAATTTACGTCGCACTAGAGCTGCACAATGGGCTATTGGCGACGGTCTGGGAAACATCCCGGAGGATTCAACGTGTTAAGGTTACATGTTATATATGTATATATAAATAAAACTATTTTTGTGTGCTCTATATTGCATTAATTTCTTCAAACCATTTTAGTAACGATAATAATGTAAAAAAATTGTGAGCATTAAAAATTTACTCGAATTATGTATTTCTAATAATTTTGGCTTCGTCTGATACACCAAAAAATATTTAATAAGCAAAAACAAAAAAATAAATCGTCCATTTTGTTTATAATTTAATTTAGAGATAATTTTAAATAAAATCGAGGACGGATTAGTTGAATGTAGAGCGTATAGCATAAAATGCTGAAAATGGTACTACCACAAATTTTCACTTATTCAGTGAAACCAAGAGAGTATTATAAACTAACTAACCCTAATATTAAATCCGCAATATAATTTAATGATTGATAAATTACTTAGAGTCAATCGGAGCTTATGGGAGACATTTTAAATACTATTAAAACTGGAATATGTTTATCAAAATAAAAGGGCTAATATAACACACATTTTATAATTTTGTATAATTTTATTTTTAGAGAATTCTATATATTTTATTCCTAAATGTATTGGCAAGACAAAGACAAGGATATAGTATTATTTATAATTTTTATTTAGCATTCAGTTTTACGGCAACATTTTGAATATTGCAGCAAAATTCTCTGCTCCAAAAGTGTTTCGATAGATAAAGTAAATGCAATTTTTTGATGAAAGAAGTTGAGGAAAAATGTTCGGACAAGCCATATTTTATTTGATAGTAAAATTTTAAAATTGGTAAAGGCACATTTGTACAAAAAAGTATTATTATTTTTTGATTTTATTTATTTATTTTTTTTGCATACTTTCTTTTCCACATTTAAATGCAGTTAGTAAAATATTTTGTAAGATGCAGCAAATTAGTATTTCATAAAATATGCAAAATTTAAAAGATAAAGTTACCATATTTCTTTTGAAATGAAAGATAGTGTAATATTTGCGCTAATTTCGGTTGGGTTGGGAAAGCTAGTACATTTCGTGCGAATCAATAAAACCTAAAAATTACATAATTAAAGATGTATTCATTATTATGATGATATTACATGTATGGATACTATCAACAACTATCATCACTGACAAAGTAAGCAAAACATTACTTTTCATTTTGTGAAAGGTCAACTGGAATTGGATTCAAAGTTATATTTTAATTGTACCAAAGCCAGATGCGGCTATACTAAGGCAAAATTAAACAGCATTACGCCCTTATGATAAAGAACGATGTCACGGTGAACGGAGTATGTGTATGGAATTTGTTATATGTATATGAATTATAATTTGGTATATATTTACATATTTGTATGAATATCTATATGAATTTAATGATTTGTATGTCTTATATCTTAAAATACTTCATATAATATATTATATGAGGCATTTTAAGAAATCTTCATCAAAAATAAAATTAAAATTTAAAAACTACGTTCTTCAATTTAACTAAGAGGTCTAAGGTTTTTGACAGATCTAAAGTGAAAACGTCGAAACTTTCGAAAGACACGAGTGGATTTTTAACGCCTTTCATTTTAAGTTATGTCAAAGTTTTCCGAATTTTTATTTTATTTTATCTTTTCTTTTGGCTCGTTAGTTCATGTCCAAAAACAGTCAAAAATTCAATTTGCGATCAATTTTGTCAGCACCCTTTTAACATTTACTACATATCTGCTTATTCTGAATTTTTCACAAACCATTTTCCTCATTGGTAGTTAAATAACAGTTTTAAAGACAATTATAACTCAACTTTTTTTAATGAAAAGTTCACTCACTTTAAAAGAGCTTTTCCAGCAATAAAACTTTCTACGAAAATTTAAGTTATGTGTACGCCGAGGTGGAAAGTAAAATTTTAAGTCAAGTTTATTTTATTAAAAATCACATATTAAAGCATTAACTTCTCTTATACTGGAAAAAATCAGCTGCAAAAATCGGAAAATTAGCATCAGGTGCAGAGCCCTAGTTAAAATTCCAATTGGCACTCTAGCTAATCGGAAAATGGTCAAAAGTTTGACTGGTGATAAGCAGTTTGCCAACCAGCACACCGATCCGAAGTTAGAGCGCAAGTGAATAGAGAAGATGTTTCAAAAATGATCCATGATAAATTATATAAATAGATTGATGATAAATTAACTTTAGCGATAAATTTTTTTTGTAGTTATCAGGAAATTAGCGAATTGTCCTCAGGCATTGAATTACCTTGGATTTTTAAAAACTCTAGTTATTTGGAAAGTAATTGGAGTTTTGATTGACAAATTCTCTTTGTTTGTAAGCCAGAAAACAAAGGAAACTTGCATTCTCTTTAAGCAGTCAGTTGCCGTTAATATTTGAGTGCTCTAACTAGTCAGGAAATCTCCAAAATTTGATTTCAAGAGACCACATTCAGAGATATGAAATAAATTTAATAAAAGTATAGTTAAATTAGGTTTTTTTTTTTTTTGCATTCTTCAAAAATTAGTTCAAAGGTTAAAATTTAGGAAATAAAATAGAAGTAAAGCCCTCAACTCTAAATTGCGTCAGTTTAATAGCATAATCAAAATTCAAACAGTTGAACATGAAGCTATCACCTTATGAAATTAAATTTTTAAAAAACGATAGACAATATTTTTTTCAATTATCCGTGGTTAGCTTTTAAAAGTTTTTCACTGGTTTTAAGGTAAAGTTATAATTGATAGATTGACTGCCGTAGTATAAGTAAAATAGTTTTTTTTACACAAACCTAAATTTAGCCACAATTCTGCCTAATCAAGAAAAGTTTAAAACCGAAATTTAACTTACAATTTTATATAATAAGTATTTATTGGAGAATCAGTAAATTGTCTAATTTCAAGTTTTTATTCTTCAAGAAAATTGTACAGTGTTTATTAAAATAAAAATTTGGAAAAACCTAAAAACATTAAACCTACACATTTCCAATCCTATTTTATTAGAATGTTGTTGCATATTACAAAAATCACTAAAAGTTTTTTTTTTACGATAAAAAAAAACTACATAGTGTTGATTGAAATTTCCAATATAAACAAGGGGGGGGGGGAAAACTAGATTAAACTATATTTTATTTAAAGAAAAAAAAAAAAAACGACAAAAAGCAAACCAAACGATTTTAGCTATAAAAAGCTGCATTATAAGAGATAAAAAGCTTGGTTTAAAAAACGACTAAGAACAGATTTCCATACTAAATTTAAATATTTTTTTTTTAAAAAAATACCACTTCTATGTTTTTATTAATTTAATTATAGCTATTAAAGCAAAACAAGATAGTTTTAAATGTCAAGACTATGACATCATTTCTGAGCTAATGAGTCTATTATTCCAAGTAATAATAAAACCAAACGATATTAAGATATTCTTATTGAAATAAAAGCTTTCGAATTCAATAATAAATATGAGATCTCTTACCTGATATAAGGTAAATAACGTAGATACACCATCCTGTAAACTGTAGGCTGCTAAACATTCTGTGTCTTCAGCTGACCATAACGAAAAACTGAAGGAACTTGATGGCGTGTAGGCTTCACGACGAAGTGCGAAAAGAGTAAGAAACCGGTCCGGAACTGGGTCGACATTAACCTCGGCTCAGATGGGTTCAAAAGCCGTTACCGACCACACGTCACAAGCATGCTACGCCCCACTGATACAATTCGTGAGAAGAAAGAGTGAAAATTATATCGTCAATAAAGAAAAAAGGAATCTCAAGCCTGATTTTAAATATGCATTATAATATTGAGTACGATAAAAAAAAAATGCAACGGTAATTAGTTACGTGTCTTGTTTCTTATTTTCAGATGACGTTCAAAGAGTTGAACATCTATATTCAAAGAAAAAACAAAATAATAAAAAATTAAAAGCGAAAAACAATAAATAAAAGTTCTGTACTGTGACATTTTCGGAAAATACGTCAAAGTTTTAAATTTAAAGACACTCATGAAACTTGCTGCAAAATAAATTTCGGTCGAATAAAATAAAATTTGTCATGGCATTCTCATCAAAACATCAGAATTTTCTTTGAAAGAATTGGAAAGTTAAAATTTGTGTCGGCACGTGTTTAAAAAAAATGTTAAAAGAAAATGCTATATTTTTTTTTAAAAGAATCGGAAATTTTTTAACAATTTAAATATTTAAGAAAATGTTTAAAAAAAAAAAAACTTGCGATTTTTATAAGAAATACTTATGTTGAAAATTCATCTAAAAACTAAAATTAATTCAATACATTTTTGGGGAATTTTTATCATTACCTCAACATTTATAAATTTTAATTACTTCATTTGAAAAAAAATCCCCATGCTTCATATCGCACTTTCAAAACGTATTTCAGATTAAAAACTTAAGTAAAAAAAATTAACAAAGAAAAAAAAAAAAAAAAAATTGAAAAAGAAAAAACAATAAATAAAAGAGAGAAAAATTTCTTTCCTGTAACATTTTTAGAAAAGTTGTTAAAGTTTTAAATTTAAAGACCTGCACAAAACCTACTAAAAAATAAATTTCGGTTGAATATAGTAAAATTTGCCATGCATTCTTATCAAAATATCAGAAATTTCTTACAAAAAATTAAAATTTAAGTAGTTACGAGTTTTAAAAAATTTTAAAAGAAAATTTAAAAACTTTTGGTTAAAAAAAATCAGAAATTGTTAAAAATTTAAATATTTAAGAAAATTTTTAAAAAAATATTTACAACTTTTAAAAAATACTTATGTTAAAATTCCCTAAAAAACAAAATGTATTCAATATATTTTTAACCAATTTTAATCATTACTTCAACTTTTACAAATTTAACCTTTTTAAATTTAAATAATATCTTTAAATTCCTTTAACAAAAACATTATTTACATGAAAAATTTCAATCTTAAAAAATGCTTAGTTTTTAAAAAAGATCAAAATAAAGATTCTTCCATTTGTTAAAATCTTAAAATTGCTTACATTGTATTTTTGTTTCTATTAAAATAATGGTCTATTGTTTATTTACTTGGTGTAATGTAACTTAATGAGAGTTATGTTGCACATGACCAGTTATGGAGACATAATAATATCGGTTTAATAGGTGGTGATTAAACTTAGCTTAATAAAAAGAAAAATGAAAAATTAAATTTCGATACAAATTAAAAGAAGACAATTAAAAATAATTTAATTCCACAATGAAATTTATTATAACATCTGATTCTTATAATATATATTCAGACCATGCCTGCTTGTTGTAAGAGAGAGAAAAAAGTTTTTATTATTCTTTTTACTACATTATACTAACTCGTATTCTTGTTAGTAACAATGGATATCCTCCAATAAAGATTTCGGACACTTTCCAACTAGCTAGAGCACACAAATCTTCTTGTGACAATGCAAGTTTCAATAGTTCCCAGATCAATACAAGTTGAATTTATTGTGATATTATCGTCAAATGGAATTTTTCATGCATCAAAATTCTAACCAGATTATAAAAAAAGCTCTTAAAAATTAAAATTTTAAAAACTTTATTTTTTCTCGCAAAATCACATTTTTTTAGTTGAAGAAAAGAAAAAATAATTTTAATTTTGTTAGATATAAAATTAAAAATGGCAGCGTACTTTTGAAATGAGGGGTGGGAGGTTCATATTACAGGGTGTTTATAAAGTCCCGGACCCATTTTGATGCTTAATAACTCATAAAATAATAAAGATAGATTAAAATAATAGCATAAATGGTTAGATAGACTCAAAAAGTTTCATGACCCTTGTCAATGAACTTCCACGTGGGAAAAAATTTAATTGAAACTTCTATNTTGCATTTTTTATAAGAAATACTTATGTTGAAAATTCATCTAAAAACTAAAATTAATTCAATACATTTTTGGGGAATTTTTATCATTACCTCAACATTTATAAATTTTAATTACTTCATTTGAAAAAAAATCCCCATGCTTCATATCGCACTTTCAAAACGTATTTCAGATTAAAAACTTAAGTAAAAAAAATTAACAAACAAAAAAAAAAAAATAAAAAAAATTGAAAAAGAAAGAACAATAAATAAAAGAGAGAAAAATTTCTTTCCTGTAACATTTTTAGAAAAGTTGTTAAAGTTTTAAATTTAAAGACCCGCACAAAACCTACTAAAAAATAAATTTCGGTTGAATATAGTAAAATTTGTCATGCATTCTTATCAAAATATCAGGAGGTCCAATTCCTTGGCCACCCAGATCACCTGATATAACGCCGCTGGACTTTTTCTTTCGGGATTTATAAAGGACAATGTTTACAGGAGGATCGTGTCGAACATTGATGACCTAAAAGCCAGAATTACAACCGCAGTAGCCTATGTGGATGCCTACATGCTTGTCGCTACCCGGCGTGAAATTGCCTATCGACTTGATATTCTCCGTGCGACGAAGGGGGCACACGTGGAAGTTCATTGACAAGGATCGCGGAACTTTTTGAGTCCATCTAACCATTTATGTTATTAATTTTAATCTATCTTTATTATTTTATGAGTCATTAAACATCAAAATGGGTCCGGGACATTATAAACACCCTGTATATAATAATAATACACATTAAAGAAAGCAAAAAAAAATTTATGAAGATTAAGTATAGAAATATTGTTAAATATATGATAATGTTAGGGTCTAATGCATACGAAAAGAAAAGTATTGATTTGTTAAAATGAGATAAAAGTATAAAAAAAAGGAGATTTTTTAAAAAATTTTATTGCGGAAGCACTTCTTAAAAAAATTAACTGAACAGCATTAAATTCACCAATTTCTTAATTTTCATTATATTTTAAGTACAAAATTCGATCGGCTTCTCAGGTAGAGTAATAAACTAAATATGACAAATAAAACGAAAAAAGAAAGAAAAACTGGGAAACATCAACCCATGTATATCTGAAAAAAACAAATACTTTATCCTTTTATTAAAGCAAAAGTAACTTCAAGCTTTTAACTTCTCGCCTGATTTAACTATAGAGATCACACATTTTAGATTACGACTTACAGTATCATTTTGAGGGTCCAAATTGGAAATAGGTTTATTCAGACACGTTTTTGAGTCTTTTTTCGTAATTTATGGACAGAACTCGTTAGCATATTTATTAGCCTTTTGAGTCAGCATCTTTAGAAATATAATTGAGATTTAATCTCAGTATGCATAAAAATCTGGCCATTAGATCAAAAGTTACTGATGATTATCTTCTTTTAAGTTCAATGTATAGAGCAGAAAAAAAAAACGGAATACCTTGAATAACTTTTGATTCAGGGCTCGAAAAACCACCCGTCCTCGGCGGTCAAAAATTCCCTGCGGACAACAAATTTCTCGAATCCGACGTCCGCGCGGACGGCCATTTTTCCGTTAATATTCGTGATACATTTTCAGTTTTTGTTGTCTTACAAGAGTCTAGAGCCTCACTTCTAAAATGACCCTCTAATCTGGAAATACAGCAACATACTGCGCTCTTTGGAATTGATGTTTTCTCTGTCTGGGAGTACTGCAGTGGTTGAAAGTGGCTTTTCAGCAATGAACTTACAAAAATCACATTACGTACTGGTCTTAAACAAGAAGCGTTAAACGCAATTATGAAAATCCACCTAAATGGAAAACCCCTTTCATATTTCTGTGCAGAAACCTCTGTAAATCATTGACTTGATTGTGGAACTGGCTAACGTCATATTTGTTTCATTTAAAAAACGAAGTACCCTCGGATAAATTGACATTCCAGATAACTTGACCTTTGTCATTTAAATTATTTCATAAAAGAAATAAATTATTTCATAAAAGAAATACAAGGTTTTACTATTAGTAACCTAGTAACTACCAATTCATTGTTTAATCTATATAAAGGTTTGTAACAAATAAGAGAAAATTATATTTTTATTTATTTAGAAGCTACGGGTTAGTTTCAAAGGAGGACGGGTACATTGTTGGACAAGCCATCCTCGGGGACGGGTAAAATTTCTGACTTTCTTCGAGCCCTGTTTTGATTTAATGATTGGATCTTCACGTTTTAGGATTCGATCTTAATGGTTCAAAACAGTCATCTCAAATATGGTAATTAGTGCAGACGATATATTAAGTTACGAAATTTGACACAAAAACATGCTTTCTTTGAATTCACATACCTTTTTTTCCCGACGAAAAAGGATTTCTGACGCCGATATTTTAGAGGGTAAGGGTAGCCGCAATCTGAAAAAGATGGTCCTAATAGTTTTGTCGAGTCGGGTGAGAGAACCTAAATTTAGAGCCCTTAATGATAATTTTTTTTTGCGTATTTCGCCAGAACTCAAGTTTTAAAAAGAATAGAAAAATTTTTGCACGCAATTATAAGAGTCGTTTATCCAAAGAATATTTCATACAAAAAAGCAACTTCTAGTAAAAAAAATTTCAGTTTTTCCCATCATTTTAAAGTAGTTTTAGTATGTAATTTTACATGTCTAAGTACAAAATTTGAGCGTAATCGGTCGAATAGTTCATGAGAAATCGAATTTTAAAAATAGAGACTTTTTAGGTAGGTAGGTGCTTTATTTACGACGCACTAGAACTGCACAATGGGCTATTGGCGACGGTCTGGGAAACATCCCTGACGATGATCTGAAGGCATGCTATCGCAATTTTGATCCTCTGCAACGGGTATGGTTCCTCTGCTTCGGTAGCCCGATGACCTCTGAGTGAAGTCGAGCATTTTACAGGTAGAACAGTTTAACGAGGACCGATACCACGCACCCTCGGTTCCTAATACGCAGTCTGATCAAAGTAGTCATGGTCACCCACCCGCTTACTGACTGCAGCCACTGAGGGACACCGACTTCTTTAAAATTTGATTTCTCAGGAATTATTCGATTAATTTTGCTGACTGTATCTAGAAGCAAGTTTTTGCAATAGTATATTAAATAAGTTTGATTTTTTTTTCAGAACTTAAGACATATTTCCTCCTAAAAAAATGGAATGTATTTTCAGATCTAAAAACTTAAAGTTTTTCAAGAAAAGAAACCTCTTTTCACATGAAAGCAGTTCCTTAATGGTCGTCTAGAATATTTGTCAGGAAAAATGTTAAAAAATTGATCTTGTTGTTTTCAATCTCGCTTTCCTCACTAGCGATTCAAAAGATCTCAGTAGTGTCTCTTTTGGGTACATTTTTGAAGATTCTAAAAGTATATATTAAGGGCGGTGATTATGAAAATTCTATGTATATTTCTAAACCATGAAAATTGCAATTTATCCTTCAAAATTGGTATGTTAAAAAATAATTATCCCCTCTAGTTCTATAATAATATGATTACTTGAAATTCAATTAATCTTTGAATACTGATATTTTGCAATCTGATAAAAAACATAACTATCCAAGTTTATGGAAATATTTCTGCAATAAAGTATCGTAAGAGAATTTAGGTTTTTTTATTTCCTCACTCCTTAGAATTAAAGTTAGATTTCTATCAGTAACCTGAATCATACCCGTAATTAAAAATTGTCGGAGAATTGAAACATTCAGATCTCCATAGGTGCTACAAAAGATGTGAAGAGAGTGATTATCCTCTGAATGGCATTCTTTCTTGATAACTTTGTGCTGGAAGAAATTTAGATTTCAAATGTGGAGAAACTGAAAGCCACTCATAATTTTTCAATTTAAAGTAAAGCATTCCTGCAGCAGACCTTTATAGGTCAAGGAGGTAAAGGCTTCTCAATTTCATGACCAACAGCATGATGGTAGCAATATGGTAGGCATTATGTACCCAGACAAGCTATTAACCACAGAGGGCTACAAGATGCAGCCAGGAATCGAACCACAGTCCTCCACAATGATTGTTCCTTGCCTTTACCACAGAGCCGTCACGGCTATCAATTTAACACAAAGGGTAAAAAATGGCAATTTCTTTTCAAATAAATTTTGAATCTTCTCCTCATTGCATTATTTATTACCATATAGTATTTAAAGCCCTCACAGAGCCTATATGATTGCAATTGATAAGACCTAATACGCAAGTAAGTGCGTCAAATTTGTAAGGTTTATATCCACATAAAAGCGTTAAAATGTAATTGTTTTTCGTCATTTGCAAAAATGAAATAATGGCAAAAAGTTACAGTATAAACAATTTTATTTTGCACAAAATCTCTTTCTATCTTTAGAAACAATTTTCTTCCTCTTGCGTTCCAAATATTTGTCCAGTTTTCCAGTCTTCTTCAATTTTTGGAATGATTCAACTAATTTTTTCTGCTTTAATTCAGCTGAAAATGAGGATGAAAGAAAACAATTTTTAGAATATAAAAATTTTCAAAATAACTGAGAGAAGCTTCAATTTTAACAAACGTTGAATATGATACAATTTTAATATTATATCATAAGAAAAAAGCATAAATTATGCATCGATATTCTTCTATATTTTTACAATGATACTTAAAATAACAAACAAAACCTTCGTTGAATAAGTGAATCCAACAAAATAACTCTATTAAAGTAGAATTTAGACAACAGTGTACCTTTTGTCACTTTGTGGTGACTAATATAATTATTTTGTTTCGACTACAAACTTAACTATTGGTAAAAATGAAATCACAGTTGAATGCCTTATTTTAATAGTGGGGTAACTCCACTAATTAAAACTTTATGTCAAAAGAAACAAAGTTATAGTATAAATGGTACAAGTGAGTAACATAGAGTACCACATATTTAAATAAGGTATTCAATTTCCCCTGAAGAACATATTAAATCTACCAGGTGTTCTAAAAATGACCTACAATTTAAAAATCAATTAAAGAGAAAAAGAAGATAGAAATGCTTGATTCACTGTATGCTGTTTAGGAAACTATTCTCACTAAATTTTAAGATAAATTGCAATGATTGTCAACAGAGGGCACAGCTGTAAAGACAAATTAAACAACATTTTTATAATAACAACTGTTAGAAACAGTAGGGAATAGTCAGAGAACAAAATTAACAGACACATTATAGATGTTCAAGTCAGCAATGCCATCTGTTAGCGAATTTTGCCTTTTTTGGACTTAATGAGAATAAATATCTTGTTTCCTAAAAACACAGCAAACCACACATGTTTGTCTTGTTCAATTCTTCTTTAATAGTTTTTTTTAACCACTGGTCAAGATCAAGTAATGGTCACACATCAAGTACACCTTGTCTGCATAGTGCATGTAATTCATTAAAGTGTGTGACTTATAGTACATTCAATTACAACAGTCAATGTTATTTTTTTTACAACTAAAATAATACTTCACATAAATATGTTAATAATTTATTGACATAATAAGAAATAGTTTCCTTATTAAATGAAGAATTTGGTAAAATAGCATGCTACATGGTATTTTAAAAAATTTGAGAAAATCACTTTTAAAATGTAGGGAAATATCAGGCTATTGTTGACAAAACTTCTTTTTTAAAAATTGAAAAATGCCTTATTATTAAATATGGCACTTAAATGATAGCAGAATAAACTAATGCTCTATACTTACTTTTGACCACAGGATGTTTTTAAATCTGGAAGCTGTCATTAAAATGTTAACAACAAAAAAATTATTCCAGCTGCCCCTTACATTACATTTACATAGTAATATTAATTAAAACTATTGTTTTTTGCTAAAATTAAATTTAAAAAGATATTTGTTTACATTCATAATAAAAGAGTTGCTTGTGAATAAATCTAATTATTTTTTACAGAGTTCAAAATAATAGTGATGTTAATGTAAAATTAAAATATTAACATTAATTTTTTTTAAAAAAAAAGGTTATTTGTATACAAATCCACAGTTATAATTGTTAACATTCATTCCAGATTTATTGCTTGTCAACAAGTCTAATTATTTTTTGAAGGACTTAAAATAATAGTGTTGTTAACATAAAATGAAAATAGCCACATTTGTAAAAAAAAGGGGGTTACTTGTGAACAAATCCAGTTATATTTGTTCAGAGTCATAATAAAAGGGTTGCTTCTGAATATGGCCAGATATATGTTATTTATTTCTAATTATGTTTAAGCATATAATGCTCTGATTGAAAGGTTGCATTAACATCTAAATTACTCTCACTTTTTCAGTTTATTTTAAATTGATTTTATCATTTACTTCAACTTTTTTCGATAAAACATGTGATGTTTAATATTTTTAGTTACAATTTTAACTTAAACATAAAAAAATTACAAGACTTATTGATAGCAAAAACTAAAAATTTGAAAAATAAAAAGTAAAAGAAGATGAGTTATTGAAAAATTCAGTGCGTTAAAAAATTATAACTGTATTACAATTTAAAAAAGAACAAGGAAAACTTTATAAACCAATAAAAAGCAGTTAGGAGTATTAATTAACATTTAAAAAAAATACACACATTTTTTAGGCATGTATGGCTTTTTGCCAGATTTTGCTGCTTCCATTATTTCTTCTCTCAGTTGTTGATCTTCAATTTTTTTCATTTTTTGTTTTTTCTTTGCTATGTCTTGATTTTTCTGAAATACATAAAAGGTATCACAGTTAAAATTTTTAAGCATTAATAAAATTATTTAGCACAAAATAATGATAGAGAAACAATATTTTACAAAAGAAAAATATAAATTCCAAAAATTTTTTATTGCTTATATAATCCCAACTTTTTTTTCTTTCACAAAATTCAAATAATAATAATATAAATAGAACAGAAACATGTTTCAGTGAAGGGAATAATAGAATTGGAACAATGCTTTAAGGGGAAAAAATAGAAAATGCTTTATGAAGGGGGAAAAAAAGTACTAAAAAAACTTTTTGTAGCAAAAGAAAAAAATTATTAACTATGCTTTATGAAGAATAAAGTTTCATTATGAAAAAAAAAATGAAAAATTTTGTATACATATATGTTTGCTAATTCCTTAATTTATAGAATCGAGAGGAAATTTCTTTATGAAAAACATTAAATTTTGTTAAAAAAAGTCATTCAATTTTAATTGTATCATTTTATACACATTATATAATTTTTTTTTTATTTTATCGTGTAGCTTAATAGTGCAATTGATTTATGCATAATTTTATGCAATTTTCCTCTCTTCAGCAATTCTATATTATTATTTTATACAGTATTTAGGGCAAACTTTTGAAATATATGAAGCATTATAGTGCAAAATGCATTAAAAAAATATGAAATGAACCTTGAAATGATAAGCATTTAAAGAAAATGCTTCTCGTATACTAATACCCCAAATGTTCGGAGTAGCTAATTTATGTTATGCATGGAATTTATTTTAATAATGAAAATACCAGGTATACGATTCCTACCGGAATGGCCAAATGTCAATTAGTGTATGATACTGATACCTGAAGTCAAGATTCCCTGGCTTGCTCTTTTAATGTCAAACCTTAAAGTTATCTTTTAAAAAAACTTCAAACAGATAAAGTGTAAAATTATACTAGTATATTATTTTTCTAAATAATATAAAACTTCATTAAAAATAAATAATGAATAAAAAGTAATTTACCATCCTCAGCAAGAGATACAAAATTTCTTGTTTTCTTTTATGGTCATCTCCAACATTTTCTAACTCCTTTTCAAGTTTCTAATATAAAATGAAATTATTTCATTAATTTAGAAAGTACTAGTTAGAAAAACTAAAAAACACAATGTAAGAAGTAACTGAAACTGTTAAATAGAATAGTTACTACACAAAATGGTAAATTATAGAATGTAATATGTTTTATAAATCAAAAACAATGATTATCAAAGTAATATGTATTGATCAAGAACAATATGTATCTAATTTATAATAGTAATTATCAACATTACTGATGATAATAAAAAATCGTGCTTAACACATGTATAATTTATCCTAAATTATAGGACATTAAAAGCAAATTATTTTGTGTTTTGACACATTTTCAACTACTCAAAAGCTTTACAACTCAGATTAGAAAAATTCTCTCCTGCATAATCGGGCACCTTCTAAAATTGAATAAACCTACGCTTCAGTTTAGAAGTAAACATTAGATTTAAACAAAATTTAGGATAAATGACTGAAGGATATTAGACTTAAGGATAAATGACTACATACAAAACAATCTAAAAAAGATGTAGGTATATGAGCATATTATTCTGAATACTTTAATTTACTATAACTTTATATATTTATAATAACTTTAATTTAAGATTTGAATGCCATAACATGATATCAACAATTTCTGAATTTCAAAAACCATGTCAAAAGGGATATAAACACAATAAAAACATCAGACTAAAAGAGGTTACTAGCATTAATTATTACTGCTTTTTCCTGCAACAAATATATAATTTTATAAACTAGCAATTCGCTACTGCCTAGTCAATAAAATCGCATCCCGGATATAACAAAGTAACTTTATTAAAAAATGCAGACTTACTACCTTTTTTTTGCATACCTAAATTAATGTCAAATATTATTATGACTTACTAACATTAAATGATACTAAATATTACCAATGTTAAAGGTTCTAATTTTTGCAATTATCTAAACTTTAGAATGCCTTTATTTAAAACTTAATGTCAACCTTACTTCCCTTTCATATTAAAATGTAAGTAACTACTAACACTGGATGAAAAAACAATTAGGATTAGGAGATAAAACTAGATTAAACATAGCTCCCGTATTAAAAAATGTTAAACTCACTTCTCTTTCCTTACGTTTAATGTCATCTACAAAAGAATAATTCTCTTCAAACAGTTCTTCATCAAATGTTCCAGATAAATCATCAAATCTGGGATCACGAGAATGCTATGACAGAAACAGTAAACAATTACTTCAAACTTATAAACAATTTACAGAAATAGGAAAATGAACCAAAAGCAAATTTACATTTATAATTACAGATAATTTTTTGAAGCAACAAAGATAATATTAGATACGAAAGATTTGACAGAAGGTATTGAAGTATAATAATTTTTAACTTTCTATATTTACTTTAGAAACCTAGATAATGCACAGCGCAAACAGTACCGAAGCTCTTTAATTACTTTGGTTTAATGTTTGTCCGCCTCATAAGTAAGACGACCTACAAAGCAAGGGAAAAGGCTCAACCGGTTACATTACTTAATGTGCTTTGCTTTGAGTATTTATCAGGAAGAAAAAACTCCTTCGTAAGCTTCAGAGCCAATTATTCATATTCAGAGCACAGAAATATTTATGTACTAGGAGGCTCCGCCCCCTGCTCGCTAACCCCCGAGAATTGCTACGCAATCCTATGTGGTTCACGCCATGAACCATGGCTCGCTGCGCTCGCTCGCCAATGAACACAATGTTCTAGCACAAAGACATAATATATTATCATCAAAGACATAGTATTTTATCATCAAAGACATAGTATTGTACTTATGTAAAAGAATACTACCAATGTTCTTATTGGCTTTTAAAAAAGTATATTAGCTATTTAGATTGCACATGGTGAAAAAATCAAAACATTAGCTAAATGAGAAACATATTAGCAAAATAAATTATCAAATATTGCAGTTATTTACCTAAATTCAACTAAATGTGTATAATAAATTAGTTAATACTAGAAATTCTGAAAGCTTTAGAAAAAAATTTTATTATTTAAAAATATAAACTTTAAACCCTAACTTTTCCTTGTGAGATAATAACCCTCAAAAAGTCTTTCATTTTCAAGAACACAAAAATTTGTTTTATCGCCAAATGAAATATTTTTTGGTGATCAGCATTATTGAAATCAATTTCTATATTAATTAACATTTGTGATAAAGTACATAACATTTTAGAACAAAATAAGGATGTTTTACATACAATAAATTAAAATGCATGGCTGTTAGCATTACCCGAGAAATACCACGTGGAGGTCGCCATGCTGCATTTCTAATCGGGGAGTTTTGATTTTGGCAGTTCCCCTTGCCTACTGCCAATAGAAGTTTCAATTAAATTTTTTCCAAAAAACATTTTTTTCTGCAAAGCTCTAAGAAATTAACACTAAGCATTTAGAATTTCTTTGAAAACACAATTATAGATTTGGCATCTTGGAGCAATTACTGAAAGGCTGTCAAATGACTTAACTCTTGACAGGCCAACATAAAGTTGTCCATGACTAAAAACTTGTTTAGTCAATACTAAACTGATTTTCTCAAAAGTCTGACCTTGTGACTTATTTATAGTCATGGAGAAGGCCAGCCTAATTAATTCCTAATTGAGTTTAAATTAAATATTATCATGTTTTTAGGGCATGAATCTGAATTGAACAACCTGATAATGCTCACTCTGGTTATTGTTTCCGTTTCTAAAAGCGCTATATGTTGAGCCAGTTTAAATTAAATATTATCACGTTTTTAGGGCATTAATCTGAATTGAACAACCTGATAATGCTCACTCTGAATATTGTTTCCGTTTTTAAAAGCGCTATATGTTGAGCCACCTCATGTGACATTTGCCATGTGACAATTTTAGCAGCAATCATTGGTCGATTTTCTGACGTTGCCATTCGGGGAGTTGTAATGAGGCTTTTTTTGGTGCCGTGTAAGAGAAATATTTATATAGATTGGCTTAACGCTCAGTTAACAGCTTACTTAGCTACGTCACAAAATGAAAATTTGACTAGTTGTCCCTTATCCAGAAACTTCTAGAAAATTTTAATTTAAGATTAAATAGAGGATATTTTCTTATTGGCACCTATAGTGTAGCTTTGAGAAGAACTCCTCCAGACCAAAAGTCTGAAGCTGTCTGCTACTATGGTGACAAGCAAGAGCATATCTCTAATGGGGATGAAATGGAGGAACGAAAGTTTGGGTGAAAGATGGGTTTACTCACGCGAACCTATGCCGAGGTTAAGACAAAACAATTTATCCCACACCCCTGTTCGAAGTGTCTTTTTCTCGTAATCATAGCACCCGCCACAACGCGAGAAGGAGTTCTCCTGAAAGCCACACTATATTAATGACAACAACAATCTCTAAGGCACCATAAAGATTTTAAACTTGTTAAAAAATTTTAAAATTATATAGAAGTTTGCTATGAGTTATGACCTTTAAGTTAATGAATTATTCCAAAAATTACTAAAATTTAACGATAATTTTGGCGTAGATAATGATTTGTGGTTGAAATCTTCCCATTACAGTAAATAAATTTTTTATTTCCACTGACTAGGTCATAGAATAGCAGGTTAAATAAATCATAAAAATCAAAATTTATATTCAGATTTATTATATTTAGCATGTCATATAATATGTAAAAGCTAGAACACTTAAATACTATGAACAAAAACACACAGGCATATTTACTAAATTATATTGAGTAAGATCCGGATAAGCAAATTAAATTCATGAACAATAACTATATAAACGAATGAGTTTATAAAATCCTATGAACCAATAACTTGCTGAAACGAAATATATTTGCTGACATACCTTACAAGTTTCTTACAAAGTTACAAATGTTTTACAAGTTACGACTGATCAGTTATGACATAATTTTCATCAAATAAAATAAAGGCTTTTCACAAGTTATTCTGGTTCAGTTATAGTACAATTATTAAAGCCTACCGCTTTCTTGATAGCAAAAACATCTCTGAATACTGGAACGGGAGTTTTTGATGACATTTCCCTTGGTCGATTTTTGTTGGCTCGTGAAAAAGACATTTTAACTTGTGAATTTGATGCTTTAATTTAAGAATATAAGTCCCAAAAGATTATACACTGTTTTCACTGAATTTCTTGAAGTTCTTCATGTTTATATTTACAAATTTCTCGTGTCAGTTACGGTTACTAGACTAGAGATAGCCAGAGCAAGCAAAAGTTCCTTCTCGCTAAGAAATCGCAGAACCGCATTACGGCGATGCAAACGAGAACCTGATTGGTGATTTTTTTCGAGGACGAATGACATTTCCAACTCTTAATTTTTACTAGCAGTAAAAACGGTCCCTAAAACTGAAAAAAAAAATTTTTTTTTCACCTGTTTTAAAATTTCGTAACCGTGTGCTACATCTTATTTGTTGTCATTTCCGCGAAAGTCGTAAAAGCATAGTGTTTTACAGCCATTAAAATTTAAAATAAATTTAAATTATGACATTTTAGATTTAATTTTTAGAATCATTAAATTTAAAAAGAACTTCTAAGCTCCTGAAAAAAATTTAGACGAAATGGCTTCTTCTTCAAAGTAAGTAAAGTTGAAATAAATTTATTCTAGTGTCAATATGTTTCATTTTTTCGCAATAATCTGCAGTCCTGAATATATAAAATTGGGCTTCTTTATTTGTTATAATTTGAACATATTTACATGCAACTATATAAGCCAAACTTTTTAATTTTATTTATTCTAAGTGACGCGATTACTTCCAAGCTTATCTAAAAATATTTTCTTTTTTTGTTCTTGCAATTGTACATGTCCGAAATCGCTCTCTTTAAGTCTTGAATAAACTGCTATGTAATTTTAGAAAATAATTCTATTTTACTATTTTTAGCTTATTGCAAAAAATTTTATTAGAGAATCCAATTTGGAAATGAATGACATGTTTAAGCTCGTTCTGATATTGCAAAAAGCATGGCATGGATGGAAAATCTCTTGACAATATAAGCATTTTTGTGCTAAAGTTTATAAGGTGGTTATCAAAAATTTTAAGTGCACATTAGAGCACTATTCAGACTCAAATAAACTAAAAAAAAGTAACCTAATTAAAATATGTTGGCTTTGTGATACTATAAATAATGTAAGAAGGAATAAATTAGATAGCACATAAACAGATTTCATTATACTTATTAATTCTAAAATTTTCAATAACATCATAGATCATATGTGAAGAAAAAGTCAATATCAAGGCTCGAAAACTGTATTTTATCAAACTAGAAAAACCAAGGTAGCTCAGAGAAGCAGATCAATGCAGGATGTAATTCCAAGTACTTTGGGATGGTGGTAAAGAACACTTGACACCAACTAGATAATCATATTAATGAAACAAAATTTTTGAGTATCTTGATAAGTTGATAGGATGGAAAATTTTGATAATAATGTTACTTAATAAATGCAACCATTTCTTTTTCTTTTTTTTTTAAATTTCTGAAAATAAATAAAATATTGATGTCTTTAAAATTAAAAATATAGATAATGTTTTTGGAATGAACTTATACAATCAAAGTGCTTGAATTTCCTACCACTGTTAATAAATTTTTTGATTTAAATGTGTTTATTTGAAATCTTTCAATAAAAATTAAAACAATATAAATAAGATACTATTGGATTAGTATGCCTATGTCAATCACTGAAAATAGTGAAAATATATTTTGAAAATGGAATTTTTATTACTAGCCGGGAAATATTGCACTAAGAAAAAATTTAACAAAAGATGATGTAACCCTATTAATGAGGTGTAATTTGTAATTTCAGATCATATGGAGCAGCAGTTGTTTGTCCATATCATCCAGATGCTAATCTGATTGAAGATTATCGAGCTGGTGACATGATATGCTCAGAATGTGGTCTTGTTGTTGGAGACAGGTATGGATTCATATTAGTTTAGTACTTTTGCATAATAAAGAATTCCTAAAAATATTGCTAAATATACGCAAAATATTGTTAAAATTGTCTTTGACATTATAATTAAGTAAGTTTAATTCAAGGCTCAAAGGAAAAAGAGAATGTGGTTCTCTCAAAATTTGCTGTGCAAGATCACTCCTAGGTTTTAAGTCAAAAGTGAAATAGTTGTTAATTATTGTCATTTAAACGAACACTTTTCAAATAATTAAAGATAAATTAACTTCATAATTTAACGTGATTTATAAATTTTTATTCATTTAACTTGTTTTGAGAGTATAATAATCTACCTTTCACAAGAATGGAAAAGTTAATCATTTGTTATGAAGATCACATTGGGACTTACAAACATTTTATAATCTGTATGTTAGGAATATTTTTATTTTGTATTAGATTATTATTATTGTTTTTGTTAACTAGATTTTTATTAAAAGTTCTTAACTTTAAATATGTTATAAATTTTGCATGTTTAAAATATTTAGGAAGATAATAGAGTAGGTATTGATTTAAATTATAATTCAACTAAAATTCATAACTTATAACATAAGTTCATGTAACTCATATAATTCTTAAGCAAGCTTTATCTGATTTATATATTAAGTTTAAATATTAATAAAAAAAATATTCTGTTTACATAAATATTAAAACTTCAAACAAAAAAAAATCGCCACTCAGAATTTATTGATCGCCAATGACGATTATGTTTCACAAGCTCTAGTTATATACATTAATTGTAAGTGACATTGTTAATTTTTTTAATTAATAATGAAATGGATAATTCATAACAAACTTTAGGTAGTATTCAAATAAATAACTGTGGTACTACTGCAATTAGATTGTAATGAACAACGCTGTGGCAGAATTTTTTAGAGCTATCTGCGACAAAACTCTCTTACACTAATATCTTTCTGAAAGATACTCTTAATAATAACAGACATATATGTTACTAATTTAAAGTAACAAAAGCAATGTGTCTAAAAAATATAACTATAGTATATATTTGTTTAATTGAACGTGTAAAAATTTTTTATTCTAATATTATAGGTGATATTCTTGCATTTTGTTGGGGGGGGGTGCAAATTATTTCCTTCTTCGCATTCTGTAAATAATCATCCCAATAAAAATAAAAAAAATAATTAAAAATTATTAAATCCGTAGCAGTAATTGCCAAAAATCACGCGAATCGGACTCCTCTAATGTATGTTTCGTTTCGAGATTAGGTTGTTGTAATAAATAATATCGTATAAAAATATCGGATTTGAAAACAATGGAGAAATCAATAACAATAACTGCCAAAAATTTGATAGAATTATTGCCTTATAAATAAATCCTCAAATGCATGATTTCAATTTTCCATATTGTTTTAAATATATTGAGATAATTTAAAACCACACGAAAATCAATATCAATAAATGTTGAAAATTCAATAGAAACATTTCATCAATTTACGATTCTATCAGCTTAAATTGAGCATGTCAAAAAGTGTTATCTAAATGCATGATTCAAATATTGTGTGTATATTTCTCTAAAAAAAGATAAATTATTTGCTTTTCAAAAGAAAAGTCTTTCTGCAAGAACTCTGTAACATTCATCGACAATGTCGCCGCGTCTCTGCGATTCTACCTCGGGTTTGAACAATTGGAGTAAGTCTGCCTGTTCTATGATTTCAAGCAATAGGGCCAACACTTGCAAAATTTTTCACCAAACGTTTTAAAATGTAGAAGTGCCTCTATATTTGCCATCATAATTGAACTTCCTTTTTTTATCTTAGGTGCTTTATATTAATTTTTTTAATTAATTCATAGGGTAATTGATGTGGGCTCTGAGTGGCGAACCTTTAGTAACGAAAAAGCTGACAGTGATCCCTCTCGAGTTGGTGCAGCTGAAGTAAGTTTTGGTTTTAATCTTTTCTTTTTGTAATTTGAGTGTGTACATTCATGTAGATTTAAAGATATTTTTTTTTAATTATTCGAAATGCTTCAGTATCGTTCTCATACTGAAATAGAAGACATTCTTTTATAAATTGCCTAGTTTTTTTTTTTGTTTTTTTTTTTTAATTTCTGTGTGCTTATGAATTTTGCACCAAACTGGTAAGCTGGAACCAATAACAAATAAGATCTGGAAATAAATTATAAATCATAGGAGGAAAAAAAAAGTTTGCATTAAAACTCTTGTCTTCACATTTGTAAGATTATCTTGATGTCAAATCATTTACATTGATCATATTTGTAGGATCTAGATTACCTTTCTGTTTTATAACTAAGCATCATATTAAATTAAAAATGTTTTAAGGTTATATTTTTCAATAATTAAAAGTTAAATAAAATGGAAACTAAGCTTTAAAAATTAAGAAAAGGGAAAGAAATAGTTTTATTCAATATTGTATAGAATATAAGTGTTTTAAAGCAGAGATAGCAAGCAAATATGATTTTGTCTTTAGTAATTTTCTTTTTCTTCGCATATTTATTATTTATTTTTTTTTTCCTCAGTGTGCAAAATCATAGGTTGTTTGCTAGTCTTAGACTAATGCAAAAAGATTTGCACAACAAGAACATAATTTTTTATGATCCATGTAACCAGCAACCAATGTTAGTGACCAGGCATAAATTTATTAATATAAGGTATTATTCTTTTGTAACCAAAATCAAAATGGACATAAAAGTAACTAAAAGATTACATTTTTGAGCTTGTAAAGCTGCAAAAAGCAAATCATAAGTGAACTTTTTTATTTATTTACTTATTTTTCATAATTTTTCTTTTCAAATTATTTAGTTATATTGTTTCTATGCATTAGTTTGTAATTAATGATATTTGTGGTATTTTCTTGCCTTCTAATTCTTTGGATGATTAAGAGTTTATTGTATAATAAATATAATAATTAGTATTGATATTAANTTCTTTTTTTTCACATATTTATTATTATTTTTTTTCCTCGGTGTACAAAATCATAGGTTGTTTGCTAGTCTTTGACTAATGCCAAAAGCTTTGCACTACAAGAACATAATTTTTTATGATCCATGTAACCAGCAACTAATGTTAGTGACCAGGCATAAATTTATTAATATAAGGTATTATTCTTTTGTAACCAAAATGGACATAAAAGTAACTAAAAGATTATATTTTTGAGCTTGTAAAGCTGCAAAAAAGAAATCATAAGTGAACTTTTTTATTTATTTACTTATTTTTCATAATTCCTCTTTTCAAATTATTTAGTTATATTGTTTCTATGCATTAGTTTGTAATTAATGTTTAAGTTTGCTTTATCATTTAAAACTAAATTTAATAAGTTGAAACTATATTAAGTAAAATTTATTAAAAAGTTAGCAAAAAAGTTTTGTACTTTAGTGTTAAGTTTTCAGTAGATCAGTTTATTGTCATTGTTTTTTTTCCCTTGCATGAAAGCTTTAAAGAATGTGAAAGGACCCTCTTTTTTTTCTTAAAAAGTGTCTGATAATGATTTTTTTTCTTTTTAAATGCCATGTTTATTATTTTCCTTTAATTCTTTACTTATATTTGACATAAGTTGCTTAGTGAAATGTATTATTTTCTTTTTCAGAATCCTTTATTGAATGGTAGTGATTTATCCACAGTAATTGGACGAGGAACTGGAGATGCTAGCTTTGATGACACTGGTGTAGCCAAATATCAAAATAGGAGAACTGTAAGATAATAATCTTTTTTAAAATTCATTTACATGAAAAATATGCTTTTTTTATTATTCTAAAAGCATTCTTAGTTTTTCTCTGCATGTTGTTTTAAACTTTTGTCTCGATTATATGTGTGTGTGTAATAATCGAGTTAATAAATTTGTTAGGTACCTAGTATTAACCAATTGTTAATTTGGTTCAAATAATCACAATTTTATGAATTATGTTTCTTAGTCCAGTACTCATCCACATCGAGTTTTAATTATTGATGTATTTATAATTTATGCTGTAAAGATGGATTAAATATTTTGTTGAAAAGTATAATTACTTTTTGTGATTATTATACGTTTTTCGAAAAAATAATTTAATCGCCATTTTGTTTTAGATGAGTAGTTCTGACAGAGCCTTAATCAATGCCTTTAAAGAAATTGGAAACATGGCTGATAGAATTAATTTGCCCAAAACAATTGTTGTGAGTAAAACTTTTTTGTTTTAGTGGTTATGTAACCATACTTTGGATTTTTTTTTTTAAATTTACATAAGTACTTTTTTTAAGCTGAATATTTTTTATGTAATTTGATATAAAATAGTTTTTATGTGATAAGATATAATTTTTATGTAATGTGATATAGTTTTTATGTGATCTATACTATCGAAAAATATTTAAGACTGCTGAATGAAGCTGTTATCACTTAAAATGTTTTATTGTATCAGTAGCTTTGAAAAGTTAATATACTAAGACAATGTGTGTGCCTTTATGTTAGAAAATGTTTTAATGGAATAGTCAGTAACCAAATAAAAATATCTGTTTATTTTATGCTTCAGGAAATTAAAGTTTTGTTAAAACTTCTGATTATTCACTTATCAGTAGAATAAACTACGGAATCTGAACAGTTTGCGCAATTGTTTGTAATTTATTTTATCTAGTGGGAAATATTTCTGTTTATGATATGTTTCAATGTTTTCCTGTACTTTATTTATTTTTACATTGGCAAAATGTTTAAGATAAGCTAACTATAAATGAAAAAAAGACAAGGCTTTTAATGGAATAAAGTACAAGTAATAAATGATATTTGTGGTATTTTCTCACCTTCTAATTCTTTGGATGATTAAGAGTTTATTGTATAATACATATAAAAATTAGTATTGATATTAAAAAAATAATTTTCAAATGTTTGAACCTTGTAAATCTTTTTTAATTTCATAGGATAGAGCTAATAGTCTTTTTAAGCAAGTCCACGATGGTAAAACTTTGAAAGGAAGAAGTAATGATGCAATTGCATCTTCCTGTGTTTACATTGCTTGCAGACAAGAAGGTGTCCCTCGTACTTTTAAAGGTACCTTTTTACAATTGTCTAGATTTTATTGTACTACAACTTCCTTGCCCTATAGCTCCTATTTAAAATATTTGTTTTGATTTCAAAATAGTGGAAGTATTGATCTGACAAGCTGGTGTTAAAACTGTATAATTGTCATACTTTCAATGTATGTATTGAGACTGAAATTTCCTTTTTTTAGAAATATGTGCCGTGTCTAAAGTTTCTAAGAAGGAAATTGGTAGATGCTTTAAGTTGATTCTCAAGGCATTAGAAACAAGTGTTGATCTCATAACTACTGGTGATTTCATGGTAATAATTTGTTTTGTGATTCATTTATTTTTATCAACATTCTTGTAATTTCTGCAATTTGTTTTTTTTTTATTATTATTATTATTATTATTATTAATTTTACATTCTGCCTTCAAAGTTGTAGTGAAACTAAATTGATTTGAAAAAGAATCATTGCTTTAAATTAAGGTATTAAAAGCAAGAAAATTTATCTGCTTTTTACCGAATCCCATGCATATTTTATTAAATTCAAGCAAACTGTTTTTGAAAATACTTATTTAGTAAATCATTTTAAAAATAGTTAAATAAATAGTTGCCGGTTGACTGCATTAAACCCTGAAACTGAAATTTTCTTTGAGTTAAAACTCTGTGTTGTACAAGCATACTGTTAATTATTCCTCTTCGATGTATCAAACATCAAATTGAACTTGTAATCATTTCAATCCATGTCATATTTTAGTTTTTTAAGTTTTGTTAGTTATTTTGACAAATTTCAATATTACTTTTAACTGGCGAGAAAACAGATGTCAGTTTGGTTAGATTTCTCATCAGAATTTGAACCTGACAGGGATGCTACGCCTGCGCCATTTGCGACAAACTGAGACAAAACGGCATAACTGCGCCATTTTGCGACATTCAGCTCAGTTTCTGCCAAAGCTGCGCCATTCTGAGACAANTAGCATCCCTGACCTGATGATTTTTTTTTTATTAACTATTTTTTTTTTTTAATTTCATAATTAATGGTGGTTTTTCTTAGTAATTTTAATTTTTTGTGCTGAATATTTAAATTTGATAATTTTCATCATTTTTATTTTCATTTTAAGTAATAATTTTCACTAGTTTCATGTTAAAACATTAGTAATGAGTTAATTACAATATATTTTCTATACACAATACACTTATATACAGTCAGAGAGTATTTTCAAAAACAAATTTCAACATTTGCATTGTTAAAACATACTATACACTACAATGTGCTTTTGTCTCAAAATCACTGGCTAGTTGCTGTACTTGTCTTCCGGCAATTATTACAGCAATTTTCATTGCTTGTATCACAAAAATAGAAAATATTCTTTTCATTTTGATAAGGTATCCAACATTTATTGCCTCACACAGAGAGGCAGTCAAATATTTTAGTATGTTACATTTGTGTTGTTTGTCAGTATATAATTTCAGGCCAAATCTTAGGCTGTTAAAAATAGTATCATCAAGCTTCTGCTGATTACCGGTTATAGTCGCCTGATGCAGTATGCTGGTGGGATGTCTGTTGCATCTTAACATTAAACCATTGAGAATTTATATAACTGTAAACTACAGTTATGACTCTAATTTGTAAACATGATACTTACGTTTTCTTTTCTTTTAGTCACGTTTCTGTTCTAATCTTGGTCTTCCAACAAGTGTGCAAAAAGGTGCAACTTATATTGCAAGGAAAGCTGTTGAATTGGACATAGTAGCTGGGTAAATGATTTTTTTTTTTCCATTTCATTTTTATGTTCTTCACAAATGTATTTTATAATTCTTGTAATTTTATTCTTTTAACTAACAAATATTTGTATTGTAAAATCAAAAATTTCAACTACTTAATCATAAATAATTTGAAATTATTAAAATAAATTATTTACTTTTACTAAATGTTAAGTTATTTACTAAATGTTAAGTGCAGTAAAGTAAATTTATTTTAAGACTATTTAATCTTCTTTAGAAGGACTACATAAATAATAAAAATTCTGAATTTCCTTATTGTTGTTTGTAGCACAGGCTAATTTTTTTTTAATTGATTTTTGTAGATGGTTTGAAATTTATTTTGTCGATTAATATTCATTAGTTTATTTTAACTTCATAAACGTATAGGTGTTTTTTATGGAAAAAATATATAATACACTTTAATTAAAGCCGTCTTATTATAATTTTGTTACACATATTTCATTTATTTATCTACCTTTTCCTATTTTATTTTAGACGAAGCCCCATTTCAGTGGCTGCTGCTGCTATTTACATGGCTTCTCAAGCTTCAGAAGATAAAAAGTCTCAGAAAGGTTAGCTTAGATAACTTTTTGTATACAAATTTATTTATCATTATTTAAATGCCGCATGTCCGTACTGTTTTAATCCTTTCTTTATATTACACTCTATAACTGCTTTGTGCATATTTTGTGTTATGTATTTTGAATTTATTAAATAATGTGAAAGATACTGATAAATTACACATTGTAGCAAGATACTGTAGAAAGATACTGATAAATTACACATTGTTACACATTCTAATCATAAGTTAAAGGCACTGGAAGTATCAAAACAGTTGACTACATTAGATTTTTGAGTTATAACTCATTCAATTTCTGTGTCAGCTTGTTTTTGGCTAATGATATTTTTACACTCCCTACCCCCCTCGATTCAACAAGAGATTTTGCTTAAATTCTGTAGAAAATAATATTTGTATTCAGCATCTGAGTACAATATGTATTGTTAAGATGCTTACGTATTTGAGTGTTTAAAAAGCATTTTACTTCTTTTTGTTTCTTTACTGTGTTGCAAATATTCCTCATTCAGAAAAAAATTATTGTTCTTCAAAATATGTTTAAAAAATCAGGTTGTTTAGTCTGAATTAAAATAATTTATAAACAAAAAAATCTTTGCTGTTCATAATTGCTTATAGTGGCATAATGCATATCTAGTATGATTGTTGTGTTCAGGTAATATTTTATTCTGTTGAACTATAATTCCTGTTGTACTATGTTCCACCCACCCCCCCACTTAGATGCCTCACTTCCAGAGTAAGTACAGGTCTGATGATGAAAAGTGCCTTTAAATCAGACAAAAGTATTAGTTTTAAAGTAAAAATACTTAAGTCCTTGTTTTTTCTTAGGCTTTAAATTACTATTAAATTTCCAGACAATTGCAATAAAAAAGTTGTTTTAAACTAATTTAGTTCCAAGTGTTGTAAAGCACTATTTTTAGACAAAAAATATACATTTTTTAGTGAATTAGTTGTTAGTTTTCATTTTTATCTTTTAATTTTTACTAAACAATATCAATGGTTTGAGTTTAACAGGAGTTTAGGAACTAAAAATCAGAAATAAACTATAAGTCAGAAACAAACTAAAATGTTCTGTTTAGTGACTGAAAAATTTAAATTAACTACATCTTGTTTAGTAGTAATAATTTTTTTTTCTGTATATAAGTTTGTAAATTGATCAAATAGTAAAATGATTCTTCACATAGAAAGCTATGTTAAATATTTAAAATGCATACAAAAATTTTCATCTTATAACATATTTGTTAAATTCATTATTTCCAATATAACTAGTTTGTCATATTGGAAACATGTGATTAGTCTTCTAAAACAATGTTCTAACAAAGATTAAATATGTCCTAATAGTATAAAACAGTTTAAGGAAAAAAAAATAATAAAATGACACTATTTTCATAGCCAATTTAGTACTACTATTTTAATAGTAAATTTTATTATTTAGAAATTGGAGATATAGCTGGAGTTGCTGATGTCACAATTCGACAATCCTACAAGCTGATGTACCCTAGAGCAAATGAGCTGTTCCCACCAGATTTCAAGTTCTTCACTCCTATTGAAAACTTGCCTCAACTATAATCAGGGATTTTTTTAAAAATTACCTGATTAAAATTTGTAAATACTTAGATGGACAAAATTCACAGACCAAATATTCATCAAAATCATATATTGTGAATACTTCATCTACAATAGTCAAGATAATATATGTGGATATTGTAAATTAAATGAGCCATTTTGTATAAAATTTTTATTTTACTTCTGGGTTGTAACTGTGATTGGTCAAAACTGATTTTAACCAGGATAATACATGAACTGTTGAGAATAGTTTTGTTCAACCTTATTATTATTGGTAAAAACATTGTTAATTGTGTATAACAGGAAAAGAATACTTCTCCCTATCAGCTGTTGAATAGTGAGTTTCTGCGGTCAAAATTGATATTGGCCAGTGGACGACATACCCTGGAAGTAACTTTTCGATGTAAATTCTTTTTCACCACTATTACTTATTTAAAAGAAAGAAAAAATTATCTACAGCAAATCTAGAATGAGCCTTGAAGTTTTAATTGCAGAAAAAGAATTTCCAGATTTAATTAAATGCAAACAACTTATAGGAAGAACTCCAAGGCAAAGTCCTAGGCTTTCTTCTCATAATCTACATGGTGCTTAGTGTTTTTTAAAGGTGCTTTTTTTTATTTTTGTTTTTTAAAAGCCTTTAAAGGTGCTTTTTTCTTTGGGTGTTTTTCAAAAGCGCTTGCTTATTTTCCTTTTTCGAAAATGAGATTTTTTTTCTTTACCATCTCAATTTTCGCCAAGTATTATGCAAAAGCTGCTTCTTACATTATTCTGTTCAACATTTTCCCAATTCATTCAACAACAATCCAGTTTGGCTTACCATCAGTCCATAGCGTATGAAAGCGCCAATCATTTTGCATGTTTGATGAAATACTTGCGAGTGTGCATTTTGCAAGATACTCGCAATTTCAGACTTCATTTTCCACCCTATGATATCGAACTGAAAAATCTCTTGATCATCATATAATGGCTAATATAATTGAGAAAAGAGTTCTTTGTCAGAAACTAGTTATTTTATCAGGATCATGTAAAGTCTGAAAATTATTTTGCATTTTGTTAACGTACATAGTGCTTAAAAAATTTTTTGAGTTCTTAAAGGATGCTTATTTTTTGTTGGAAGATTTGGCTACGCACCCTGAATCTATTTTGATATTTTAAAATTTTCTTTTTTAGTATTTGAAACTTAATGGCTTACTCTAGGTTAGTCTATACTTTAAATTAGTTATGGATGTGAAAGAGAATTAGCGACGAAGTATTTTTCCCGCGGTATGCTGTCCTCTTAAAACAAATACAACCCATTTCATTTGTTAAATATATTTTCATCATATAATTTGACTCTGAGAAAGAGGAGTTTTTAATGTAATATCATTAAACATCATTACATTTTTTTTGACATTACAAAAGTTTATGTAGCGATGAAAACCAATTTTTTCCCCTGTAAAATATATTTGTCATTAATAATTGTTTGATTTTCTTTGTTGTTACTTTATTTTCTTTAAGTATAATCTCTTATGTTTTATAGTACCATTTGTTAACGTTATGGTTATAGCGAACACTATAAATTCATTCGGGTAACTAAAGTTGAAAGCCTCAGTCTAATTACAATATTTTTCTAGAAACAAGTTTTATACTCAAGTCTTATCTATGCGTGATTCTGTAGTTATTAGAAAACACTAGTATACAATTTTTATGATCAACATTCTTGTACAGTTTGAAAATGGGAAGCTGTTCTTGTACATTACTATAAGTAGAATATTTTAGTTTGTCTGTATTTTGATGAAGTATTTTGCCCAAATAAATTTATCTTATCTAACTGTGTTATCATTTATTAAAAATTTTTGACTAGGTTTTTCAACTTGACTAAAAAAAAGAGAAAATATTTTTTTCAGGTTTAAAAAATTAGTACTAAGTTATAACAGTTATAAATGAGCATATAAATACAGTACAGAACCCGTTATCCGGAAATCAGAAAACCGGAAGACCAAGAAACCGGAACGAAATTCGGTAAATTTTTCCGCAATTTTTAAAAATTTTCCCGCAATTTTTAAGTAGAATATTTTAGTTTGTCTGTATTTTGATGAAGTATTTTGCCCAAATAAATTTATCTTATCTAACTGTGTTATAATTTATTAAAAATTTTTGACTAGGTTTTTCAACTTGACTAAAAAAAAGAGAAAATATTTTTTTCAGGTTTAAAAAATTAGTACTAAGTTATAACAGTTATAAATGAGCATATAAATACAGTACAGAACCCGTTATCCGGAAATCAGAAAACCGGAAGACCAAGAAACCGGAACGAAATTCGGTAAATTTTCCCGCAATTTTTAAAAAAAAATTTTTTTCCCTCATAAGATTTTAGGATTTTTCTTTCTTCTTTGAAAGATGTTTACCATACCATCATTTTAGAAATAATCATTACAGTATTACTTCATCGTTTTTTCTTCTTTTTAAGATTATTTACAATATTTTTTTTTTAGTTGGGTTTTACAATAAAAAAAAGCGGCTTTTTGTAGCGATTCAGAAAACCGGAAAAATCAGTTATCCGGAATAGCGATGGTCCCGATCGTTCCGGATAATCGGTTCCCTACTGTAGATAATAGGTAGGACCTATCATTTGTTTTTTATCTTTCAAATTCCCATCCCCCTTTTTTTAATGTTTAAAGCATTATTTAAAGAGCAAATTTAATTCACATGAAATTTTGTAATTTACGAAAAAGTAGAATAGTTTCAACATTAACTTATCCAGTGTTAAACAGATTTTTTAGAGGGCTATTTTATTTTAAACAGCTAAAATCAATCGAAATGAAGATTTTCATTTTTATTTAACTGTTACAGAATTTTTCAAGAAATTTTTTAACTAACAGATTCCAAACTATTTTGTATGCAATATTTGTTTTTGGATTACAAAGTTAAATAGATCAATTCAACAAAAGTAAATATCCCCTTTCTGATCAATCTAGATAAAATAAGTTGATATAGAATATAATTAATGTATTAACTGCTACAGTCAAAATTTTAACTTGCATAAACTCTGATGCTCCTTACTGGTATATTTTGTTAGGAATAAATTGTTACAAATTTTCCAATATAATGAATAACAAGTTTTTGTCGGTTATCAATTACGTAAAATTTCCAATATTCAATTATATTTCTTTCCTTTTCTGTAGATCATTTAATAGTTGAAGTTGTGTTAAAGCGGCCTTATGTCACTTATTCTTGTTTCAATCTACCCTTATTGCAAAGTTTTGTTTTAAATGAGTTAATGAGCATTATGAATTGAATTTAATTTTAATGTGTTTTTTAATTATAAAATATTTAATTTTCTCCTGTATCTTTAAAATAGAGATCTATACTGTTTATGGGCTCATTATTATTATGATATTCCCAATAAAAAGTAGTTTGTCCTGATTTTGTGTTATCAGATCATTTTATTCAGCAAATATTGTCAGGTTGAGATTTGAGGTTGGTTTCACAATTACTGTTAGTCTGTTTTATGCGATTTTAAAAATGACTGATTACAATCAACAATATAGTAATCATATAATTGAATTTTTAAATGGTAAATAGAGAGATCATCCACTTTGGCATAAAAATGTGAAACAGCGCAGTGTTTTTGTTTCGTTTATTTGATTGAGAAAGTAGTGAATTCAATTGCAAATTTAATATTGCTAAGAGAACATATTAACTGATTCTGGTCTTTTTTTAATGCAACAATACTTGAAATTATCTGTATATTGATCTCAAACTATGAGTTGTGTATTGCACCTTTTATAAAATTATACTAAAAACTTAAAGCTTTCTCTTCTAAACGAAGTAATATTAAAATTAAAAATAGTATATTTTATCATTCTTTTGCAATAAAACTTGCCTTAATAATAGTTAAGTAGAGCACTTTTTTATTTATTTAACTGTCAGACCCGATTTCGGATTCATGACTACTGATGTTCAACTCTGTAGCCTTGTAATTTATAACCCAATCCAGAGGACAAGGGAACTTCTGGGAGAAATTTTCCTTTGTGAAAGACTTTTTAATGAAACTAACCAGCATTTGCATTATGTGGGAAGTTTTCCTCCCATGTTAGCCTAGCGGGAAGGGGACTCTAACCTGTGAACTGCTGTGGTATTTTTATTTATTTTTTGACAGCACTGTGGTGTGTGCGGAATTCATATAGACTAGCCATCGCTGGGATTCGAATCCGGTTCACCTCATTTGAAGGCGAACGCTTTGTCCCTTGAGCCACCACGGCTTAATGTGGAGCAAATTATACTTTGTTTTTAGTCTATGCTGTTTTAAAAAATCTTGATTTTTTTTCTTTGGCCTACTACGAGGCTTATGTTTTTAAAAGGACACAGAAATTTTAAAGTCCTGGGTCCTACAGTTTTTATAAGAATTCTAGTGAAGTCATTGCACTAAATATCAATTTATTATAAGTAAAACTCTTTTTCCATTACTAATTGTATTAAGTGTTAATTAAAAGCAAATGAGTTTAAATAGAAATATTTTATTTACAAATAAAAATATTTTATGTATGAAAAAAAAAACTCATACATCAAGAATAAACAGTTTCTGTTTCATCCTCCAATGGCTTTATGTCTTTGTTTAAATATTCGAGTTCAGCTCTGTTAATAAAGGAAACAATTAGAAAACTGAGATTGTATCTAAATATTTGCAGATGTAGGAAATATTTCACTATTCAATGATTACCTTAATATGTTTTGATAAAAATCATACATTTTGCTTCCTGTCAGCTTCTGAAAAATAAATGTTTTAAAAGTCTGTAAATAAATCTAAGTAAAAATTAACAAGTGAACAATTATTAAGGATTGCTATAAGAAAGATTTAAATAAAATGTCAATTAATTTGTGTATGCTAACTCATTTTCTTATCTGTGATGTTTGAATTACTTTAATTTTTTACCTTTTGCTGACTAGCTAAGGATCTGAGCCTGATTACAGTATAAGTTTCAAGCCTTTCCTGGCGTATACAAGCAGAATTTATTGTCAATTTTTTTCAAGTGGCTTTAAGAAAATTTTATATTTATGTAGCATTTATTGCCAAATGAAATTTCAACCATTTTCCAACCTAAACAGAACTAAAAAAAAAAAAAAAATATTTTTTTAAAAAAATTAAAAACAACAACCCTTACAAGTGAACTACAAGGTAAAAAATTTTCTTTTTTACAAACTTAAACTGTAGAGTACATAACTTTTGTAACAAACTATAATCCCCTAAAATTCTCTTTTCAAAGGTAATGCATCCTATGTTTCTCATTTTAAGTCTGATAAAAAAAATTAAAAAAGTTTTCAACCTTTTGGTAATCTTGAAAATTATAGTAATTAAAATATTTACCTTATTATTTTCTGCATTTAGTCTAAGTGAGTTCAAATCATGGATTCTCAAAAGTATGTAAAATAGAGATAATTAAGAAAAGATGGTTTTTTGATAACTCTATCTTTAAATATATCCGGCCAAAAAATTATCAAAATCATACATTAAAATATCCATCTGGAATTGATTCAATTCCTTTCAAAAACAGCCTTAACTAAAATTTTAATTTCACTTTTAGTAAGCAGGGTTCCCAAAATTTACACGAATGAAATAATTAGAAGTTATAACCCTAATTTTTTAAAAAGTATTAAATCACTAAATATTTTATGAGACTAAATATTCTATGGTTCTTTTGCAAAATAAAGTATATTGAAAATCTACAAATAAAATCCACTAGAATGCCGATTTAAAAACTATTACAAGAGAAACAAAGCATAGTTGCAGTGATGGCACTATCCTTTGAATCGACGCAAAAAAAATTTATACTGTTAAAAAATGCATAACTTCTGAACTAGTAAATGAATTTTTCCGTACTAAGACAGGGTGCGTAGCCAAATCTTTGAATAAAAAATAAGCACTTTTTAAAAACTTCTCAAGCACTTTACGAAAATTTTCAAGAACTCAAAAAATTCATATTCAATCAATGATATTATTGAAAAACAAAAACTTTTTATAAACAGTTTTAGCGTTAAAAAAAACCTAAAAAGAAACGGGCGTAAATCGAAACAATCAGTACTTTCCCACATCACCGAGTGAATTCAACTTGACCCTGAACTCAGTACAAAAGTACCCTTATCCCCTACGTCAAAAAAAGTGTCAGAAGTAAAATAAAATAAACAAGAACAAAATTAAAATAAATTAAAAAGAAAAACATTTCATAAGGATCTGATATTCTCTATCTGAATTGGAGCACGAATGATTACGTAGCAAACTCCCCATTTTTCGTAAAATGCATGGGATCCACCAGATATCACTGAAGGGGAAAAAAAAGCACTTTTTAAAAACGCCAGCTGGAAAAAGCACCTTCAAAAGCTTTTAAAAACGAAATCCCCTAAAAAAGCACCTTTAAGTACTTTTTACAAACGCTACGCACCCTGTAAGATGTACTCTCCATACTACGGGGGTCCTAGGGGCCATCCATCAATGATGCCTCACTTTTTTATTTCAATATTTTGACCCGTTAGTCACAAAGTACACACCTTATATAATGTACTAGCAGTTCATAAATAAAAAGCATGTTATAGACCATACTTCATAATTTATTTTTTAAGTAACTACATTTTTTAATTACATTTGTAAGCATAATAACTTTTAGAAGTGCTCTTTCTTTGACGTAAAAGATGGCGAAGAAATAAAGCCCAAAATAATGTAATAATTGATTTTAAATGTTTTTAGTTTAATCATAATGTCACGTTTGTTATTACCCCCTCCAAATATGGCATCATTTATAGACAACTCCCCCCCCCCACTTTAAATATGCTTATCAATTACAGGCAATAGTCATTCAATGAAGTTAACTTAATGTTGGAAGAAATAATCAGTGCCGTTCCTGGCGGGTATGCAGCGAATGCCCCGCATGCAGGCGCCCAATTTAAGGGGCGCCAAATTCAACTATTCGAAAAAAATCAAATTATAGCAACTTATTAAAAATCAAATTATAGCAAAGCTGTAAACTTTGATTTCAGGAAGAAACAGTAAACTAATATAAGAAGTAACTTCTACACTTTGCTTCTAGATTTAGATTTTTTGTTAATTTCCGAATGGACGTGTTTTATTTATGACCTATATTGTACGTTAATAGTCTATTTCATTTGATGTCGAAAATAAATTTTTTGTCATATTTTTGCGTTGTTCTATTTTATTACGCCCATTTTCATAATCAAACACTTACACTAAAGTGACTTTAGTCCATAAGGACACTATTCAGTTTAAACCTCAAACTAAAAATGATTATGAAAATTGGCCTTATCATCAAAATTTAAGCATAGTATATAGGGGCGCACAAAATTATTCTTGCACGCAGGCGTTCGCCACCCCAGGAACGGCACTGGAAATAATACAGAAAATATTATAATGAGCACTAATAAAAATAATTACTAACAACTCTCACTAGAATAAAAAAGTATCATCAGCGCTATATAGTTTTATAATATTAAAACAGTTCTTTAATTATTTTAAGTAGACCACATTATGTTATTTTCAGCATTATTTATGGCATAAGTAATATCTTAATAAATGTGATGGGGGTGATTGTCCAAAGATAATTATATTTAATTGTTTGCATTATTAAAAGTTGTACTTACCTTATGACGAAAAAGTGTAGAACAGCCATAACACAAATTATTTGAAATATTCCTATAAAACAATTAGAAATACATATATGAGGTGCGCAATATATATCTATAGGAAGTATACAATATATACAAGTGTGACAAAATAGTGGTCAAAATTACAAGNTGTAGAACAGCCATAACACAAATTATTTGAAATATTCCTATAAAACAATTAGAAATACATATATGAGGTGCGCAATATATATCTATAGGAAGTATACAATATATACAAGTGTGATAAAAAAGTGGTCGAAATTACAAGAGGAGGTAGAACAGGGTATAAGCGATGAGGAATTAAATCATTTTGGACTAGCTGCATGTGCACATTAAAAACGATACTTATATTCAACTGCATTGCCTTAATTTTAATTGTTGTCAAAATATTCATTCAAACAGAACAAAGAATAACTGTTTAGTTGCAATTTAATGATTTGGAGACCAATAAAATAATATATCGATATCTGGAACTTGAAAATAAAAAAGGCTGTCTCTTAAGTTAAATGATTTATCTGCAGCCATTTTTATAAAATTTAAAAGAAAAATAGTACTGAAAGCAATGTATGTAAAACAAATTCTTATAAGCGTGTGCTGTATTTTAAGAACCCTTGCTGAAAAGAAAATATACAACATGAGTGGTCAAAGAAATACTTGTAAGATTAAATTTTTATCTCATAAATAAAGCAAAAAAGATATGAAAAATTCATTTGTAAACTCACTATTTCTTAATTATTCTGCCTTTACTTACATACTATATTCAGCTTTTACTTACATATTTTTAAAGCCAGCTGAAGGATCAGTAAAGAAATTGCTTTCTTGCTCTTTCATACTGGACTCTACGGCTGATACACTTTCTGAAATTTTGAGAGCTTCCACGGCAGAACAAGGATCAGGATCTACATTGTCCAACTTTGACTAAAAATAAAATAAAATTTTGTTTTAGGTATGGCCAAAAAACGTAGAAAAATAAAAGCAATGATATTTTTTAAAAATGCTTAATTTAATACTTAAATTGCGTTATTACCTGTTTAGGGTAGTCTCAACCACTCAAAAAAAAAATTTTTTCCTTGATTTTTTCAGATTGATTTTAACGAATTTCGTTACATTTTTTTTTTAATGGTGGTGTAAATATTATTAATTTTTCAGTTATTCTTTTTTATAAAATTCTTATACTTGCTATTAGAATTTAAAATAAGCAATTTTTTTTGTATTCTTTAAAATTATAACTAGATCAATTTCGTTTTGGAAAAAATTCTAGATTTTAAAATATCTTAAATTAATTCATTTTTTTCCCTTAACTTTTGGGTATTTAAATGAAACTCTCTGGCATTTCCTTGATTTTTTCAGATTTTTAAAATTCCTTGACTTTTCCCTGTTTCATGACCACAATGATTCTGTTATATTGGAAACTCATTATATTTCACGTACAAGATCATTTTTAAAATTTATTAAAAACGTCATATAATCCTGTTTTTAAAAATTTATCTTAATGGATACAGAAAATTATTTAAACTCCATAATAAAGAAAAATAGACTGATTGAAGGGGAAAAAAAAAACTAAATGTAACACTCATTTTCTCCTACTATTCCTTAACTGCAATTAAGATTATCAATTAATAAATTAGTATGAATTTCATTAATCTCCTCAGCAATTCTATTATGAAATTTTTGGTCAAACATTTTTTATTTATCTAGATTTTTATTTAAACATTCCATAAAAGTTAATAATAAAAGACATAGACAAATAATGCATACTATTGTATACATTATTTGTTTGGAGTTTTATTATAATTTGCGTCGTTTTAATATTTAGTTCCACGGAAATTACTTACAGTGATTACATGAATTTTACAGAACATGCATAAAGTGTAAATCAAAAATTTGATACAGGTATTTCCTTATCTTATTTCAGACATTATTTTACGGAATTAGAGTTACACTAATTTTACAAATTATGTATCAAGTGAGTATTAAAAACTTAATACATGTATTTCACTATATTTCAGACAGGTTAAAAGAAAATGAAGTAGTTTTTATAAAGAGTTAAAATTAAAAATGGTAATTTAATTGCAATTCATACAAAATTAGTATAAAAATTTAAATTATCAAAAAGAAAATTATTTTTTTTAAAAAAATTACAAACAATGAATCTTACAATATTAAAAAAAAAAATCATTACTTTACAAATTAAACAGATTTCCTCAGCTAATAATGAGCTGTCCAGAGATAGCTTGCCTCCAGTTCTAAAAAAAGGAACAAAATATAAACAATTTGTATCTAAATGAGAGAGGATATCTTTTTTTATATAAGTTAAACACACAGTAAATAAAGAAAAGAACACTTTTTTAAATATTTTAACTTTCCTGCAATGCTTTTATTTTGTAATGAACTAAATAGACTTAAATATACATTTTTTATTATCTTCATTAATAACAATCACAATGTTAAACAGTAAAAATTATTAAAATCATTTTATTATTAAATTCATTTATTTGTTACTGAATTTTATTCTAGAAAAATATATAGGTTAAAAATTTTGATGATATCAAAAAAATGTATTTTTTATGTTGATTTATTTGTTTTAAATTAACTTCTAATTTAAGGCTCATTTAATTGAAATGCTGATTTGATGTTATGTTTGAAAAATTCAGTGTTCATAAAGACTTATTTTATTATGCCACACATATTTATTTTGCTAAATCTTTTAATTCTTATGATCTCAAAAAATGAAAGATCTAAGAGACAATTTTGGAGTAGAAAAAGGATTCCAGTGCACTTGGTAATAAAGAGTCAATGAAAAATAACACAAAGCTTTTAGTGAGGTAACTTACTAAGATGCAAGGGAGGGAGGGGAGATATGAGAAGTTCAGATGGATGCTGTAAGATTGTGATGGAGCAACCAAAATTATGAAGTAAGCTAAGAATTGAAAGTGTTAGCCCAATCATTTAGTTTAACATGATAGAATAAGTATAAATTATATTTAAAATTAACTTTTAATAAAAGTTAAAAGATTATAAAGACTAAAAAAATAACTATAGACTAAATATAAAATTGCTAATTTTTAATTAAAAAAATTGAAAACTTTTAATATTCTCTATTATATGGATTATCTCCAATACATGGATTATTTGTAAATTTTATTACTAATCCATTACCAATAAAAATATATTTATTAAGTTTTATTCATATCTTTAATTTGTAATGACAATGATTTCATGAGCATTTTGATAACTATTCTCACTCTAATGATTATTAAATAAATTTTGAACCCTCTTTCCGTGCCTAAGACTTGTTCTTAGCCTTCCACTTGGTAANATATATATGTATGCAAATATAATTACATATATATGCTAATTTAAGAGTGAGCAAATGAGAATAACGATTAATTTCTATTGCTCATTTTTAAATTTGCTTTGAATTTATAAATCAATTTTATATACATATTCTTTTAGCCTATTGCTCAATGCTGGACAACAAGTGGATCAGCATGACAAGCTATACCATACTAAATGTCATAAACAAATAGATGAATCAAGTAAAAAAATTATTAGTAGATTTTTAAAAATACTATTACATGATTAAAGAAATAAAAAGTAAACAAAAATTATTTTAAAAATATAAAAACAACACTATATTAAAAAATTTCAAATGCAAAAATAACTCTTAATNTTTTTTTTTTTTTTTTTTTTTTTTTTTTTTTTACCTGAATATAGTGAATACAGTTGCTGGAAATTGTTCTTGAAGTTCAGTAACAAAACATTCAGTCAATTTCTGTATGCAAGATGTTGGATTTACCTATTAAAATAAAGCAATGTTTGTAATCAATAAAGAATTTAATTTTGTAACTGTTTATGAAACAGCTGATTTTTTTTCTTCATAAACATCAAACTTAACGTGTTAATTTTGCAACAAACAGTAAACGTTTTTTAAGAACGATATGTAGATTTACAACTTAGGAAAAATAGTTAGCAAGTTTATATCTTTAAATGAATGAAACTCAAATTGATCAGAAAGTGTTTAGAAGTGAATTGTTTATTCTTATATTAAATTTTTTCCCCTTTTATATAATTTTTAAAAAAAAATTTATAATTTTATGTTTTAATACATTTCAGTTAAATTAATCTTAAAAATCTTTATGAAAATTATGTAAAGTTCATTTTGTTAGGCTGTCTAAAGTTATAACTTATGTAGTGTTGAATAGTATGTTAAATATTTATTTAGAATAATTTTGTATTCTAATAGAAATAAAACTTAGCTGCAAAGTAATTATTTAGATTTATTTTTGATTCTTTCTTAAAATTGCGGTAGAAATTTTAAAAATAAAGGGTGTTATGATGACGCATACTGTCATAGTAATTATTGGTGGCAAAGCTTGCCTTTTTTCAAGCATTAACATATTTATACATTATATGATACTCAAGCTCGAGAGGTGTATGAAAAAGTAGTACAACACATAATGGAGCATTGGATGAGTTTTCTATCTTATCTCAAGGTAGAGATAAAAATAATTTTAATACTTCTGTTATCTACTGTGCTGAAATATGCTGAAATTATATTTTTGGTGGTGTGTGTGACTTAATACCTGGCAGACAGATTTTAAATTATTACTAAAATTAAATGCATGAAGAACTTTTACGATATCGCAGACGTCTCTTGAAAATAATAAAAAGTTAAATCAAAGTACATTTTGAGCTTTCGGCAACAATTAAAAAATTTGGTTAGTATATTGTTTAAAACTAATTAAGGTGTCACGATTTGAGGAGTGGTTGTAGAATTAGATTAGAATGTTTAACTACAGTTGTGCTGAGCATTCAGGTTAGTTACTATTAAAACTTTTATGTTGTACAAGATAATTAGAAGGGTGACCAATATATCATGTACAACGTATGTACTATTAATAATATAGTTACCTTAGTGAGCAAGTCAGGATTAACCATATAAGAGCAACCATGCAAATGATTGTAGATTAGCAATTCTTTATCCAGAAATTCTCTGTAAATATTGTATAATAGTGAACATTTGACTGCGAAATAATAAAAACTGATATAAGCAACACTAGAACAAAATTTAACAATGAAGAATTTTAAAGTAAAAATGAAAAAAACAATTTCGGTGATGATCAAATACAAATATTACCATTGTACTGAAATTAGTCTGAAACTTTTATTGATACTGTGATGATTTTTCTAACTGAGTAAACTCTTTAATTTAAATCAATTTTAAAAACAAAATAGATAATGGTTATTATATATTATTAGCAATGGATAAAAGTGCAACTAATAAATTTTATAAACTAAATAATATATTTAAACTTAATATAAACTTAAAATCTATATAAACTTAATATAAGTGTGTTTGTATTATCTTTATACACATCTACCCCTCATACAAATCAGGAATCGCATCTAATTTAGGGAACATACATTTGAGGACAAGGCAGTCATCACTATCTACATCATTATAAACAATTATAAATGCTTAAATATATTAAAACAATAAAAACAATGCCTTCCAAATTAATAAAATATTTCTGAAAATTCATTGCTTGCATTTGGAACTTAATAATATTAAATTTAGAATAATTTATGAAAGCAAAGATATAATCAAAAATAATATTCGCATAACTTGATATAGCATGATTTTAAGAAATAAACATTTTGTAAATTTGTAGTAAATTAATTACCTGATTGGTCTGCAAATAGGCACTTTGTAACGTGAGTCATAGAAACTCTGAAAGAAGAATATAAATAAGATGCTTTGTCTTATTTACTGATAAATGCCAATGGCAAAATTGTTTTTGTAATGTCTCAAAATATAAACCATAAAGATTTTTATGCCAGTAGGTTTTGCTGGAAAAACTAATAAAAAATGTCTTAGACTATTCATTTCAGAACAGAATTTTTATGCTAAAAAAAATATTTTATTATTATTTTTTAATCTAAAAATAACAATATAACAAAGACATACTATATATTTAATACAAATTATAGCATCTCTTTATTATATTGTGCTTTTCAGTGAAGAAAAAAAAAAGACTATTAAGGATTGTACTATTATAGTATCAAAAAGTCTCAACAAATATATTTGTACCAATATATATTTTTAGAATTTGACTAAACAATTGCTGTATTTAAATTAATATCTTTACAAAAAAACTAAAACTCTGTACATTTATTAAAGATAAGATGGCCAAATCTTTATATCACTAACTAGAAGTGCTACACTAAAAATTTCGCGATGTAGAAAATTTTATGACATCAAAGATTCAAATATTTTAATCTAATATGAAATATTTTTAAAAATTTAGCCCAACATTCACCTGTACAGACATTTTGAAATTCATATAACAAGTGTTCAAAAACAGTTACTTCAAATATTATCGAAGATGTGTGTATTTTAATTTAATATGAAAAAGTTTTAAAAATGTAGTCAAACTAATACCTGTAGGCTTTTAAAAAATTATATGACATGCAAAGAGGGAAAGAATAAAAATACTTTTACAAATTGTTCAGAAAGAATTATACTTTTACATTACAAGAAAAACTAACTGTGTCAGATGAAATTTGTGAGCCCCTTCCAAGACTTATGTCAGTCAATAAATTTACTGCTAAGCTATTACCAGAATCTCCAACAAATAGGTAATGATATCCCATCTGATTAGCTATTTCAGTCATTAATAATAATCTAGAAATATAAAAAGACATGGTGCACATGAAAAAATGCAATAATTCATGTATAAATCTTTAATATATATTTATTACGAGAAAATAAATTCATAAAAGTAGCAGAAAAAATTTTAAGTAATTATCATTAGAATATTACCAAAAGTTGATAAAGTGTAATTTTCTAAGGGGGAAAAAACACAATTCATATAAAATATATTTTTTAACCATGATGAAAATTAATTTAAAAAAAATATTTAAATTTAAGGAACTCAAGATCATATAGTCCACTTTAGTGACCTTAAAAAAATTACACAGCTAAAGGGTTTAAAAAAATATGTTTAAAAGAAATAAAACCAAAACACAAAAACCATAAAAATAGAAAAATGCAAACAACAGAAAACACAAATTAGAAAGAAAAAAAACCTGAATAACATTTTAAGTAATGATCAGATTTGTACTTACCAAGACTCAATTTTATTGTTTTATGGTTTGAAGGCCTCTTTTTAAATATCAAATTTAATCAGCACAAGCGATATTTTAATGATAAAATCCGACACAAAATGCATTTTCTCTGATTGAACATGCTTTTTTTATGGACAGAGTTGTATTTTTGACACTCAAAATATGGGAGTAGCCCCACTCTGGAAAATACAGTCCCACTAGTTTGTTTCGCCAAAATTTTAAATACTAATTTCACTATCTGCTTATTTAGCCGTATCTCTTGAACTAATGAATGATAATAAAATATGAATAGAATATTTAATTATTCTATTCTTATTTTAGTCTTATTTGTATTTAATGTGATTTTTCATATTTTTACCATTTGATGTTTTACCTGACCTTACTTTTATATGTTTGTGCCTGTATTTTTGACACTTTTACTGTTGGTTAATTTCATTCACTTAGATGTTTTGAACACTTTTAATTTTTATTCTGTTTTATTTTCATCATCTTTTCGATTTTGGGATTTTTCCTATGCGTATCAATCTTTATAGTTTTGATTTTACTTTTCTGTAGTTTTGTCGTGTTCAATTCACGTGACAACAGGTGGAACCCTTATCCGCAAACTCCTTCGGGGGTAGGTCGGTTACTATTAGTCTTGAACTAATGAAACTTATATTTATGAAACTTTTTACACACATATACTTATCCAATGATAATTCCAAACAAAAAATAATTTTTTATTTTAACAATGAGCTAAAAAATTTAAGGTTCACAAATTTTTACACAATATTACTCTATGCATTTTTAACGGACAAAATCGAAAAAATTGAAAAGATTCAATCAATTAGTTCTGCTGAATTAAAAACTTAATTTCTTTGAGATGACAAAATACATTAATGGAGAAATTTGCATAAAGGGGTCCAAACTCTTGATCCCTCTCCTGACCAAACTATTGGGACCACATTTTTCAAATTGCGGCTACTAGATAAAAAGGTATGTTTATTAAACAAAGATTATGCAGTTTAATGTCTTATTTTGTAAATGCAAATCAATTAGCATATTTTAGGTTACGTCATTGAACCAATAATTTTGAGTTTCAAAATGTAAAAATTCAGTCATTAGATTAAAAGTTATTCAGGCTGTTCTATTTTGATCACTGCGCACAAACAACAAAAATGTTACCTTTTTTTCAGATTGTGTCAAAGTGTGGCAAACATAGTATTAAATAGGATGTTAATTTAGAATTATGTTATTACATGATAATGACAACTTAATAAGGTAAAATAAAGTAATTTTTTTTAAAAATGTCGATTATCAACATTTGTAGATAAAAATTCTAAAAATATCAATAAAAAGTAAAACAGAACAGAAAAAATAAAAAGTATTGTTAAAAACATTCACTAAAAAATCGAGTAATGGAAGTTTAATTGGACTTGAAATAAATCATTTCATTTCGAAGTTAGACAGTACAACATTCAACCCACCTCATATGTTTTAGCAGATCGTATCTTTCGGATAAACTCATGTCACTCATACAAACTTGAAACCAGTTTTGTGATTCTAAATCTGGTACTTTATCTGAAGCTTTCAAACATGAGGAATTCCAGTAAATTTCTTTATTGTTTAATTTGCAAACCTAAATAGCATGAAAGTTAAATTAAAATACTGGCAAAGTAATTAAATAACAAAAATAAAAACCTTTAAGAATTATGCAGGCTATTATAGAATTTTTAGCTACCTAACAGACTAGTTAAAATTTAGCTAAGGCACAATCAAGTTAACATTTTATAGATATTATTAGTAAAAAAAAATTGATTTTTTACTAAAACATAAGACAATTTCTTTTTTTAATTTATATCTTTTTAAATAGAAGTGTTTCAAGAAGAAATTTCTTAACTTTTTTAATGTGATTCTACAGATTGAAATCTGAGAATTTTGAGTTCTTCTCACTTTTCTTACTAAGCCAAACAAAACTTGCTTCTTTTTTCCCCTCACATGATAAAAACTGCTTTACTCGTTCTTCTCAGTGTATTGCATGTACAATGGCTACATTTAAGAAAAGGAATATAGAATCTTATTACCCATTACCCCACTCATTTGCGACATAAAGTACCAGGGTGCATAGCCAGATTTTTCATCAAAAAATAAGCACTTCTTAAGTACTTTTTAAGAACTCAAAAAATATTTTAAATCACTTAAAAAAAAACAAAAAAATCTTGATTAGGACCTGTGCAGTAATAAAAATTATTTTTTTCTTTAGTTTAAAGTTCTTAATTTATAAACATAAAATCAATAAAATTCAAAAACATTTTTCCAATACTTCGCATAATAATGATAAAATAACTAGTCTCTGATAAATATTGCAGGGAAAATTGAGAAAATCCTGCATTTTTCGTAATTCACGACGACAATCGACATGCAAAGAAAAACTATTTTTAAAAGATAAAAAATTAATCACTTTTTACAAACCCCCCAAAAAAGCCCCTTTAAGGGCTTTTTAAAAAATGTAAATGATAAAAGCACCTTTAAGCACTTTTTAAAAACGCTACGCACCCTGAGTACTTATTGTTAGCTATGAATTATATTTTGTATAGTTAGAAAATAGACCAGAAAAAACTCCAAGCATGGGTCCTACTATAGCAATAAATTAAGCTCTATGAGGAAGATAATTAAGAATAATAAATATCTTTGAAAAATTATGATAAAGTAAAGTAGTTTTCTTGCTTTCATACATAATTCAGTTATATTTTAAAAATATTTACAATTTGGGGTCAGAACTTTATAAAAGGTTTTCCAAAAATATTAAAAATAGCATTACTCAATTTCATTTATAACTGTGAAAATAAATAATAAAAGTTTTTATTAAAAAAAAATATTTCAGTATTACAAAAGAATGTGTGAATACATTTGGCTTTTATAAATAAAGAACGCAATGCAAGCAAATACAAAAGCAATATTCCAGGAATTAATAAAATATTTTTCTATACCATTTCAAGAAGGCTAATAAAAACAGGGTAGCCATATTCTTCCAATTTGCAAACAATATCTTGACTTGAATTCACAATTTTCTCAGATATAAAAGGAGACAACACTGTTTCTAAAGTACGGAAATATTTATGAAATTATGAATTTGAATATTTAAGAAATCAGCTTTAATTTTAAAAATAGATATAAAAAGTCTACTATTAGCATCAGTATATATTTAGTCTACTGTTTAGCATTCAAATTCATGATCGAAGGATGTCCAACTATATTAGGCGTGAATAAGTTGAGTCCTGATTATTGCAAATTCTGAGATTTGAGAAGTATATATAGAGGCAGAGATACACAGAATAAAAAAAAAATTAGGTATATGAAACTGAATTTATTAATAAGTTTTTATCAAAATAAGTTTATCTTTGTTTTTACAAGCCTCAAAAATTCTAACCTTTATCAATGATTTTTCTAGTAATACTGGAGTATAGTTCTCAAAAGTATAATTAAATGTCAAACCAAACATAATATAAGATAAATTAGAGATGTGTTTGGAAACAACACAGACATTTTACGTCATACCTAAACGCACATATTATTTTGCATAGTATAAATGTTACTTTTTAATATGTATTTTTTTAAACTTATAAATGAAATTTATATTACTCACAATAAAAAATTATTAATTATTAGTAAATTATTTAGTTAAATTTTAAATCCATTATTAATTAATAATATTGTTTAAGTTTTAAAATGAATAGAAATGAATAATAATTTAAGGAAAATAAATGGAACTACTTTGTTATCTTTAATTTTTTACTGCAACTTTTGACAATTTTCTTTTTTTTTTTTCATGGCTAACTTTATCTTGGCTGTGTTCTATTGGTATCAACAACAAGTTTAACAATACTACTTACTATGTTAAAAATTATGGTTTTATTAATTCAAAAAAATTATTGAAGGTATCAATTATTAATAAAGAAAAATTTGATTAAGTAATCAACATTTGGGCATCAAAATTGGTAGAGCTTAACAAATCAGAAAATTTTGATTTTTTTACTCTGATTAAAATCATTGATAAATTTAAACTATTGACAAAGAAATACAGTCAACTTTAATTAAATGTTTGCTCTTGAACATCACATTTGAGATGAATACACCATTATTTAGTCCTAAACAAGATTATTAATATTGAATAATATACATTTTATAATTAAAAACAAATACAGTCAACATATATCTTTGCCAGAGCAATAGATTTGAGAGCACTCAACAACAATGATATTAGATTTGCAAAAAGTAAACTAAAACTGATGCCTTCAAAAAACCATAAATATTAAAAAATATATACAATCTATAAATGTTTTAGATGCATAGCAACAATAAAATCTTTTAACATTACAGCCAGTTATATATTCTCAGCATGTTTTCAAATACAACAGATTTTTCATTTCACGTTTATTCCACAAGAAACAACAATCTGATTCAAAAAAATATCAGCCCTTCACTCAGGTTCTGTACATGCACATTGCTTCACAGTTGGATCTAATTAGTCCCTATTTTTTCGGCATTGTACATAGATTAAAGAAAATAAAAGGCAATAGCCATTGATTAATTAAAAAAGAAAAAACAATAGTGTAAGGAATTCTGTACAATGACACTTTAAAAAAATCATAACTGAAGAGATATCCAAATAACATCAATACCTTTATTTCATTAATCTACTTGCAATTATTATTACTAATATTTGCAATTATGAATAGATTGTAATGTGGTTAAGAGCTATCAAACAGTGCCTAGCATCAAATAATTAAGGTAAAACAATTAAACACCGTTATACACAAAACTCAGACTGAAAACAAATTGGGAAAAAATAAAGAAAGAAAAAAAAAGCATAGACAATTCCATAATTCACATATAAAATAACTAAATTTTATATTTTTTTATGTTTTTGAAATTTTATATTTTATTAAAAATTAATCATTAAAAACAGTTAAAATCATTAATAAAGAACCAGAAGATCATTTTAGCACTAAATAAAAGTATAAGCATTAAAGTGGTTACAAATGTAATTTAAATGTTGACAATAAAATAATAAACAAAAGCAGACAGTAAAATGATATTATAAAACAATAATTTCAAAAAAAAAGAAATAAAATTTTAAAAAATTTACCATCAATGTATAGAATTCCAGGAGTAAAAGATATTTGCTTGGCAGATGCAGAATCCAATGCCTGAAAAAAAATTTAATGAATATTAGGCATCAAATAATAAAAAAATGTCATATTTTTTAAAATCCTTTTTAGTTCTATTAAATTAAACCAATACTAAATACAACAAATTTTAACCTGAAATAGGATAAAACTAGAACTGGGGATCTAAAATTGTATTAGCCTTTAAAGTAAAAATAAAAAATACAATTTCCGAAAATGAGACCCTATAAAATACTGGGTGTTAAAAAAAATAAAAAATTTGAGTCCTTAAAAATGGTGTTTAGTAAATGAAGTTATAAAACATATTCATGAATTTAAAAAAAGCAGAGTGACATAATCAATGCTTTTAAATATGTTATTTCATATAATGAAACATAATGTTTATTCACGAATATTTATCACAGTTAACTTGAACCAATGAAGATTAAATTTTTTATAAGTATTGGCTGAAAAGGAATAGGGTTTGAATCTCATGAACAGCTAGTTTGAAGCCCATCCTGCTTCAGAATAAGGTAGGCATAAGTTTGTCTGAAAGATAAAGGTGGTCAGTGCACAATACTGATCACATTGCTACTATTATGTTGTTGGTCACAAAAATTTTAGTGCTTTAACTTCCATGAATCCCCTATCTCATAATGGGCTATAGTGGGAATACTTTAATTATTAGTTATACAGGGTGTGTAGCCAAATCTTTCAACAAAAAATAAGAACTTTTTAGGCACTCAAAAAATATTTTTAAGCGCTATATACACTAACAAAGGAAAAATTAATTTTCAAAGACTTTACATGATCATGATAAAATAACTAGTTTCTGGCGAAGAACTATTTTCTTGATTATATTAGCCACCTTAAAAAGATCGAGAGATTTTTATTTTCATTGGCCCTTTCATACGCTATGTACCTACAGTAAGCCAAAATGGAATGTGGGTGAATGAACTGCAAAAACGTTGAATAGAACAATGTGAAAAGCACGCTTCCATATAATATGTGGTGAAAATCGACATGCTAAAGAAAAAAAATCTTATTTTCAAAACGGAAAATTAAGCCCTTTTTAAAAACACCCAATTGAAAAAGCATCTTTAAGGGCTCTTGAAAAAATGAAAATCAAAAATAAGCACCTTTAAGCACTTTTTAAAAATGCTAGGCACCACGTTCTATCTTTGATATATTTACTTTGTAAACCATGGAGATAGTATTTTCATCTGTTTCGAAACAGAGAAGTTGGCTTGTGATTAAAAAGGTTCTTAAATGCTTACCACAACTAGCTATGGAAAACGGCACACTCCCCTCTCCTATGAGTCTGAAAAAAGTGCACACAATTTGCTCAGCTAAACACCGCTTTTTCTTTAAATAATATGGGAAAAACTAGTTTTTTGCTACAGAAAATTAACCCACTTAAAATGTGGAAAAAGTCAGAATTAACTAGAGAAAAGTTAGCTCATATGCAGATTGAAGATCTTTTAGATAGTTAAAAAATTATTATTTATCATAAGTAAAATTAAAAGGCTGTTTAGGTAATTTCTTCATGGTAATATCAACTTCGTTATCACCAGGAAAATCATGGTGAAGAGAATTTTTCAGGTAATAATGTTGCACATATTATAATTTTATAATCATAATTTCATAATTATAAGTTTATTATAATGCTTAATTTTATAAATGAAACAATTTAATAGACAGTTAAATACTATGGTTCAATTATTTTAGTTTAAACTCTACAAAAATAATATTAAGCATTTAAATAGTAAATATTATTTACAACTATATCACTGTGAGTAAATAAAGAAAAAAATCAATAAAGTATAAACCTATTTGTTATTTTTTTTTATATATATATATACCTGTTTGGTCATATGAAGCATCGCAGTTGATTTCCTTCCCCCTGAACAAGCTATCAATACTTTGTCCCCATGTTTCACCCTTTTGGTTTTCCCGATTGTAGATCGAAATTTGTGATTGCAGTATTCAAAAAAGCATGACCTATAAAAATTTATAAATTAACAATTATATATCCACTACTAAATTTCATCCTAAAAAAAATAGTAATTATTACTTGCAAAATGGATCTTTCTTTTGTAGAAGAACAACTGGCTTCTCTTCACATTTTTTACACTTGTTGTAAGATCTAGAAAATTATGTAAACTTGCGGTTAAAAAAAAAATTTAAAGATTAACCTAAAAAAGACATTTCAAAAATTAACTGCAATTTATTTTTTAACAATGCCTTAATGCCATTTTTTTAATGTAATTCAGAAAGGACTATGAATTTTTCCAGAATTCAAAAAATAAAAATTACAATAGCTTGAAAGTTAACAGTAAACTAGATTGCAATCATGAACTGTTTGTAAAATTGTCATAATATTTAATATTTCTTTATGAAATAGAATTGCTTCCCTCTTTTTCACTAGGTGAATATTTTCGGATCATTACCAACGTCAAAGAAATCGCCAAGTTTAGACAACTTCTGGGAAGTGGCTCTTAAAATTTTAATAAAAAGGGGATGGGAGATTTTTGTATCGTAATGTGTGGCAGAATAATCCCCACGTCTTAGCAATTTTCCAGCAGCGATCCACGAGAAAGAAAAACATCACAGAAAGTAACCAACTTGAAGGTTATAACTCGTAGCCACACCCGAGAAAACATCTGTCTCTCTTTTTTTTTTAATTACCTGTTCAAAATCTATTTAGCGCCTTGGCGATTGTAGTTGGTGCGGCAGATCATGATACGGAAGTATCCCCCCAAAAAGAGACCAACTCCATAGGTATCATTCGTAGTATAGACAAACCAATTTTTTTTTTAATCTGAGGCAGTCTTTTTTTACTATGGAAGATACTTGCCATCTCATATCATAATTGCTTTTATCTGAACAGATAAAATCAAGATAAATACAAATTAAGCAGACATAGACTGAGATTTAAATTTTATGATAAAGTAGTTTTTTCAATGAGATTTATAAATTATAAAATCAAAACTTGCTATTATTCTTCCCAACCTTTATTTTCTGGATATTAGTTAGATTAAAAAATAAAAACTAATTTAATTAAATCACTGAAAAGAAAATGACCTACGTTTTTGAAGTCTTATTGTTTTGATATTGAGATACAGGAGCTAAATCCTCTATATCTCCACTGCCGTCACACATTTCCAAACGAGTATTCTGATTCTTTTAAATGTACTTATTTTAAAACCTTTACATCTATCTTAAAACTTGAAAAATGCATGCAAATGTTTATTTTTGAGTGATGCTTTATGCAATAACCGGTGATGAATTTCACTGCGAAAATTGTTTTGCTTAAAGCTCTATTTAAATTATCTTTATCCACCCAAATTTGCCTCTCTACTATTTAGATTTATAACTATGCTGTTTTTTTAGAATCCAATCTCGTTTTCATTCGAGAAAAGACGCCATTATCGTGAAATATCGTAGAGGTACGTGATTTTCTGAAATTTTTGTTTATATTGTTTTTTGGCGCGTACATTTGGCATGAATTGTGATGTTTCTTGTTTATTCATTGTCGTAATGGTCGTAAGACATGTTTCTTGTAAAATTACGCCTGTTTTTTCGTAAAACATAATAATTTGTTTGATTTTATTATGTATGTCCATGCAATACAGTTTTGCTCAAGATTTTCCTTTAATATGTGTCACTTAAATGTCATAAATAATTTCATATTGCTTATTTTAACTATTTATTATTAATTGTGTTATCTTGGGGTTTTTACATTATTATTTTTTTTTGCATTTAAACTATCAGAAATTCTTCTGTTGTTATATGAACTGTTTTAATCTTAAAAGTTATTGTTTCCAATCTCAATTCTCCAAAATAAAAGTCCTGAACTTATAATTTGATTTACTGAACTTTAACTAGCAAATCCTTAAGCTAAGCCATGAATACGTTTCCCGACAAGAAGAACTATGGAATTAATTATCTTAAAAGGCCATGATTTTATTGATCTTATAATTTGATTTATTTACTGAAATGTACTTCACTATTGATAATTATTTGAAGATAGCAAATCCTAAAGCTATGCCATGAATACAATTGCATGTATGTCTAAAGTATTGCAACGAATTACTGAAAATATGGATTCTTTTGAAAACAGTGAAAATTTAACTAACATGGCTATTTCTGCTTGCAATATTGGAAGCTACACCATAAAGAATTTATTACCGTGTACTCTATTAGGGAATGTACTGAAAATTTTGAAAAAATTTAAACCCATAACATCCAATTATCCCCAAATTATCAAATTTCTCAACGAAGTTGACGAATTTTATCACAAGGGAAATTTGTGCAAGTATTACAAAATAGTTATTCTTACTAATCATTCACCAGCTGTTGAATATGAAATACTCAACCTGTTGAAACTATGTCTTGACATTAAAACATGCCAAGATATGAGCTTACTGAAAATTGCTCTTTTAAGTTCTAATTTACCTCAAGTCTGTACTGAAAATCATGATGTATACCTGAAAATAATTGCTATTTTTAAAGAAGCATTTTTAATCAGTAAAGGCAACCCTCTGATTTCTTATTTATCTAGCACATTTGTAAAAGCTGTAAATGACAGTGGTGTGCCAAGCTGTATAATGTTTGCGGAGCATTTACAGCATTTTGAAGCTTTGCTTTCTCTTCCTTTACAGATTTGTTCAAAGGAGCAGCAGGCATATTGTCTGGAACAACTAATATTTATGCTTGCTGAAGCTGTCAATTTAAAACTTTGTGAAACTGAAGATGTTTTGTACTTGACTGCTCTTTATCCCATGCATTATTATCATTTATTAAAATACTGCTCTGAATCAAATAATAATTATGTATTTGAATTTTTAAAAATTTTGTGGAAATCTTTATATTTTGTTGAAATTAAAGAAAAACAACAGCATGTTTCTGCTATAATTACTAATCCAATATGGAGATTTTTATCTGTTACTCATCAGTAAACTTCACAAACAGTGAAAAAGTACAAAAAATATAATGGGTTTTTAATAATGGAACAATTCAGAGAAGAAACTTTCTTTACAAGTTGGAATATCTTTAAATTATCAGGTTGTTATGAAGTTAAAGAAGGAAGTTGACGGTTTATTAGGATATAATTATTTATTCTGAGTGTAAGTATTTTAAATAGTATTATCTTTGTTTGCATTTGCAATAACCTGAAATTAATAAATCAGTATATCTTTTCTTTAAGTTATAATATTTACTTTGTTAGGTTTTGAATTTGTATATGGAAAAAAAAAAAAACACTTTGAAAAACTGTAAATTTTGGATTATTAAGAATAACTGAGTCAGACTACTATAGTAGAATCAGACTGGAATTACTTTTAGACCAGACCAGTTTAAACTTTACAAGCTTAACCTTAGACTAGTTTAGCTTTACAAAGGCTCAGTCTTAAATCTTCATTTAAACATAATGTAACACTTTTTTTGCTTCATTTTTTTCTTCGATGTATTTTAGAGTGATGGTAGGCCTCTTTGTTAAATCACTTAAGATAATGCATCTGATAATTTTGCTCTTTGTAATTCTATTTTCTACTCCTTCGAAAAAAAACATTGCCTCCTTTGAACTTTTAGCAGAAGCCTTCATCTTTACTCAACCAGTTAAATCTTGAAACTTAATTCTAAAAGGTTAGTTTCTTCAAGGAGGTAGACTAAAAAAGGTTTAAGAGTAAAAGTTAGTCGTTTTAAATTCTTCAAAGAGAATTCTCCCTCCTAACCTGCAATATTCAATGTATTTGTTGACTGACCATTATTACCCATGTAAACATATAAAAATAAATTTCTGGTTATTAACAAGCATTTTTATTTTTAAATTAAAATGGTTTCTTTATGTTGAAGGATCATTTGATTTTGGGAAATTAACATCTACCTTTAAATAAATATGTAGGTATTCTGTGGACATGGATCTTAAACTTTTTATATGTATTTGAGTTTTCTCATAATGATTTTTATTCAAACTGGATAGGACTGTATTAGTAAAAGGCTATTTCAATTTTATGTTTGTTATGGAGTATTATCATTTTTTCCAATCACTCCTACATTTGTTTTAATCTAATGATATATTTCTAAATTTTCATTTATTTCATATTGATTATATTAGTGAAATTGTGCTTTTACCATATTTTCAGTTTTTGAATGGAGCCTCCTAAAAAGTTGCTTAGAATGGAAGAGTTTGATATTAAGGTAATTAAATGTAAATAATATCACATTGTTAAGAGCTTTAGGGGATGTTTCTATATCTGTACCTTTTCGCACCAACTACCTTCACCAAGGAGCTAAAGAAATTTTTTATCTCGCAAAAATGTATAAAACAATATAGTGTTAATCCCAAGAAACTAAAGTGGTAATAAAATAACCTAATTGGAAACTTCTTTTGCTTCAAGAATAAACAAATAACAGTTTACATGTTTTAAGGGCCCATTTTTAAAACGTTTGAAATATGTTGACTGTTATTTTATTTTTGAAGCGAATGAAGTTTCCAATCAGGTAATATATATAGTTTACCCAATAGTAGCTAAGAGTTATCACAAAGGATAACTCTTACACACAAGTTATCACAAAGAGTTATCCTTTGTCTGTGATGTTTTTTTTTTTTTTTTTTTTTTTTTTTTTTTTTTTTTTTTTTTTGAAGTTTATCTCATGCCTTAGCCTTGTTACCAGAATTTGGTGCGGGTACTGATATGGAAATCTTCCAGTCTTATAAAATATTTATTTCAAAGAAATATGTTCATAATAATTTGTCCAAATTTAAAATGTTTCACAATTATTGAAAAAAAATTACCTGCTTTGTATATTTATTTAAATTTTTCTTATTTTATAATGATTTATAGAACTTATATTACCATTACAGTATTATTATATTAAATTTATTATTTTAGTTGTATTTATCAGTGAACCAACAATAAGATCTAACTGAATGATGTTTGATAATTATTTTTTTTCACTTATTAAGATGTATTTATTTGAGAAGATCATTTAAAATATCCAACTATGTGATTAGTACAATTGATAATTTAAGTTGTTACTGAAAAAGTGAAAATAAGCGAACAATATCTATACATTCATGCACACACATATACATAATTTTAAAATATAGAGAAAACTTGAAAAATAATAGATTTTACGGAAAATTCTTGAACTAAATATTTTTTTAAAATATTTAAATTTTTTTTGTTTATTTCTGTAAAATATTTTAAAAAAGCCGGAAAACAAAATAATGAAAGGATATTTCTTCATCAGCTTGCTCGATTATATCCGCAAAATGAAGTGCTATCTAAAATTCTATCAATGTAGCCAAAGCAAAATTTATCAATACAATAGAGGAGAGTCTAATATTAATATATTATTTGAAAGCACTCCTTTGCAAATATAATCGTGTAAGCTGATCAAGAGATTGTATCTTTTCATTATTTTGTTTTCCAGTTTTTTAATAATTTTTCTTCCCTTTTCATTAATCCTTATTATTTTTCATATTTTCTCTATATTTTTAACCGATTTTTTTATTTCTACAAATTTGCGACTTCTTCGTTTTTCTGTCTAAATTTTCTTTGTTTTTCTCTCTTTTCTTTTTGTCTTTATTGTGCTATTTATATTTATTGTTTTTCACGTGCCACTGCCCAGCTGTTACCAACATTTTGCGACTTACGGAAATCTTCAATCTATTATAAATGTATTTTCAGTTCTTATGTGCATAATTGTTCTGCAGAAAATTAACTTGCACTTTAAAATATCGAATTTCTTTTAACAGGAAATGCTAATAAATATGCAGTCAACATTTTTGGGTAAATTGAAAAATATAGAAGATAAAATTGAAAGATTAGGAACAAAATACCATTTACTTGAAGGAAAGGTGGAAAACATACTGAATAAAGTCAAAGAAATAAGTGTTGGAGTTCCATATCTAGGTAAATTTATTTTACGCTTTTTTTTATAAACTTATATGATAAAAACTATGTGTTAAATGAGATTGCTAAAGTTTATGCAGTAACCAAATTTAGGGTAATAAAATGAAACTCTAGCATTGTCTGTTACATGAAAAGGTTTGCTTTTATGTAATGAACGTTGTATATGGTATAGGAAAAAAGAAAATTAAATATTACAATCTGTTTCACTTAAAAGAAAATAAATGTTTTCAGCAAACTGTATTCAAATAGTGGAGTTATATTATAGAGAGGCTACACTATATACTGAATTAAATAAGAAGATTCCATAAATATTTAATTAAAAATGGTATCCATTGTGACATTTTCAATAAATTACAAATTTAACTTGACCTGTAGATAATTATTATTAGAACTGTTAGTGTTGCATCATTGAGTATATAGTTTTTAAAAATTGAAATATTCATTTTATTTTTAAAATTTAATGGCTCAATTTACAAATTTCTATTTGCTCCCATAAAACTGATTTTTGTGTAATAACTTTTTTCTTTCATAAAAAAAAGTAAAAATCTGTCTTCTAGACTCTTCATTTTAAAAAGAAATATTTATAGTGAGAGATATCATGATGAGATATATTATCATGGGATATAAAACAATAGATTTAATGAAATATTCTTTTTTTCCCCTATACATTTGCTTCGCTGGTAATTTCTTTGCAAATTCAAGATTGTATCACAAAAATAATTTAACAAATTCAACATTTGAAGACCACTGGGTAAAAACCGTTTTTGTTCATAAAAGCTTGTTAGTAGTAAAATAGATTTAGTGCACAGAGAAGAATTGTTTGTCTACATATCAGCCCATCTTCACTGTGCAATAACTCTCTGCCAAAACCGCGTATTCACCTTATTTATCAAAACTTAGTAATCCTCAAAAAGCAACATATGGCGATCTTATCGTTATTTTTGTGAAAAAGTGAATTATAAACTGTTCTTTGCCTTTTATCTTCAATTGTAATTTCTGCTACTTAAAAACTTGAGTATAAATCATCTTTATTTTTTTTAAGGTGTGGCTGTAAATGGAGAACCTAGTATGCCAAATTTACTCTCTTCCAATACTGAAGGTAATGCTTCTCACTTTTTTTCAGTCATCTATTAGTCAGTAATAAAACAAAAGGAATTTAAAATTTTCAACAAATTGTTAGAAAAGTCATACACTTCCCATTACTTTGTGAAACTAAATATGTTGTAATTTTTATTTTGACTTTAGGAAACTTTATTTCAGTTTTTCTATGTTTATCTTTAAAATAATGTTCATCAATTAAAAAATAAATTTGCAAACTCTTTTAAGAACATTTTCTTTAATCAATTCATGTTTTTGTTTCGTTTTCTCTTTAGTTTAAAAAGAAACATTTTAATATTTCAAATATTATAAATTTTTCGTTACTATTTATTGATCTTTATCTTATATCCTGTAATGAAGCAATTTTTTCATGGCTTGTTAAATATGTATTTAATGACTGAACAATACAAGTTACACTATTCTATAAACCACTGTAACATTTAAAAAATATATAGATATAGATATTCAATGTTAATTTTTGTCAAACACTTTTATTTTTATAATTTCACGTCACTATTACTTTTTTGCTGCAGTTATATAAAGTTTGTTTAAGTGCATAGTTTCTCAATCTTAACCTTTCCCTTTCTTTAATAAAAAATTAGTTAATTTTAAGAAAAATTATGATCTTTTTATGCATTTATTTTTAATGCAAGCTGTGGGGTTTTCGGTAAAAATATCTTTTTCTTCTAAAGAAGCTCTAAATATGAAGCCTTTTTGGCTTATTTTGTTACTTGTCTGTTGTTTTTAATAATCTATAAAGATTATTCATTCCATACTCTGTTTTAATTTTAGAAAGTTATCCAAATGGCTCTTGGCTTGGTGATCCTGATAATCCAAATTTCCGTGTGAGATGTAACATAAGTCCAATGTAAGCTTAATTCTTTTATACAATTATTTTAATTTCTTAATCTTATTAAGATTTTTATTTTAGAGAATTTTTCCTAGTTTAAAAATATTATGCTTCTATGAAACTTTGATAATCTAGGTAAATGTCCAAAAGAAAGGCCTTATTTTATCCAGAGAAAGTAATTTTAAAAAAACTGAAGTGCAGTTTGCTGCGTTCCTCCTAGGAAACCTAGATATTTTTCCTTAAAAATAAATTATGAAGTGGCTTAATTATGATGTTATGACTGAGAAAAGCTATAAAACAATATTTTTTAAAATTATCACCATTTGCAACAATTATTTTGGGTGGTCTGATGACAAAAATAAGAAGGCAGTGGAAATATTCAAAATGAAATGGTCTCGCATACAGTCAGAAGCATTATATTATTTTCCTGAGCCAGATAAACATCTGCTGACAACCTTGTAATTATTTGTGAAATTTAGTGGAGGGAAATTCTAGTTTCCTAAGCAGAATGCAGTAAACTGTCCATTTTTTCTTTCCTTGTCCCTACATTTCATTTTTTTAACTGTTGGTCATTTCTCAAGAGCTGGATATATTCGATATAGTTAAAAAAAATAACTTACTATATATTTATCCCGATACCTTTTACAGGAAATTATTCTTTACATTTGATTCTTGCATTAAATCTCATTTTTAAAAAAAACTTATGTGTGTTTCATAGTTTAATTTTCATTATTCTTTAGATGGGAAATTGTTTGTGAATCTCTGGCTGAACTTAATTTCAAGTTTTTATGATAAATATATAATTTCATAACTGTAATTTATAATTTGAATACTCTGCATTTAGTGCAATTTAAATTTTATTTGGTATTTCAACTTTCTGCCATCTATTTCTTAATAAGCTAACCAAAATTGCTGTTTTGTCTGTGTTGAAACCAAATAAAAGCTGCCATTAGTTAATTATTCTCATACCGGTTTTTGTCTCAAACCCAAGTATGTAAATAAAACAGCCATCATGTGTTAGAATTAGATATTTCTTTCTTCAGAATTATTAGCAGATAATTTAAACTGAAGTAGTGTTCTAGCTTAAATGAGCAGAGGACCAAAAAAAAATAATAATAAATAAATAAATTATGTATATATAAAGGATTTATTGTTAATAGCTGAAAGTAATGAATCTAAATAATATACTCCTTTGTTTGTAGTGCACTTATTATGAGTACAAATTATTTAAAAATTAAAAGCAATATTTTTTAAGTGAAGTTTTTTTAACTTTGTGCTAATTATTAGTTTTCATGTTATTTGTAACACAATCGCANACCTTAAAACAAAGTTTATCAGCATAGTTTTTCTTTGCTTTTTATCTTGATATAAAAAAATAAGAATTTTTCACTTTTTCTTCAACAAAATTACACGATCTCTACAATCAAACTAAGAATATTTAAAAAGAAAAACTATGCTGAAAAAGGAATTTCAGTTGTTTTACAAAGCTAAGTTGTGGGGGAAAAGACACTATCTATACGAAAAACTTTTTTTTTTTTTTTTTTTTCTTAATGAAAATACTTAAAACTATGCCCAAGAATAATTGTTTGCTTGCAGGTAAAAATTATAAAAATTTCGACTTGGTTGACTATGAAAATAGAATATCCAAAGATAAAAATTTTGTCGTGTTAATTTTTTTTTTTTTTAATATAATTACATATTGAAATTTTTAATTCCTATACAATTTTTTTAATCGACCACTTTTAAGCGTCTGTTGGTGTTCTATTCTATTGTGTACAATTGTGTCAGTGACATTTTGATCCTTAGTGAACATATATTGCCATATACAAGGCTGATTGTGCTCCGGAAAAAATCCGGATTGCCGGAATTTTTGCTAACAGTGATCCGGAAGTTTCCGGAGATCGAAGGTTCAGACGTTTCGAAAAGTCATTGATAACAGAAGTTTCCGGAAATCAAATTTTCAAACTTAAAAACACAGTTTATTTTCTTTGTTTGTAAGGGAGAGCCAGAGAGATATTTTATTTTTTTAACTCAAGAAATTTTCCGGAATTTTAACTTGGGCTCACAATCACCCCTGCATATAAACAAAATTGTTAAAAAAAGGAAAAAAATCTTTCATATTTGAAAAGGAGGAAAAAAATATTCAATCCAAATTTATCTGAATTCAATTTAAAAATTCTGAGCATAATTTTTTTTTTGCAAGCCTTTGTTATTTTATATAAAAATTAAATTTTGTGATATGATTCTATTTGCGATGTGTGACCTATTAAAATGACGTAAAAAATTCACATTGAAATGCACTATAATTTTTAGGTCATATAATGTATATGTATGGAATAAGTAATAAGGACTGGTTGAGGATAAGACAAAACCTAGATTCAAAGTGTAGAACTGCTTTTCGTAGGAAACTTAAAGGAATGCCTCTGACTACCAAAGGTTGTCGTTCCAGGTAAATTGATTACAGTTATATTTTCTCATTTAATTTAGTTGTTTTAGTATGTATTTTATGAGTTTGCCTTTATAACTGTAGAATTCATGCTTTCAATTTTAGATAATTTATGTTTATTCAAATTCATTTTAACCTGCATAGACTTATTGAAAATTTAAATGTTTGAAAGAAAGAAAAATATGTTTCATATTCTAAATTTGTTTATATTCAAAGTTTTAGTAATAGAGTAAAACAGGCACTAGGGCAAAATATATATATATATATCTGAGTTTAATAAATTAATCAAGAATAGTATTGGAATAATGGCCAAGATCTATTATTGTTTGTCTTTTACAAAACAAAATAAATATATATGAAGAATAATTATGAAAAATCTGTAATTATTTTGATAGAAAATTAGATTTAAATGCGTTAAATTTTTTTTATCTAATAATTAAATTTCACAAAAGGTAGTTTTTCCTAGTTTGATAAATTAAATATAAAGTCTTGTTGAAAACCTTTAAAGTCTTATTTAAAAACAAAGACTTCTTTGCATTATACTTCCTTTTTAATGTCTGATTATTGGTACCTTAATGTATTCCTTAATGTGTTATTAAAAATAAGTTTTTATTTTATCCAAGTTTAAAAGTAAGAATAAAATTATTTGTTGAATTCCAGAAAACTTCTTTATTTTTTTATTTTATTATTTTTATTTTATTTATTTATTATTATTAATTTTTTTACAGATTGGCTAATAATTCTGTGGAGAATACTTCTCTTGGTATGACTTTAAATAACACAGAGAGTTCTTCTTCTGACATTGGTCTTTCAGGGGACCAGCACGGTGTAGCTTCAAAACCAACATCGGAGGAATTACAGTACATGGATCAAGATATCCAACAAATTCTTCCTATAAAATTGGAGGCCAGTGGATGTGCTGTCACATTTTCAGATAGCCACACTCAAGTAAGATTCTTACTTAACTTATATTAGGTGTGGTAGTTTAATAACTTTTGTTTTCTACATAAGATAAGGTGAGAGCCTCAATGGCTCAGGGGATAAAGCGTTCGTCTTCCAATTAGGTGAACCGGGTTCGAACCCCTCCGATAGTTGGTCAATGTGAATCCTCATCCAGCTTGCACCGATCACAGTGCTGACGTGAAATATCCTCAGTGGTAGGCGGATCATGGATTGGAGTCCCTTTGCTGCCAGGTTAACCGTGGGAGGTTCTCTTTGATATTTTCATTGAGAAAAGTTGGTGAATTTTTATTTCAAATGTGGTATAAATTTGGCAAATTAATTTGAATTTTTTTCACCTTCCCCAAGTTTTTCCACTTTTGATTAAATCATGGGAATTTTGGTCACACTAAAGCTTTTTAGTCTAGTTATCCACAACTTTTTTTAGATGGGGGCCACAGAAAAAATATTTTAATGTAAATATTTTATCGCATGCAGTGAGAATGACTCTTAGGACTGCATTTGGCCTCAATTCATAGGTTGTGCTCCCTCAGTTTAGTCTTGATACAGTGAATCCCTAAACATAATCCAAAAGCTATGTCGTCATGTGATTCTGAAAAATTTGCCTTCAAATGTGACATTGGTGAATACTTGGAGTTAAGCTTTCCTTATGTAAAAAGTGGCCTTAATACCCATTAGTTTACCTGTGATTTTTGCTTTTAGACTTAGGTTTGAGTAATGTTTATGGTTTGTCTAAAGTCAGAACTCCCTTACCCATTCGTCTGGAGCCATGGCGGTGACTATGGTAACGAGGTATAACTATTCAAAGTAGGAGTGTGAGATCATTGTTCAGGGTAAGTTTTGCCTCGGGGCCGGGTCGGGGAGAGAAAGGAAATCTATTTCTTCGGTCTATTGGGTTAGCCCTAGAGTGAAGAGAAGCTACCCTCCCTGAAATGCGCTATTCTTGTTTCCATAGCTGCAGACGACGTCAGACTTTGTGGCAGAGGGAGTTATTACAGCAGACAAGTTAGCTTTTTGCTTGGTTCAGTATAATCAATTACGACTCTTTTGTAGTTGGCCCTTTATAACTCAACTTCTTAAAAAAGCAAAATATTCCAAAGCTAGAGATATTCCCATGCTTTTTAAGAAATTGTACCAATGAAAGTTCAATGTTACCAATTAATGTAATGTAACTATTTTTTACTACTTTTTTAAAATTATTGCTGTGTTTGGGTTTATTTTTATGAATTATTACAGGGTGCGTAGCATTTTTGAAAAGTGCTTATAGGTGCTTATTTTTTATTTACTTTTTTTGAGAGCCCTTAAATGTGCTTTTTTTTTATTCAGGATTTGTAAAAAGTGCCTAATTTTCTATCTTTTAAAAAAGAGATTTTTTCTTGCCATATCTATTGTCGTTTTAAATTACAAAAAATGCAAGGTTTTCACAATTATCTCTGCAATATTTATGAGAAACTATTTATTCTATCATGATTTTGTAGAGTCTTTGAAAATGTTTTTGAATTTTGTGGATTTTATGTTTTATAAATTAAGAACCTTAAACGATAGAAGAAAAAAAATTTATTGTTGCACAGATACTATTATGATTTTTTTTTTTTTTGGGAAGTGATCAAAAATATATTTTTAAAAATTACTTAAAAGGTGCTTATTTTTGTTGAAAAATCTGTCTACTCGTTCTTACTATCATGACTGTAATTTTTTTAATATTCTGTGCCTTGATTTTTTTTCATGAACTTTAATATTTTTGTTATCACCTTATCTCTAAAAGTGCTATTTTAGCATCCCTTTAAAATTAAAATATAATAAGTTTTATTTTTCTTTGTTAGATTATTCACACAGAACATGGTGATATTCAAGTCATACAAGCCACCGAGGAACAACTAGAGCAACTAAAACATAGTCATCATATTGAGATTCTTTCTCACGCGGATGTGTTACCTGAACAAGTCTTAGAGAGTGCCAATTAAGTATTAATACTTAGAATCAACGTAAATAATTTTAATTTATTCTTATTAAAAATCTGTGATTAAGAGAATTCCCTTTTTTTTATATATATTTAATAGTAGTAACCATATTAATATTATAATAAAATCAACTGTGGAATTTGTGTTAGTGTTGTGGATTCTATTCTAGCTATATGAATTTTTTATGTTTTTTGAGCATGATTAAACACAATCATAACTCCCACTTATCTGTAGTTTTTTACATAGGAAATTTGTTTTTAATATGAAATTATCCATAATTTAACCTTTTCAAGAGTTTTAATTTTGCACAATATTTGCAAATATAACATATTATATATAATTAATATTAATTTTTTTTTTAAATTAATATGTGGTGCAGATATGAATACATTTTAAAACAATTATCTATATTTTTTCTATTCCATAAAATTTGAAAAAACTCCTTGTCAAAGAATTAAAAAATGCAGAAAAAAAATCAGTGGTTTGCCAGAAATTATGTATATAATCATTCAATTTATTATTATTTATTTTCTTGTTTGTTTCATCTTGCTTGTCTTGTGTTTGTAATGTGTGGTAAACAATATATTTATGTAAAAAAAAAAGTCTTTCATAAGAATGTTTAAAGAGCACTGAATAAAAAAATATTTTATTATAATTGTTTTTTTTTATTTAATGTGCATTTTTGTCTGCAATGATTTAATGTGCATGTTTGTTTGTACTAGAGCTGCACAATGAGCGAAGATCTGGGAAACATTTCTGAAAATAATCCGTAGACATGTCATTACAATTTTTATCCTCTGCTGAAAGGATCGCTCCCCTGCTTTTGATATCCCGACAACTTGCTTGTGAATTCGAGCACTTTATGTTAAAACAGTTTAACGAGGATCAATACCACGCTCCCTCAGTCCCCTACGCATTCCGATCAAAATGGTCACCGACCCGCTCACTACAGCAGCCAGTGATGCTTGATTTTGTCACTTTATTGGGAACTTTGTCTTTACTATCAGTCCACTGTATTACAAATCTGTTCTACAATCAGGGAGGTTCTTAGTATTAAACATATGATGAACAAAGGTACCCTGGCCATCTGAATGACTTAGCTCACAATGTTGAGATGCTTGCAAAAATGCTGCTGAATTATAAAATTATGCTGAATTAAATGTTCTGAGTCTTTGTTCTCTTTTGAATTTATTTCCTATTTAATTTTAGAATTATTTTTTGCACCTTACTGGGTTCAAAATAATTATTGAGAATCTGCTTTGCCATTTCAATTCAAGTCTCTTATTACATTTACAAACATAATTTGTATAAAAACTACCTTTGTGTCACCTTTCCTTAAAAGAACGCTACTCGCTGATGAAGATTTATTCAAAAACATCCCTCATTTGTTTTTGTGTCTTTATACATCTTGGTAATATAGTTGAAACTAATTTAAAGCACATACTTCTTTATAAATAAATCAGTGTCCAATTCATCAGAAATGTGAGTGTAATTGTGAAACAAGTCTTAAATATAAAAAGATTTGCTTATAATAAATATAAAAAAATAATATAGTTTATAAAGTTATTTAGACATATAAATTCATTTGTTAATTTTTGGTAAAGTTCGTAAAGGATTATTTGTCTATCCTTCTTACCATAGTTTTCCCTTCATGAAAAAAGTTCAAATACACCCTTCTCACATGGGTAGTTTTGGTTTCCTCAGGAAACAAAAAATAGCTGTCGGTCAGGCTCGAAAAAGAGCTGTCGGTCAGGTGTCTCATGGTTTTATCTCTTGCATGCCAGACTGCGAATTTAGATTTTCTATCTATGCTGTAATAAATACACAAACTTACCTACCTCTTGTTTATTCTCATTGTGATATGATATACATCAAGTGTTTATTTCACCTAATTCCTTGAAATTGAATTAACTACAAACGTCTTAATATTTTAATGATAGGAGTTAGCATCAAACGTTGGTCAGTGAAAGTTTTCCATTAGCTAAAAAGTTTGGATGCCCTATTTTACGTTGTGACATGACAGCATGATCTTAGAAAGAAAACAAAACTAGTTATCACGTGATACTTTTATTTGATTTTCACATTATTCTTAAGCTCTGTACATGGAATATTAATACTCCTCCTTTTTCAATCTACTGAATTGTACCTGAGTGAAAAATAAAAGTTGTAATATCTATATAACATAACATATGGGCAAAACCAAAATATAATATTCTTGACTAGTCCCTTGGCAGTATTAATAAAACATTTTTTTATATTTTGAATTGATTCCATGTTTCAATCTTAATATTAGTCTTTCTATCATTTCTTCCTCATTAAACATCAAGTAACTTGAGAAAATATTAACAGTTATGTACATATAAAGGAATGTCTTGTTGCCATGGGACAAATAAGCCAAATTATGATTTGGTCCATATACTTAATAATATGAATTTTATTAAAATATTTTTAGAAATAATACTAAATTAAGGATTTATCTATGGAAAATAAAACACTATGACTTTATTATTCCTTGAATGTTATATATTTTCTCTATACTATATCCATTAAAAAAAAATAGTTCATTATTTCACAACTTACACACAAATATCTAGACAATAGTTTTTAATGTAAAAAGCATCTTAGAATATTTTTTTTAAATAAATTTAAATTAGAACAAGAATGTGAATAAATATTTAACTATATTTTTTATTTATATTTGAATTTAAATACTTGTTCAATATCAATTAAAGTAACACAATTTATTGCATTTTTAAGGTTATTGATACATTTTAAAAAGTCTAGTTACATAAAATAAATTGCATAAATTCAAATTATATCTATAAGACTTGAAATTGTAAGTTCCAAATAGTTTTGAATAATTAAACAAAATCAGCTTTTTCTTTCTCTTTTATAAATGTTCTTCAAACACAAGACCCTCAAATTCTTTTTTCTTGTAAGTTTTGCTATTTTTTAACAGTTTAGTTCATTAAACTACACAACAATATCTATAATTCGTCATAGGTTCAGGCGGAAAGAAAATAAATCCGGAATTCTTTTTTATTAAATGTGTTTAAAAGGTATATGGATTCTTAAAGTAATAAATTATTTTAGTGTTATAGTTAATTTTTCAATGTTTCTGTTTTCCTTAACCCTTTCGTTACGAGCCTCGTATTTAACCGGCATCCAAGTGACGACCTGTGTGTACGAGCAACGACCTGTGCATACGTGCGCCGTATTTAGCCGGCATCCACGTAACAACCTATGTGTACGAGTGCCGTATTTAGCCAACATCCACGTGACGACCTCTGTATACGAGCACTGTATTCAGCCGGTATCCGCGCGACAACCTGTTCATATGCGAACTGTTTTCAGCCAGCATAGACTGGATGACCTATGCGTACGAGCTCCGCACTTAGCCGGCATAAACGTGATGACCTGTGTGTACGAGCGCCGTATGCAGCCCCCGCCTGTATGAAACTTTGATAAACACTCTAAAAGCATATTTTTAATGCTCCTAAATATGTTTTGTAAGTCAATGTGTCTGCAGACATTGTTAAATGTGCCCGAATTTTTATCAATAATACTTGCAAAATCTCCTATATTGTTATTTAACACTTAAATAAGAAAATCCGAACAGCTTACCGACATGCAATGTACAAACTTCTCGGCGCAGTGCATCGTTTCAGTGGCGTTTCGTTATGACGGACTGCCATAACGAAAGTGTTATATGAAATTTTTGCAAACGTTAGCTTGAGATATAATAGTTTTATTTTTACGAAAGTGATTTTGTACAGAAATATAAAAAAGAATGTATTTTGCCGTATGAGCCCAAAACCTTGGTTTGAGGAGAGTGATAAGAATTCATATTTATTTCTCAAAGTTCAAATTTTAAAAAAAAATAATAAATGAATAAATAAAACAAGGTAACTAACCTTTATTTCGTCAGGCTTGCTCTGTGAACAAACGTATTCATAAACGTCTTCCAATGTTTCAAAATGTTTCGAATATGCTTTAGAGAAAAATGTCAGCAAATATTTTATTCCCTGAAAGTAAAAATTATTTATATGAATTTTCCATGTTTTAATTCACCATCTTAATTGAAAGTCTGATTTTGATCATAAAAGCTGGACTGTACTTTACGTTTTTTGCTTTACAATCCAAAATATATTTTGTTGATTTTTAATTTATGAAATGAAAAAAAACATTTGCAACTAGTTTTGTTTGGTGAGGTTATATTAGGTTAATTTTGTATGGTCTGACTTACATTATGCTTGTTAATTAGCGCCCATACGATATTTATTAAAAAAAATGTCTCCGTTTCTAAAACAGCACACACACAGTGTGTGTTTTGTTCAACAGGATTCGCATTTCGAACTTCAAAATATAATATTTATATTATCAGAGTACACACATATCTTAAAATATTCTTCGTATTTCAGACTTTTTAAATCAGAGTACTTAACAGTATCATCTCTATAACTGTTATAAGAGTCGTTTGTCCATAGATAACTCTTAACACTTGAAAGACGGGCCGGGATAGTTTGGTTGGCAGGGCACTGGGCCCATGTCCAAGTGGTCGTAGGTTCGATCCTTGCCGGCAGAAGATTCCCCGCGTAGTAAATGGTGACTGATGCACGTTAAATCTATCGAGTCTCAAAGTCCTCCATGTCATAACAAATCAATACCTCTGGGGGTACTGAATTGGAGATTGATCGGTCTCTGATTCAGGTCAAAATTACGATCTGTGGATGAATAAATATATAAATAGGTCCGCCCTATAAACGGGTGTGGCAGAAGTCGAATTCTTAGCCATAGATGGCGCCACTGGAAAACAAGAACGATCGCAAATCCTCTGCTTTAATTGCAACAACTAGAGAGACAGAAATTTAGTCTATACCTATATTGCCCAAAAGCAGTCAAAATGACAGGATTGTGAAAGAATAACTATTGTGCAAAGAAATTTGTTTAAAATTATTATTTTTTATATGTTATTAATAAATATTAACAATAAAAAATTTATATGTTGTACAAAAAGTCACAAAATTCTAAGAAATTGTGTCATTACATACATCATTGCTTTTCTGATAGAAATTAAAGAGCAGTCAAAATGACTTCCTTGGGCAATCTAATGTTAAATACAAAGCAGAAAAGAATATCTCAAAGTTCTATGAGAAATTTCTTGGTATAACAACGTATGCTATGAGTCTTTAATAATAACGACAAAAGACATGCAATAGTGACAAGGTTATTAGAAAGTTGTACTTGTACCTCTTTGCTTAATATTTCTTCACATATGATCGCCTCTTCTCTTTCTGAAAATAAATAATACTCGTCATTTTGAATAATTATTTTTATTTTGTAACCTTTTGACCACTGTTTGTTAATCCATTCCCTTCAATCCCTCTATTTACCCCCTTCCGACATTCATTTTGAGTACGTGAAGTAATTTTTTTTTTTAATCCACTGTAGAAAAGTAATCAATGAATAACCACTAAGCGATATTTCATGCACGATTTCTGCTCCCTCCGTTTTCAATTTAAAATACGTGATGTCAGATTTTTTTTATTTATTTTATCCACTGCGTAATTAATAGGTTATATATTTTTAATTTAAATATTTTGTTTGTAAATCATACTTTACAAACAAAATATTAAAGCAGATGAGTCACTCTCCAGCAGTACCTAATTTGTCATAAAGCCTGAGGAAGCCTGTCTAGGGCCCTCCTCATTGTTAAAAATAATTTATTTTTGACATTTTCCTTAAGAGTTTTCTATTAGAATTATGAGTTAGCAAAAATTGTAATAAATATAAGCTCAAATTTACACTAGAATATCATAATTTACTGATGTTATTAATAATTTAAGGGCACTACATAAAGTAATTTTTTTACAGTTATGACTAAGGGGCCCCTGACAGTTTTGTGCTTAAGGTAGGGTCTCCGTATTTTTAGATCAGGCACTGTCTTCCAGGATCGAAATTCCTTGAGATTATTAGAGAAAAATTCAAATAGTCTTTCAAGATTTAAAATACCACATTTTTAATAGTGATTTAAAAATTAACATGCACAAAATATATCTTATTTTTATAAATTTTGAAAAATTTAGGTTATTTTTTGCAACATAAGACAGCAAATTTTTGGAACATAAGGCGTCTACATTTTAATGTAAAAACATTTTCTAATGTATCTATTTGCCAAAAATTGTGATGAAAAAATTCTCTAAGTGTCTAACAAATTCTCAAAGTGTAAGTCTCAATGCTCTGAAATTTCCGATCTTCTTCTTATCTCCAACTGTTAAGTCAACGTTTTATTCGATCTGGTCTAACTTAGTCAGACCAAGTCGAATAAACGGTAGATTATAATTCTGCCGATGACAAACAGAGAAGACGAGTACAGTTTGTATTCTGTAAGAACTCCTCCCGCCACAAAGTCTGAGGCCGTCTTCTGCTATGGAAATAAGAATATCGCATTTAAGAGAGGGTAGTTTCACTTCACTCTAGGGCTAACACAATAACCTGTCCTTATAACCTCATTTTGTCCTAGTTATACCTCGTTACCATAGTCACCGCCACGAGTTCAGACGAATGGCTAGGGGAGTTCTTACTCTAGACAAACTATACCATATCTTACGATTAATCAACTATAGGGCGAATTAATTTTTAAATGACTGAATTATAAAGAAAAGTTTATTTAATCTTACCCTCACTTAAACAGGGCAAGTCAAGAACGCAAGTTCCGATATCATCATAATCAATGACTTCTTCTTTTCCTTTGACCAATGCAGCCATGACCACAAAAGGCATGAGTAAGTAAAGAAAGCGTTTGTCCATCTCTTCGTCGAAAACGATTATCTCTCTCTAAACTAGAGAATATGGAAAAAGAAATCCACATGACTTTTATAATTATATTTGAAAATCTTAATCCGTTGATCTTTGTTTTAGTCTATGAATTGATTCTCTTAAATAAGAGAGAATCGAATCTATTAAAAATGCAATATAATTCGTGACTGAATTTGAAACAGCATTACTTATTTTATTTTCATGCTTGCTTAGCTTGAGGACAAAGTATACAAAAGATGAATTCATAATGCGGTTAATCTTTCTATTTGTATTAAGAAATAGCAAGCAACACCGTCGCTGGTTCAACTTAAAGCTACATTTTGTTCTGTTGCGCGAACTTAGAAATTTGAAATTAAAATGATATGGATAGATTATTTATCCGCCTTTAATATTCATCTATTATTCTCAGCGTTGCGTTTTTAACTTTTGATTATTTTTCTAAATTAAAGGCTTAAAACTAAAAAAATGTTATGATGAAATCTTATCATTATTACTAAGGCCCGGATTTTGATGACATTTGCATTTTTGGACATTTTTTGTCTTTTAGAGCATTTTTTTAGATTTATAGGGCATTTTTCTTGAAATTTTGGGGCGTATTTTGCATTTTAATGCATTTTTTAAAGTTTGTTAATTTTTTACAATTTTTATTATTTTTTATCAATTTTCATTATTACACTGGCTTCCAAACAATAAAGAAAATCTATAGGATATTAACAAACATCTTTTCAAATTGAAGAAGTCGTAAGTAAGACCGCCTTTTTCAAGTACGCACCTATAACATCAGTAGACGTTGAAAGAAGCTTTTGCAGGAATGAAAATTTACTTTCAGACAAGAGACGCTCGTTTACATTTCAAATTATCAAAAAACATTTAATAATCCAATGTAATTCTGATATTTAGTAATATTATGAGATGGAAGTTGTTATATCCATTACAGCTTCTATACAAAATAAAAATATTTTGGTGTCAATATATTTTCCTTTTTTTTTGTATTTTAGGATATAAAACATATTTTTCAAACTTTAATGAGCGTAGAACAAGCATTGCATTGCTTTATATCTTTTAAATGACTCATAATAATTTTAAAGAGCAAAACATTTTTTTAATTCAATATTTTTACTTTATTTAAGGCATTTTTTTTTTCGCAATTTTTGCATTTTAAGGGCATTTTTTGCCCTTTTTAAGGGCATTTTTTGCACTTTTTAAGGGCATTAGTTGAGATTTTTTAGGTCATCAAAATCCGGGCTCTAATTATTACCATAATACGTAACTATTTCTGATAATCATACTTAAAACGGCATGTGACTTGTTAAATGTTTTAGAATTATTTAAAATTAAATAAGTTAGATTGAATTTTATTATAAACTTCGTCTAAAACTCTATCTCATAATTAACTATTCGCACTATCACAGTTATGCAACATATATTTAACAAGTTTTTATTATAACCTCAAATTCAACGGAAATTTAAAGGCTGGGATAGCTTGGTCGGTAGGGCGCTGGGCCAAGTTCGAGTGTTCGAACCCCGCTGGCCGAAGACTCCCCGTGTAGTAAATGGTGATTGATGCTCGTTAAATCTGTCTAGTCGCAAAGTCTTCCATGTCTTCAAAGTCTTCCTGTCTAGTCGCTAGTCCATAACAAATCAAAACCTCTGGGGGTACTGGATTGGAGATCAATCGTTCTCTGACGATCAGTAGATGAATGAATTGATGCATGAATGGGTCAGCCCTATAAACGGGTGTGACGTATGGTGTGGCAGAAATCGAATTCTTGGCCATAGATGGCGCCATTGGAAGACAAGAACAATCGCACCCCTGTGCCTAAGCAGGCATACGAATGCAGGCAAGCAACGGAGGAAATTTAACCCATTATCGCAGAATTTCAATAAATATATTTTTCATGCTAATACCAAAATATATTCTTACTTATAATTAGAGCACCAGAAAAGAATATATATATAAGAAACAGCGGTGTCCTCAAAGAACTAATAAACAGGATAAAGTTGAAATGATAGCTGAGTAAAACCATTCATTAGACTTAAGTTTCGGATGATTATGTTAAATTAATACTCCGTTGCTAGTTAAGAAAAGAGCATTGCGGTATAAGATTTAAGTAACCATCCGCGATTGCATATAATTCCGTTTTATTTCGTCATCAAATTCTACAAATATGCTTTTAGAAAATATTAAAACTTTGAAAAGTGTAACACGCCAGGCAGAAATTTAATTCGTGCTATTTTTTACGATATATATCATTTTATATAATAGAATTATTAAAAAAAACAATTGTTATAGTTTTGTAGCCTTACTTGAATCCTAGACTTGGCGACATTTCGATAAATAAGAAAACATTCGTTTTAGAAAAAGAAATAATTATATAGCATTGGATTTGATTGGACCACTAAAAATGGCAATTCTAATGCTGACATTCTCTTAACAAATCAAGCGCGTAAGTAAGAATTTTTACTTTTTTTTTTTTTTATTGAAGTGATAAAAGAACAACTTCAGTAGTCAAAAATATCTTAAATATTTTTATTATGCGTATAATTATGTTTCAAATAATTAGAAATTAAAATTCTCACTACTTTATTGTGATAATTTCTCTGTTAAACATTCTCTGTTTTTTATTAAAGCATAAAAAATTTATAAGCAGGATGAATAGTTGATTACTAAAATTGGCTGATACGAATGAACTGAAAATCAAATCTTCAAATAGATTGTAGAATCCATGGATTTAAGTCAACTGATTAGAATAATAAAATAGGTTCAGAATCGAACAATATTTTTTTTTAAATCTGCCCTTCATAATCAAGCAATCGTATCACTAATTAAATCAATCATCAGATTAACATTACGATCTCATTAAATTATTCAAATTAATAAAATAGATTCATTTGATTCGGGTCAAGGATTTATTTGTTCAAAGAGTGATCTGAATCAACTCATCTAATTCGAACTAATTTTTTATATGAATTAGATCTGACTGCCTTGAATCTGTGTTAAAAGAAAAATTCTTATTAACAATGTAGTACCCTATTATAATATTGATAATAATTTATTGTTTTCAATCAACTAATTTTAATTAGTGTTAAAATAATGATCCCAATTAGCAATTAAGTACTCCTTTCTAATGATGATTTAAATCAACTAATTTGAATCGGTGCTAAAATAATGATTCAAACAAACAATCCAGTACTTAATTTTAAAATTGATAAGAACTGTTTTGAATAAACTCACTTAAATTGGTGTTAAAATAATTATTCCAATTAACAAGTTTCTGCTTCTGATGTTAAAAGCAGGAAGTACAAATTTGAAAGTCGTTATCAGTTAAAACTGGTGTTAAAATAATGATTCCAATTAACAAGTTTCTGCTTCTGATGTTAAAAGCAGGGAGTACAAATTTGAAAGTCATTATCAGTTAAAACTGGTGTTAAAACAATGATTCCAATTAACAAGTTTCTGCTTCTGATATTAAAAGCAGGAAGTACAAATTTGAAAGTCGTTATCAGTTAAAACTGGTGTTAAAATAATGATTCCAATTAACAAGTTTCTGCTTCTGATATTAAAAGCAGGGAGTACAAATTTGAAAGTCATTATCAGTTAAAACTGGTGTTAAAATAAATATTCCAATTGACAATTCAATTTTTGCTTCGGATGTTAAAAGCAGGAAGTACAAATTTGAATTTCGTTATCAGTTTATTATTTGCAGATGTTCTTAGCAAAATATGCAATGATGAAAAACCTTCGGCCAAGTTTGAGATTAAGTCGTGATGAATGTTAGCTTGAAATTCATCACCTGTTTACGCACATTGTATAGTAAACATGTTTGCACAAATGAATCGAATTCTAGACGTCAAAAAACAGTATCGATTTCCTTTAGAATTTTAAGTCGAAAGGTACCTCACATGTTTAGCAATTAATATACAGGAAATTCGATTATGGCAGCCCTTAATGCATATTCTTAGACTCCTTGACAAGTGGTTAATAAACTACACACTTTAGATGTCGCAAATTTAGGCAAGGGAAAAACAAAATATTTTATTGAAACCTGACAAATAATTTTACAAGAAAAGCGAGATTAAAACTATTACAAGATTTGTTTGATTGCCGGAAGAAATTGAGTAGAGGCAATAGATGATTATTCGACCTATTACCTTCAAATAATCAGCATGCAAACTAGTTTTGATAATTTTTTTTTTTGTCTCACCTTCCGTATTAGTGATTTGTCAGTTCCTTAGATTCATTTGTATTTTTTTGTTTTTTCTTTACTCAAATTTTAATTAGCAACTCCCAATTTACAAAAAATATTTTACTTCATTTGTGCCAATAATTTTAAAAATGTTACAACCGCAGAACTATGACGTGAGTTCTTCTTTAAGTATACATGGAAATATATAAGCAATATCTTAAATATGGAATTCCAAAATCTGAAAAAAAGAAATGATCTCTTTTTGAAAGAAAACAAAACGTCATGGATCGGGGACAAAGCTCGAACTACAGCTTGAAACAAATTTTAAATAAAGCAGCTCTGAGCTATGTTTTGCTGAAATATGGTTATTATGTTGCAGTATATTAAAGGCGGTAATTACGAAATACCCGAAATAACATATTTAATCGAAGCCGTTTGATAAAATTTTGTTTTGTTACAATTTATTACTAAAATGGTGGGATAATAATAACACACTTTTTTGAACAAACGTTTTTTGCTCATTTTTGAACTAACCTTTAGTTCAGTAAAGATTGTTCAATGGATAAAACCCAAACATTTGATAAAAAAAGGCTCCACTCAGTGGCAAACCGTTAAGTACCCTATTCTTAGTAAGCGGTAAAAAAGAATTGCATGACTGGGTGCGCTAATTTTAGCGGGAGTGAGAAATGGATAGACTTACATATTGCTTTCTAGATAAATGAGGTATTGTTGTCGATGTATTGATATTCTGCAGAGAAATTATCGAAGAAGCCGATTGTGGCGCAGTCTCACTTGGGTAATAACATAGCAAAGCTTTTTTCCAAAAAATACATTGGATATTAATTTTTCTGAAGAAACATTTTTGTTATAATTACTCGACTACAAGCATAAAAATAAAATGATAGGTTCCAAATATCAAAAGGTATAAAATAATGTAGGACAGGTGTGCCTCATAAAAATCTAGTCAGAAAATTTGAAGCATTCCAGGGATTAAATAAATTTTTATTAATTACAAATAACTATAATAAATACATAATGAAATGAATGAGAAAATGATGATATCGAACAAGAGCAGTTTCAGACAAAAACTTTTCAAGAGAAACTTTTACAAATCATGGATATATCTCACACAAATTCAGCAGCGTATCCACTGAAAGAAATAAAAAAAGAGAAATTGAAATATTTTTATTGTTTAAACTTTTTAAAAATTTAAAACAAAACAGCTAACAAATTAAAAAATAAATATTTTGGGAAATGAATAACTGAAATTATTTAAGCGTAATAATTTATAGTTAATTTAATAAATAAGTTACCATTTTTTTCGCATAAGCTATATAAGCAAAAACAATTTACGATTTTTTAAATTAGTTCTAGTTCATAAAATTTACCTTCATCATTCAAGGGACATAGTAATTTTTTACTTTTTCAAAAATCAAATTTTCCTTTTTTGCATTTTCTGCAACCTTATAGTAGTTTGTGAAATAATGTGTTTAAATGATGTCTAAAAACTATACATTCTTGGGGAATTAATAATAAACACTACAGATGTATGTAACATGCAACATATTCTTTAAACTTCGATCACATCTTCTACCTCGTCCTTATAAAATCTGAAAAACTAGATATTCCATTATAATTTTGTTAGCAGAAATAAGCAGGAAGTGTACAAATTTCTAAATAAATTTGGAATGACTATTAAATATGAAAGTTAGGATAATTTAAATTTTTTTTTAAATAATTGACTTTCCCATTGTCAGTAAGAGCACCTTTCCTGTGCCGGTATGTTGTTACTGTGTGCTATTAAAATGCGCCAAGTCGCCAAGCTAAAATGTTAATTTTTGCTAAAAAAAACTTGTAGTGAATAAAATAAAAAAATCGACACAGATTCGTTCATTTAGGCTAAAAATATATCGATAGACTTATTTTCATCGAAAGGAAATTTGTCATGTTGTTTAGGCAGGCTACCATTTAATACCAATGGTTTTAACCATTGGTTATGGTTTTGGTTTAGAACTTATGGTTTTAACCAGTGTTGGGTATACCGGACAAATGTATACCGGATAGTGGCACTAAACCTTAAAAAAAACATCAGTATAGGGAATACCGGGTAATTATATACCTGACGCGATTTTCCAATTGAGCGGCCTTTAACGACCTCTATATGGCATTTATTAAATAAATAAAAATTTATTCTTGACTTTTTTTACGACTTGGCCTTTAACGAGCTGCTCCCCTATATGGCATTTTTTAAATAAAATAAATGTATTCTTGACTTTTTTTTTAGTTCAGGTAACAAATTTTTAAAAAAAAATAAGGGCAAAAATAATAACTAGAACCAACTACAGTCAGTAGAAAAATCTACAAAATAGAGAGCGAGTCGTTAAAGACCACTGGATTGTAAATTAGCTCAACGGTCAGTGGTACTTCTCATTAAAAAAACGTCAGTGCAGAAGGCAGTGGATTTAACCTTATAAAAACAGTGTAGGGTTAACAGGGAAATGGCACTCATAATCCTTGATTAATCAAATAAAAACAGCGTATATAATTGATGGTTTATGATGTTCCGTGTTTGATTTGGCAAAAAAATTTGCCATCGCCAATCACCCCCTTTAACGGAAGAGTACCTATTTTTCTTCGGTGGAATCTCTAAAATATAAATATGCGTGAAGTTCTTTTCTGCTTTTAAAAGTAGACAGATCAAATAAGAATCAAGAAGATCAATCAAGAAGAATCAAAATATCTATAAAAAAAATTATGAAAAATAACCTTACATGTTATGAATTTATTCGAGTTATGTATACTACATGCCAAAAAACAATATTATTTTCCTGATAAAACAATTTTCTTGCTAAAAGTTATTTTAAGTAGAAAATTTTGATGATAAACTAAAGATAAAAATATTTTTTTATATTTAAGTCACCGAATCACACAATCAATATTTTATGAATGATTTTGACGCGGAATGAGGCTCTTCACAAAGTGCGGTAACTGATCTAGAACTCTTATCTAAACAATTTTGATTCTGCTTGTTGTAACTCTTATAATTGTTAGCTAAAAAAAGAATAATTATTAAACTCCTTACTAAGTTCCTTTTCGTTGCTCCACAAATTTTTATAATAAAGATCACCCCCTGGAGGAGTAGCTTGAAGAGATTTCAGCTTTTCTTTATACATTGTTTCGGCCTGCTCTACCCAGTATGTGTAGATGCTCCTTCTTGCGAGATCTATGGATCCTTTCTCGTTCGGAATATCCTCGTGGACTATAGCCTGCATACGGTTTTTGATCTGGAATCAGAATAAAATATTTAAAACATTTTAGCGGGTTTTAGCCACTCTAAAAATATTGACTGGTTTCTCAAGATCCGTTCAGTGTGTATAATTTAGAAAGTGAAACATAAATCAGCTGTAACTGGCAGAGATTTATCACTTATCAATTCCCTATCAAGTGACTTATTACATCTATAATGTTTTGAGGAACTACCTACGGAAATCCATCTTTTCAGCATTTTGTCCTGATTAAATGGTACGTTGCGATGCTCTTGGAAATATTTCGGAAAGGAAAGGTCAGCATTGCTTTATGGCCTTTCCAGTCAGCAGTACCATCTGTTGACAAACTTTGGCTCCAATATTTAAAACTAATAGGAATTAATAATTTCCTTTCCTTATTCCTTTGTCGAATGCAGCAAACCGTACGATTCTATCTCTTTCCACATTTATTTAACCCCTTCCTTCTCGCGAAGTTTCGCCCTCTATTTCTCGCTCTCGTGAAATTTCCGGGCTGGAGTGTTCAGTAGTAAAGCGCCAATAAGAATAAAACTAATTTATTTCTTTTGTCCAGAAAACATTTTATTTCTGATTTTACACACCATATGGCAGTACCAGGATATTTTTAAGGTAATTGTAGATAGTTCGTTTGTTTTAAACTAGATGTCAGCACTAATCAAGAACGTGCATTTGGCAAAATAGGCACTTTTATGACAGTTTTCTTGAAAATTAACCGATCGTTAAGGGGTTAATGTTTTTTTTTAACTAATCGTAGGTTATTTTTACTATACTTAGTTTCTCCTTCCTTTTATCCCTTTTATTATTACTTGAAAATCGTCATAAACTACTTGGCAATTCATTTTCAACTTTCATCTATCTAACTAAGATAACGTAATTAATGTCTTATTACCATCATAGGTAAGTAAAAAAAAAGCTTATGTCATACCAGCAGCATATCGAACATGATATCATCCAGTGCTGAATCTCTGTCTTCAGGTTTTAAGGTGACCTTCCTGAATAGGTCAATCTTTCGGTTCAATACTTCCAGTGAGGCATTACGAAGGAATCCTCTGATCACCATCTCAACTATTTCTACCTTCTTGTTCTCTAATTTCTCTTCGTAACTCAACTCTTTCTCCTAAATAACAAAAAAAAGGAGTTTAATCATAATCATTATAGAGCAAATGGTACGTATCTGTTAAGAGGATAAATTAAAAGTATTTTGTGTTTAAATTAAAAGCTTAATAATAGTTGCGTTTCCAGAATGACACCACGTGTATACTTGTAATGTGGTATTAGTCGCATCCATCATTCCTCCATTCTTTGTAGTGAGTCCCGCAGTGGACTGATCGTAAAGACACGGTTCCCAATGGAACACCGAAGTCAAGCATCAATTGCTGCGGTCAGTAAGCGGGTGGATGACCAATTTGATCAGCCTGCGTAGGGACCCAAGGGTGCGCGATATCGGTCCTTGTTAAACTGTTCTACCGTAAAGTGCTCGACTTCGCACGCTGTTCGTCGGGCTACTAAAGCAGGGGAGCTATACCTTCTGCAGAGGTTCAAAATTGCGATGGCATGGATCATTCTCAGGGATGTTTCCCAGACTGTCGCCATTTGCCCATTTTGTATTTGCCCAAAATTAAAGGAAAAGTTTGAAATCACATCAAATATACTAGAGCTTTATTTACGTCAAACTAGAGTTACACAATGGAATGTAGGCAAAATCCTGGAAGACATGCCGTCATAATTTTGATCCTTTGCATGAGGGGATGGCTCCACTCGTTTTAGTAGTCTGACAACCTGAGTGCGAAGTCAAACATTTTAAGTGGAATATTTTAATGACGACCGACCCTCGGTCCCTTCGCAGGCTGATCAAAGTGACCACACACCCGCTTAATTTCAGTTATCTATTGGGAACCGTGTCTTAAGATCAGTTCACTGTGAGTCGATTGAATCGATTTAAATCCTCTTGACCTGACGCGTTTAACCGTTGAGACTCGACTGAATGAGGAATTGGTTGGTATTCCTAACTCCACGTTCTTCCAAATATAGCCGTAGTCAGGCCCGTAGCCAGGGGGGGGGCGTTGGGACAAATCCCCCCCCGAAATTCTGGGATTCAAACTTTTTAGTCTTTCTTTGAGCCTCTCAGTAAATAGAAAAACAAAAACTGTCGAATCAAACCTTTTATTAACTAACTTTATTAAGCATATTTCGGGATATTCCGGTTTATTCTAAAAAAGTAATCGAAAAATTTTCTTCAAATCCCCGTCGCAATGTCTTTGTAAACTTTGTTTACAAATTGATTATAATTGTTATTTAATATTAATTGAAAAATAATTATTATGTAATATTTTTAATTACTAGTTTAACTTTTGCAAAAAACAGAATATACAATATTTGTTACAATGTTTTTCCCCTACTTTGCATGTCTGAAACCGTCCTTGCTTCTTACCATATCCCCCCCCCCCGAAAAAATATCCTGGCTACGGCCTTGGCCGTAGTTATACCAATATTTGTTAACATAGTTGTTATGAATATTTTAAGAAATTATAATTCTAACATACTGTCGCTTCTTTTTCTTTTTTCTCAGTGGACTCTTTTTCTTTTTCTCCAGTGGACTCCTTATCCTCTGTAGGCTCGCTTTCTATTTCTTCAGTGGACTCTTTTTTCGGTTTGGCAGCATCTTTCTTCAAAGATTCGGCAGCCGCCATAGAAATTCCTTGTAAACCATCACGAATCACGCTCTTCACGAAACTTACGAAAGAGGCCATACTCATGTCCAAGACATTACGAGCCTCTTTGTACGCATCTGCATCATATTTAAAGAAGGAATAAATAAATAGATAAATAAATAAATAGATAAATAAATAAGTAGATAAATAAATAAATAGATAGATAAATAAATAAATAGATAAATAAATTAGTAAATAAATAAATAAAATAAACTGTAGATTAAAAGGTACTAAATGCCAAGTTAAAATGCTCTTCGAAATTTTAAACGAAAAATTGAAGTACTTGAATTGAAGTCTGGTTAAAACTTAGCTGTGATTTTCTTTAAACAAAATAAAAAAGGCACAATTTAAATATATGAACTTCGTAAAAAAGCTATAATTTTAAATTATATATTTCATCTCACCATCTGGGCTTTAGAACGGAAATTAAATATTTTAAAAATTACTAAGCTTTCTTAAAAAACGTCGACTTAACGAGATTTTTCCAATGAGATGGAAAAAATCAAAATCAACGATTAATTATCCGTTTTTGCAACAAAAAAAAAATTTGAGTTCAAAGAATACAGCTTTTTATAACCATCTTTGAGCCGACCAGCCTGTGTAGGGGGTAAGGAACTGTCCTGGCATCAAAAAGGTTCTGGGTTCGAAACCCGGCCAAGGCATGGATGTCCTTTCTCCTATGTGTGTGAATGTGACCCGCCCTATAAACGGATTGTGGTAGTGCGACGTGGGCGACGCTGCTCCACTGCCGTGGCTCCACCACAGGTGCCCACTGGGAAACGAAAAGAGAGTTAGCAGTTCTGGCACTTTCTGTGGCCAATGGACAGTAGTTCCAAGTGCCCGCCATTAAAAAAAAATAATAATAAAATAACCGTCTTTGAACAACCGATCCAATATTGAGTTTACGACTACCAATGTTGAACTCCGTAGCTTTGTTATTATGAACTCAACCCTGAAGACAAGGGAAAATCGTGCATCAACCGTTGGGACAAACTATTCAAAAAAGAAAAAAAAAACTATCAATACTATATAATTCTCAAAACAAAATGTTTCAGAAGTACTTTGCTTTTTAATGTTTATTTTTGGAATATTTTTTAAAATATAAAATAAACACAATAATGCTTTTTAGGGATCGGAAAACTGTGATCATAAGTAATTAAGTGTAATTATTGCAAAGAAGGGATTAAAATCATCTAAAAGCAGTTTATTTTAAAATGAAGCTTAAAGGCAGCTATTAACGAAAGTGAATGCATTCCAGTGTAATTAGCTAAATAAATATAATGTAGTAAAAAAATAAAATTAGAAATAATAAAACAGTTTTTTTATGATTTTAACCCCTACCTTGCACTTTTGACTACAATAACAAACATTGGAAACATTTTTGTTTCTTCCTATTTATATATTAATTTTTAAAGCACAATTTGCACAGTTTTTAATTTGATTTTATTTGTATAGTTCTTTATTTGATTTATTTTTCTTATTACTGGGAATTTAAACATTTATCATAAGTGAACTAATTACAGCTAAGGGTCTATACCATATACTCCGAACTTGCTTCCTTTTGTCCACAGCTTTTAAAAATATTGAAACATTTTTTATATATTCTCAGAAAATCGAGTTAACGTTGAACAATAATATCTGGCTAATATGTTACAACCAGGATTTATAAAGATGGATCAGTAATTTCAAAAAATGTTCAAGGGTACTGGCTATTCTGTATTCCATATTTTCGAAGAGATGAAGCCAAAAATGAAACCAAAAGAGTAAGCACATTAAAAGTCTTACAATTCTTTAAAAAAACAAACATAAATTTTGGTTAAATCTAGCGAATTAATACTTAGGTAGGCGGGACTGAAAATATTAGAAGGAAACAACGAGAAATCGAAAAGTATGCATTAAAAACACCTCCTTAGTACTACAGATTAGAATCAGATTTGACACTTTTTATCTCGCCTTCCTCGCTGGTGATCTGACAGTTTTTAAAAGCTTTTTCATCTTTTCCTAGTTTAAAATGCAGTCTAATGTGGATGCATTTTTTTACTTCGTTTTTGATAAGGATTCCGAATAATAATTGTATATTAAGAACAGTAATTCCGGAAAACCCTGTTTGTTGTTGCCCTTAATATTTAATAGCAATTAAAGTATAATTTCAATAATTATACAGAACAATAATTATATAAAACAATTCCAGTAGTATATTTAATAAGTTAATATTTAATAACATAGTAGCTTACCTGTCACGTTTAATGCTTTATTTAAATATAAGTTGAGTGAAGAATTTCCATTATCATAGAGCAAGTCAAAACTAGTAGCAATTAATTCATTCCACTTGGCTGTGATGTTCTTATGTACCCTCTTGATCCTGGTACCAAATGCATTTTTTATGCTCTTGAATTGCATGTGTATTCTTCTTTCTTCACTGAAAAAAGAATCCAATGTCATTATTAAAAACAAATACTGTAAATTCCACAAATGCAATCGAATTATGAAAAACCACTTGCACTTCAACTCCGATTCTCCAAGAACCACTGAAATATTTTTTGTTCTAATTTATCATCAGACTGAACCATTTTATTTGCCTTTGACTAACTAATTATATTATTTTTAATTCATTTTTTTAGTACCATTAAAGAATTTTTTTTTAGTAATACACATTTAAATAATCTTTCAAGAATCTTTCTAATGTTACGATTTTAAATGATCCTTCAAGAGTGAATTGAATTTAGTTATAAATTTATATACGTTTTTACATCATTTTAAAGGGTTTAATTTTACAAATTTTGATTGAAATCAGCCGAATAGTTGTTGAGAAATCGAATTTTATACATACGACTTTTTTTTAAATTCGATTTCTCAGGAACTGTTAGACCAATTTCGTTCAAATTTTGTATTTTGTCTTATTAAATTATGTTTTTTAAAACGATGAGAAAATGTGTACGCCATACAATTCAAACTTTTTTCGATTATTAAATGAAATAATAAAAAAATAATAATAAATAAGTATTAAAAATTATTTTTTGCATGGAATTATCTTTGATAATTATCGAATTTTATAATTGGAATTATGGAATTACCGAGTTTTATAATTGTGTGCAAAAATTTCATTTTATTTTATAGCCGTCGTTGAATAGCGAACCCGATTTTGGGGCTCACGATTACTAACCTTCAACTCCGTGGGCTTATAATTTTGAACCCAATCCAGAAGACAAGGGGACTACCAGATCAAGTATTGAGAGAAACTCGCCTTCGTGGCGGACTTCTTGGTGGAACTAACTCACATTTGCGTTACATGGAGAGGAAAACCACAAACACCTCCCACGGTTAGTTTGACGGCCTCGTACCCATGATCCGTCTACCACTGAGGATATTTCACGTCAGCACTGTGGTCGGTGCAAGCTGGATGCGAAATTCGTATCGACCAGCCATCGCTGGGATTCGAACCCGGTTCACCTCATTGGAAGGCGAATGCTCTATCCCCTAACTTTTGACCGCATTCTTGACTATACTATAGGAAACATATTTTTCTAATTACGGCTACCTCGCTTATTTTGAATGACGAGAATCCGAATCAATTGAAAAAAAGGTAATTTTATTCAGAGAAAATAGGTTTTTGTGTCTGATTTTGTAACCTAAAATATCGTCGACACTGATTAATTAGCATATTTAAGGTTAGGCTCTCGAATAATTACGATTAATTCTTACTTCTCCTGGTCAAACTATTGGGAACATATTTCCCAGGTTACAGCTACGTTTTTGTATCTAATTTCGTAACTTCAAATATTGTCTGCCCTTATTAATTAGCATACTTGAAGTCACCCCTTTAAAATCATTACAATTCATCGAGTCAATAAAAAAGTAATAAAATGCAAATATACACTTGGAAAAATAGAAGGTAGTACTAACATTTATCCTCAAATATTCTAAAAGGAAACAATAAGTCGATACGAGTAGGAACGAGTTAAAAGTTAAAGTGGATCTGAAAGTAGCAAATATAAAATAATATAAATCGTTTGACTTTAATTAACATTGGAGAATTCTCAGCATTTGTTTTAGCGTTGGAGAATTTTCAGTATTATCAACCCTCCTATATGATCATTTTTCTTGTTTAGCATTGTGGAATTCTCAACGTTATCAACCATTCTATATGATTGATAATGTTAAGAATTCTCTCATTGCTAAATCAAGAAAGGTAACTTTTTTAGTCGAAAACTTGAGGCAATCGACCGAAAATCAGAATTCATGAAGATAATTGAATTTGACTGACGAAAAACATGAATTTTTTAAATCTATGTTGATATACAAGGACGAAAGTTTGTAGGGTAACCTCGAACAAACAAAGTCAAACAGTATAGAGACAAGTCCTGACTTGATGATAAAAAAAATAATAATAATAAATGCAACTTGTAATAAACAATAATAATAATTTAAAAAAAATCAAAGTTTAAGGGTGTCGAATGTTTCTGGATAACACCTCAAATTCTTTCCGACAGAAGGGCTCGAGTTACCCAATGGGGGCACGAGTTCTCTTGGGCTTCCTGTTGGCGCTACCCCTAAAAAACTATAACCCCATCCAAGAGCTAGAAATTAATAAACTCAATAAACCAAAATGATCATTAATCATCAAGTATTTCCGGTAAGACCGGGATAGCCTGTTAGGTGGGGCAATGGACCCATGTCCAAGAGGTCGTGGGTTCGTTCTCCGAAGACACCACGTCTAGTAAACGGTGACTGATGCAAGTTAAATCTGTCGAGTCTCAAAGTCCTCCATGTTCCCATAACAAATCATACTTCTGGGGGTACTGATCCAGGAGTTTCCTTGTCTTCCGGATTGGGTCAAAACTACAAGGCTTCAGACTTGAACATTAGTAGTTGTAAACCCAAAATTGAATGGACTGTTCATCGACAGTTATAAAATAAAATAAAATGTATTTCCAGTAGTATAAATTCCAAGGTTCTTTCGAGAGATAATATTGTTGTTGTTGTTAATTTACGTCGCACAAGAGCTGTACAATGGGCTATTGGCGACGGTCTGGGAAGCATCCCGGAGAATGATCCGAAGACATGCCATCACAATTTTGGTCCTCTGCGGAGGGGATGGCACCCCCGCTTCGGTAGCCCGACGACCTGCACGCGAAGTCGAGCACTTTACGGTAGCACAGTTTAACGAGGACCAATACCGCACACCCTCGGTCCCTACACAGACTGATCCAAGTGGTCACCCACCAACGCAGAGCTATAAGCGATAAGCAGAGAGCTCGCCACACTTAACTATACTCAATACTCCATATTTACCTAATAACGTCATTTTAAGTTAGAATTAAAGGTCTATTAGGTTAAAATTAAATAAAAATTATCCAAAAAAGCGCAAATATGTATAAATTGCAATGATTTAAAACGAATTATTTCATTTATTTATAAACTCTTTCCAGTTTGGAATTTCAAACTCCTTTTAAAAGAGAGTGCATTCTTCTCTGGTTTCTAATAAGAGTGAGTGAATTTTTATGTCATGTTGTTTACATGAAAATCAGCAGACTAGAACGTAAGTCATTTGAAGTAGTTCACTTTTTCTACAGTGACCACGACGTAGCAATTTGCAATACAAAAGTAGGTATTTATATTCATTTAATATTTTTTTATATTAAATAAATTTTTAAGAACTATAAAGTAATTAGTTTTCTTACTTGTCAGAGGAATCCCTATCTGGAAGATCTGCCATGGCTGCTGACAAACTGTCGGCTGTAGCATCTGCCACCCTATTTACGAATTCCTTGCTATCTGCAAATAGATTTAACGCAAATAGCCATAAAAAATCAGTTGTGCAATAAACAAAAAAAAATATTTTCAAAATTCGATTTCTCAGTAACTATTCGACCGATATCACTCAAATTTTGTATTTTGCCATGTTATATTATGTTCTTTAAAGTATTATAAAAATTTGTATACCTTACAATTCAAATTTTTTTGACTATTATTAAATATAATAATAAATATTTACTAAATGTTTTTTTTTTTTTTTGCATGGAATTATCTTTGGATAAACGAATTTTATATTTGTGGGTATTTCATTTCTCAATTTGCTTAAAAAGTTCTCGAGATAAAGTGAAACACCCAAAAAATAAAATTAATAATAAGGTATCCAAATTTTCGATCGCTTCCCTGACCAAACTATTGAGACCCTATTTTCCAGATTGCGGCTACCTCTAAATTTTATTCATCAAAAATACGGATCCAACAAAAAAAATGGTATTTCTGTACCGAGGAATTGTGTTTTTGTGTTTGATTTCGTAACTTAAAAACGTCGTCTATACTAATTAGTAAGCATTTTGGAAATCAGCCTGGGACGTGAAGATCTAAACATAAGATGAAAAGTTATTTGAAAGCAAACTTTAAATTTTAATACAACATATTTTATCACGCTGAGCTTTTACAGTAACTGAACTTATTATAGCAACTTTTTCACGAAAATGAAAATTCATAATTAATATCCCTAAAAAAATTAAAAATGCCATATTGGTATTTTAAGAAATATTTGTCAGATGTCTTTGAAAACTTTAAAATTTGATGCTCCCATTTTAAGCAGAATGGTCAAACTCAGGGCTAAAGAGTTCTTCTCTATAACCCTGGATCCAACTAGGTCCAGTAAGAATGTTCTGTACGTTTATGAAAATTCTTGAATTGAGCATTGTTATTTTTAGAGGTCTTAATCTTTTCTGTTGTACTTTGCTTTTCTGAAAGTGTTATTCAATATAAAGGTATAGTTTGTCTAAAGTAAGAACTCCCCTAGCCATTCGTCTGGACCCGTAACGGGGACCATGGAAACGAGGTATAACTAATTCAAGTAGACGTGTGGGGTCATTGTTTTAGGACAGGTTTTGGCTTTGGGTCAGCAAAAGAAAGTGAATTTTTTTCCTCGGTCTATTGTGTTAGCCCTAGAGTGAAGAGAAGCTACCCTCCCTAAAAGAAAAAAAGAAGACTAAAAAAAGCTACCCTCTTGTTCCCATAGCAGCAGACGACCTCAGACTTTGTTTCGAAAGGAGTTCTTACCGTAGGCAAACTATAAAATAGTTATTATTAAATTAAAAGTTATGTTGCCACGTGGAAACTATGAACTGGATTGTTCGGAATGTCGTCAGTGAAATGATGGTTTACATTTCAAAAGTGGAAAAAATTCGAAGCGCGCTTCAAAGGGTCCTTGTCTCAGAACTCGCCCATTATCGAATTTTGAGGAGAAAATTTTTTTTTCTTACCTTTGAAAATATTTTCCGTAACGATCTTGTACTTTTCGTGGTAGACAGCATCAACAGTATATCTGTCACACTCTGAATTGCTCACGTATCTTATTTTGACGGCAGCGTCGCTTTCGATGATACATAAGAATAAGGACAACATCCAGAAATAATGCAAGATGCCATTTTGAGATCCTTTACAAGATAAATAAATACAAGGTATTCAAAAAATTTTAGCATTCATGGCATAAATTCGAAAAGATGCAAAATGACATTTGGAGATCCTTTTTAAAAATAATATAATAAATACAAGCTGTTAAAAAAATATTAGAATCAATGACATAAAGTCGAACTGATACAAGGGATACAAATAAAGTATCGGAAATATGCCCTGAAAATGTTTTAACGAACGTACGAGCAAAATTGTATTAGCATATTTCTTCAATACAATCATCAGCAAAACCCTGCACCTTTTGCCACATCTCAAGCAGTTATGTAACTTGTTTGTCAAAAATGTAGTTCCCATCAGCTCGAAGAAAGTGTTCTTTCAGCTTAGAAAAGATATTGTAGTTACAAGGTCCCATGTCAGGAGAGTACGGAGGATGTTCCAACACCTCCCAAAATGGTTTAACCCGTCATGCAACCGTACTAGACGGCAAACCCATTCGCAACATGGGCTTCAGATAATCCTTGATAACGCTTTGATGCAGGGCCGGCTTAAGCGTAAGCGGGGCCCTAGGCCATTTAAATTTTTGGGGCCCTTAGATTAAATTTTATTCTCGTATATTTTTTTTTAAATTCAAATATAAAAGTATTTATGTATCTTTTCATTTAAGAAAGCATATTTAGAATAAAAATAAATAATAATAAATTAAATTTTACTTTATTTTATTAAATTAGAACTAAAAAATAATCGTAAAATTTTGAAAAAATTTGAAAAATCACTGTTTTTCTTAATTTTTTAAAATTTATTTTTAAAAAAATCCATTTTAAGGGGGGCCCCTAATCATTGGGGGCCCCAGGCCATGGCCTAGTCTAGCCTAATGGGTAATCCGGCAATGCTTCGATGCATTTTTGCCAGGAGCAATATCGATTATAATCCATGACCTCTGATCTGCGCGATAAAGCTTCCGAATTCTCCCTAAACGGAGGGGTATACACCCACCCTTCACTGATCACATTCCGTTTGCGCATGGCAGATATTCTGTGTTCTAAACTGCATTGCCAGTAGTGCTTAATCATCCTTCCTAATCCTATAGTAAGGGAAGGGAATCAAAAGATTTATTATTACAATGGACCAAAAAAAGTTTAAATAAATAATCTGAAGATTTATAAAGAAATTGGCCAGTTGGAAACCTCATTTTGAGAATATGACAATCCGTGGATAGTTGGATCATTTTTTTAAAAAAATATTTCACATTGCCAGATTTTTCCTCAACCGATTTTCTCAAAAAGCGATTGCGTTAAACATTCTAAGGACGTTACTATTTAGTTAATTGAATCAAATATTAAAAAATTGCATTATTTCTGTTTAGTATGATTCTTTAGAAAATTATTCCTCCAGATAACAGTTAATTAATTTAAATAATTATTTTGCTTCGTTGGATTTAAGTGGAACCATCTATTATTTCGATAATTTTCAGTTTTTGCATGCATTTAGAAAGCAAAGCTATCGGAATGACGTACAGAATTTTACACTAATAGAAAAATTAAAATAATTAACCATAACAAAAATCTTCCGAAATTAATTACTGCAGCAAAAGTTTGTTTTAACGTCAATTCAAAATAAAAGATAATTATAAGCGAATACGCATATTTAATGTTAAGACAGAAATAAAAAACGAGGGTATAATTGTGTGAAGTATATTCTGATGTCTTAGATAACAGCGAACTAAAAAATTTTTGTAATAGTGGACCTGTCGCAACATGCCGTTCTCATTATATAGAGCTTTTACTATATACATAAATAATGTAATCCTCAGGAATATTAAGAGGACGCCATAGCAAGGAAGAAAATTTTCCTCGCGAAATTCTCTTTTTTCTCCATTACTAATTAAAAATTTAAAGTATAGAGAAAGTGAGTTCAGACAAACCTAGAGTAAGCCATAAAGTTCCAAATACTGAAAAAAAATTCTAAAATATGCAAATGAAAATAAATGATGAGAAGATAGCTTAGGATTACGCAATGGTGAAGTTCTCTTCAAATAATTTGTTTGCATTTTAATATTTTGAAGTATTTTTTTCAGCAACTGAAACTTCATTACCTACTCTAGGTTTGTCTGAACTTGCTTTTTCTTTCTTTTAAATTAGTAATGAAGGATAAAGAGAATTTGAGACGAAAATTTTCTTCCGTGGTATGGCGTCTTCTTAAGTATTGCTGGAATAAATTATAATAAAATAATTCATTTTTCGAGAAAATTAATTCATAAAACTGAGCGATGCTAATAAAAATTCATTTTTTACCTTTGGTGAAATGCTGCATGATGAGAGCCTATTTCACGTGTCCTAACGTATCGTATGAAATCTACCAAGAAAAACCGAATGCGGCACATTGCAGCAGCTGCTGATTCTCAGAGATGCTCAGCAATTATCTCTTACTTCTCAAAACACGTCAGCGTAAGTTATCAGTGTCCGTAAAAAAAGAGAAAAGAAAAATGATTAATTTTTTAATCCCTGATCTTCCACATATCTCTATTGTCCCCATTTAGAACGATTTATTTTTAAATTTGATTTGGAACAATTTTTTTTAATGCTAAGGTTTTGAGAGAAGGAAATGATCAGTGTAATTTTAGTGAACATTGAACTTAATAAAACAAACTTTAGCTCGCATAAAAGTATTGTTTGTAAAACATAGTTTACAAACAAAATACTAAAAGCTGATTATAAAAGCAGATGGGTCACTCTCCAGTAGTACCTAATTTATCTTAAGGCCTGAGAAGCCCAGGTCTAGGGCCCCCACATTTTTGGGGGCCCTATTAGTGTTAAAAATGATACATTTTTGATTTTTTCCTTTAGAATTTTATAATAGAACTATGAGTTAACAAAAATTTTAATAAATATAAGCTCAAATTTACGCTAATCTATCGTACTAACATTATAAATAATTTAAAGAAACTTCATAAGTAAGCAAGTAATTTATTGTTATATTTTCTTTTATTTTACAATTATGACTAGGGGGCCCCTAACTGTTCTGTGCCTAGGGTCCCCGCATTTTTCGATAAGGCACTGTCTTCCAGGCAGAATCGAATTCCCTGCGATTATTTGAGTAAAATTTAAATAGTTTTACTGACTTTCAAGATTTAAATTACTACATTTTTAATAGTGATTTAAAAATTAACATGCACATAATATATCTTATTTTTATAAATTTTGAAAAATTTAAGATACTTTTCGTAACTTTCAACAAATCAATTTTTACTTAACATACGTACATGGAAATTTTTGGAACATAAGACGTCTATATTTTAATGTAAAAATATTTTCGAATGTATCTCTTTGCAAAAAATTATGAAAAAAATTCTCAAAGTGTAAGTTTTAATGCTCTGAAATTTAAGATCTTCTTCTTATCTCCAACAGTTAAGCCAAAGGTTTATTCGATCTGGTCTAACTTAGTCAGACCAAGTCGAATTAACAGTAGATTATATACCTGTCGATGACAAACAGAGAAGACGAGTATAGTTTGTCAACGGTAAGAACTACCTCCACCACAAAGTCTGAGGCCGTCTGCTGGAAACAAGAATAGCGCATTTCAAGGAGGGTAGTTTCTCTCTTAATTCTAAGGCTAACACAATAAATCGGAGAAAAAGATTCCCTTTCTTTCGCCGACCAGACAGAGTCAAAACCTGCCTTAAACAATGACTCTACACCTTCTTGAAATAGTTTTACCTCGTTACCATAGTCACCACCACGGGTCCAGACGAATGGTTAGGGGAGTTCTTACTTTAGACAAGCTATAGAATTCTTCTCTGCTGAGACCAATATATGTTTGGGGAGTGGCCTGATGAAGCTGACATTTAAGACAATGGAGAAAAGTTTTCAATCCACCAGGAAATTTTAGACATTTCAGGTGACCGCTAGCTAGGCGCGATGTTCAAGTTTGGGTAGATCTGTCTCCCGAAATAGAAAGAGAGAATCCTGGTTCGGTCGCCACGTACTAGCTGTTGGTGGAAGGCAGTTGCATGTCTTCTTTAACAGTAGATTTTTCGATAGAATAAAGTTCCATAACCATAAATGTTAGTTTGGTGGTATTAGAAGAGAAATCTGTTGACAGCAGCCTTCTTCAGCGAGTTTGTCTGGTATTTCGTTGCCCTAAATATCCATACGTGATGGCACCCAATGTAAGTGTATTTCGCGATGTTGCAAAATGGTTTTTAGTTTATTATAGATGGAAATACTTGTGCGTTCACCAATATTTAAACGGTCTTTGAGATGCACTGCGGCTATCAGTCAAGATCCATAAAATCAAGATCCGTTTACAGTATACAGCAGAGTATCTAAACCCCCTTAATAAGGGTCACCGAAAATTTATCAATTTTGATATTTCTTTAACTAAAGATATTACTTATATATAAGAAATATATATTTCTTCAACTTATTATAATAATTTTAAAATTTCCAAATATTTTTACGTAATATATATCAAAATAAATAAAAATAAGACAGTACATACAAGGAAACACAAAATCTTTCGATGGATTTTTTGCGACAGAAACGTTTATTTTATTTGCTTTTACGCATGACGGTTCGCACATGTGTATATAGCCGTCTTTGGAGTCCCACAAATGAAATATTATGGGGTCCCCCTCCCCACACCAAAAAGTTTCAGAAAACCTGATCTAAAATGTAATTTTTGAATGATTTATTTATATATGTCATTTTTAAATGAACCACGCGCTAATTATCACCCTTATATTAAATTAGCTGTATATTTGCTCTGATCTTTCATTGTTTTGGACTAAATAAGTTTTTTTAGCAATTGTTTATGACTATTTCTAAACATAAATGAGTACATATGGAAAATATAATGCTAGCACTTTAATATGTAACTAGTTCAAGTAAATCTCATATTATAAAAAAATTAATAATATGTCCGCTTTTTTGGTAGTGCTACATACATATTAATCAATGTATGTTTCGAACAATTAAGAGGACACTTAAGAACATTAAGAGGAACAATTAAGATTAAGGCTCTAGGGCTGTCGCTCCGCTGAGTTTAGTTTAGTGATTCTTTTTGATTTCATTGATGATGGTTTCATTTAACGAAACATGGGTAAAAATATTTCGAAATAAACTAAAAAAAACTAGAGACTAAAAGTGAATAGAGTAACATAAAACTATTTTAAGCATACCCATCTAGTTTTATGTTTATTTGAATGCTTTACGTGCTTTTAAAACATATTCAATATTGAAGAAAAACTTGCTCTGCCGACAAAAACTTACAATGTATTTTGATCTCAACTAATTTACTCTTCTTTGGATATTTAATTGACAAATTGCCTCCTTGTCTTTAAATGTTTAGCTTGAACAAAAACAATCATGATTTTATTTATTCAGCGATTTGTTTGTAATAATTAAATAATAATTTTTGAAATATTTTATTTAGACGTATCAACTATTTTAGTTATATTATAGCTTTCAAGTAATATTCAGAACTGTTAACACATTTTATGAGATAATTTAAGAGAGTAAATATAAAAAAAATCTGAATTAAATAAAAAAATGAATTTCACCGATCTTGGTTCAGACTCACGTTTTCTTTACTTATCATTTTTCACACCAATGAATGAAAAAATAAATCAACAAATAAATAAGCAGAAATATGAAAACAAAGTTTATTAAACTCCATATACAAATACATTCACAATAATAAAAAATACAGCATCCTGCAACAAACCACTTAATAAATGCATAAAAAAGCATTAAAAATTCCAATACAAAAATTAAACTATGAATTGCATCAACAGATATTTTCTTTCACAACAATGTAACTTAAGATGGTTAAGTAAATTTCTCAACTAGTTCTTTGACTGAGTGGGCTAATTTATCAGCTTGCTCCTAGAAAATTTAAGAAATATTACTGTATTATATATTTATTTTAGAGACAATTAAAGATCTTGATGGATTAAAAAAAATTATATTATAGCAAAAGAACATGTTATGAGACATTTTTTTAAATTTGAAAAAAATAAGCACATAGTAAAAGAGCATGTTATTTTGTATTTTGCTGAATTTGAGAAAATTAACATACAATGAAAGAATATATATGTGATATTTTAGTTAATTTGAGAAAGTAAGCCCTTAATAAAAGAACCTGTTGTGAGGTATTTTAATGAATTTCTGAAAATTAGCCTTTAATGAAAGAGCATTTTATTTTATAACCGTCGTTGAACAGCCAAACCCAATTTTTTGGGTTTGCGACTACTTAAGTTCAACTCCATAGTTTTGTAATTTTGAACTCAATCCAGCAGACAAGGAAACTCCTGAATCAAGTATTGGGAGAAATTTTCCTTGTGGAGGACTTTTTGATGGAACTAACCTGCATTTGTGTTACGTGGAGAGGAAAAACACCCACGGTTAGTCTGACGGCAAGGGGACTCAAACCCATGATCCGTCTACCACGGAGGATAGTCAAGCACTGTGGTCGGTGCAAGCCATATGCAGAATTCGTATCTACCAGTTATTGCTGGCATTCACCTCATTGGAAGGCAAATGCTCTATCACCTGAGCCATCTCGGCTCATGAAGGAACATTATGGTATTTCATTGAATTTGAGAAAATTAACCTACATGCTATGATGAATTTTACTATGAACTAGAGAAAATTAGCCTACAGTCAAAAAACACTGTTTATATGGTATTTTACTCAACTCTTGAAAATCAGCCTATAGCGAAAGAAAATTGTGATATTTCACTGAATTGGATTAAATTAGCCTACATAGAAAGAACTTGTTATGGTGTATTTTAGTTAACTTGAGAAAATTAGCCTATAATAAAAGAACATAGCATTTTAGTGAATTTGGGGAAATTAACTTACAGTGAAAGTATATGCTATGTGGCATTTATTGATTTTGAGAAGCTATAGAACATCACAAGTATAAACATTCCATCTAAACCCATTTTTGTTTAAAAACGTGGCATAATTAATTGTTTGTACAAGTTTAAATTCAATTAACATCTCTAACAAGGGAAACTAGGGAAGTGTGACTCGTCAATTTTGAAATAAACTATTGGGATGTATGCCTTATGAGGAATAATTTTAGGGGGAAACATTCGTTTCGGCCCATAGAAGGTTCTGTGAGAGATAAAAAATAATTCAATGTATAGAAAAATCGGTATTTTATTACTTTAATGCAGACTATTAGTTATTGTAATTGTCTCATTCTCCAATTAATTTTGTGGTACTTTCACGTACTATATAATGCATATTTATTATCAAAATTGATTTCGAAAATTTTATATATCTGTAGTTTTTCAGAAAAACCTGTTAGGCTAATTTAAAAAGAAAAATTGACATCAAATTTTTTAATTTTCTTTTCCAAAAAACTTTCCAAATTAATTGGAGTATGTAATTGCAAATCAATTAATTAATTAACAATTAATTAATAATTAATTAACAATTAATTAATAACTTATTAATGATTAATTAATTTTTTGATTAATTTATCAACTAGCAAATTAATTAATTATCCAATTAATTACAAATTAATTGGATTATGAGACAATTACAATAACTAATAGTCTGCATTGAAGTAATAAAATACCGATTTTTCTATACATTGAATTATTTTTTATCTCTCACAGAACCTTCTATGGGACGAAACGAATGTTGCCATCTAAAATTATTCCTCATAAGGCATACATCCCACTAGTTTATTTTAAAATTGGTGAGTCACACTTCCCTAGTTTCCCTTGTAAGCTCTTCAATTATCTTAAATTTAATGAATATTAAACAATGATAAGAATAAGCATTGTCAAGATATCTTTTAAATGTATATAAAATGAAAATTAAGTAATAACTATTATTTAAAAAAAAAAAGTGGACTGATTTAGATAAGCAATTTATTTGGAATTCTCAGACTTGCTTTTGCTTTCTAGATTGTTAAAAAAAAATTTACATAAAAAAAAGCAAGAGAAAAATTAAGCAACAGAATTTTAATATTAAAATGAAAGGGTCAGGTAGAAGTAGAAGACTTTATAATAGACCCATATACACTGAGCAATCCTTTTATTATGCAAACGGGAATGTTTATTATGTCTTCTTTATGTAAATGAGATTTTACAACACATTGTTGCCACTAGAGGGCTAGTGTACTGCTACAATGCTTTAGACCCTTTATTTTGTGTTCATAGTAGTCTGAATGCCTAAATATCATTGTTGGCAAAATACATCTTGTAATGCTGATGACTTTTAGGGCACTTTCAACAGAATAATGTATCTTACCATATTGCTAATATAGACATTGATTGTTTTAATGAAGAAAATGTAGACTTCCTTTAATGTGTAGGCCCCCACAATCCACAAATTTCAATCCTATCGGCAATTTGAAGTATGAAGTTTAAAATCATCTAGAGCCACAACTTTCTAATCTATCAGTATTGGAAAGTGCAATAAATATTCCACAAAAACCCTAACGAAGTCTTGAAAAAAAAATCACTCCCAAAATGTTAGTTACTCAGTGTAGATCAATCCCAAATAACAATAAAGAAGATAAAGTAAATTACCTGAGTTTCTGCTTCAGCGTATACTCTTACAACATCTTCTGTACCAGAAGGACTAAAAGAAAAAAGAAACTCTTTCAGTACATTTTTAAAAAAATTTTCTATTGTATAAACAGACAAAAACAAGTGTTCACAAAGAAGTGAAAACATTTAGTTAAAAATATATAAACCAGTTAGCGTCATACTAAATACTAGGAGGCTTCGCCCCCTGCTCGCTGGCGCTCGCCAACCCTCGGAACTGCTTTCGCAGTTCATTTCGGATTGCAAAGCAATCCGATGCTCGCTTTACTCGCTCATTGGATACGTTCTTAACGTCTAGCTTTTGTATACTTTTTTGAACACTGAAGTTCCGAAAACTTTTCACTGTAGAAAATTCTAAACCTGTGCATTTCAATATTAATTTGAAATTGCAAACAGTTCACATATTTTTCTTAATCACACTATTCTAAATTTCGCTTTCTTTTCTCAATTCAGTGTAAATAAGATTAACAATAAAAGATAGGCAATTATAAAACATTTAATTTATTTTTGTGCTCTATAGATTTTACTTCTTTATATTTCAGAACCCCTTTGGTCCCTACATTGGTGTTATAAATGAATTTGGCAGTACAAAATTTAATGAGATCAGAAACAGTGATATAAACCAAGCCAAGGTAGAGATACCACAGGTGTATCCCAAGGTCGTGAAAGCTGTGTTCACTCAAAGAAGGCTATTTAGCTGGGGGGTTTTATAAACGATTATATTTTAGTATGCTAAAAAATATTTACTATTTACCGAATAAAAGACCTGGCATTGTTGTAAGATGAAACAACAGATTCAATAGCTTTTTGTAACCCTTCAGGTTTCACACACCTTCGTTCGGCATCAGTAGTTTCAATGGCATTTCGATCAGGAACCTGTAATAAAATTAACAGTTACATCAGGGATACACAATCATCTCTGGAGAGTGGGCCATAAAAACTAGAAATATGCCATGTTGTGAGCCAATGTAAGTAACTTAATCTAAAAGTGTAAAAAATACAGAGTGTATTTCGATTGTATTTTAAAGTAATTTAAAAGTGAATGGCTTACACATGTTTAACTTCTTAACTTCATTTCAAATAATTAAAATTACAATACTTAATGTAATTAAGTATATATAAATACAGTCACATAATTACACATCAAATGATTACAAAAATTTCAAGAGATTCAAAAGAAAAAATTAGAAATTACAACTTTTTTATTTATACTATAAAGTATATCCTTTTTAGAAAAGTTTTTTTATAAAAAATAAAAATAATGTCAAAAACTTTAAAAGAATAGTTAAGTGGTAAAATAAGTTATTATCTTTGCAACTAATATGGAGTGGGCCAACGTAAGTAACTTAAATCTAAAATTGTAAAAAATACAGGGAATATTTTGATTGTGTTTGAAAGTAATTTGAATGTAAATGAATTAGACATGCTTACTTTTTTTTAACATTATCTCAAATAACTTAAATCAAAATACTTATGGTAATTAAATCTAAATTAATATAGTAACATAATTTAATAATCAAACAATTACAAAAACTTCTGTGATTCAAAAGAAAAAACTAGAAATTATAATTTTTTTTTTTTACTTATCCTAAAAGTTAACCTTTTTCTAGACAAGAAAACCTTTCTATACGAATAAACTAAATATCAAAAACTTTAAAACAATAGTTAAGTGATAAAAAAAATTAATTATCTTTCCAAAGTAACATTAATTATCTTTGCAACTAATATGTTGTAAACCAATGTAAGTAATTAAAATCTAAAATCCCAAAAAATAGAGGGTGAATTTAGATTGCATTTTAAAGTAATTTTGAACGGCTTACACATGTTTAGCTTTTAAACTTAATTTCAAATAATGAAAATAAAAATGTTTAATATAATTAAGCCTAAATAAATATAGTTACATAATTACACATCAAATAATTATGAAAATTTCTGGGGAATCAGAAAAAAAAACTAGAAATTACATTTTTTATTACTTATTTTAAAAGTTAACATATTTTTAAAGACAAGTTAACGATTTTAAAAAAAATAATGTCAAAAACTTAAAAAGGATAGTTAAGTGGCAAAAAAAAATTAAATATCTTTGCAACTAATATGTTGAGGGCCAGTTTAAGTAACTTAAATCTAAAATCGTAAAAAATCCCATACAAAACTTCAACAAAATACAAAAACTTTAACAGTATTTAGAAAGTATTTTGAAAATGAATGGCTTACATACGTTTCACTTTTTAACTATAGTTCAAATAATTAAAACAAAAAATATTTCATACAATTAATCCTGAAACTTACAGTTTTCACATAAATAGTAATAGTAAAATGATTATAGTAATAAATATAGTAAAATAATTGCACATCAAATAATTTCAAAAATTTCTGGGCATTCAAAATAAAAACTAGAAATTACAATTTATTTTAAACTAAATGTCAACCTTTTTATGAAAAGTAAAAAAATAATATCTAAAACTTTAACAGGATAGTTAAGTAGTAAAAACAAAATTATCCTAACAAAATAAGGAACATTTTCTACAACAAACATAATTTAAAGTTCATTAATATTACATACCTTAACTTTTAATTGTCGATTAGGTAGGTCAGTATACATTTTATCCCAGTCTTCAACACTCCAATCAAAATCATGAAGTATTACTTCAACTAAAAGTAAATCTGAAATGGCATCACCAACAGTCTAGAAAATGATAACTGTAATTACAAACCTGTTATGGATGCAGCAAGCAAATAAATTTAACCATTTGAGAGTAAGTGCAACAAAATTTTATAAAAAGTCAAAATGTGTGTTTTACCTCATTTATGAGATCAATAACTGAGAGAAACTTCTTTGCTGCCATTTTTTGTTCTTGACTAACACTGCAATTAAAAAAAATTTTAAACAATTCAAGAAATTTAAAGACAAGATTATTTAAAAAAAAAAAAAAAAAAAAAAAAAAAAAAAAAAAAAAAAAAAAAAAAAACTAACAGCCAGAAATCGTGATTTTTTAAAAAAAATATCACAACTAAATTTTTCAGAAAACTAATAATATTAATAATCAAAAATAACAATACAAATATAAATTTTTTCATAAAAAATAATTTTCTTTATAAATTGGTTTAGGTACAAATCAAAATTAACATTAGCACATGCAGGAATCAATATAATTTACTTATAAAATATTAGTTATAATATGTATACATTAATAATATTATTTCTATAAAATTATTTATTACCAGACATTTATAAAAATGATAAATTATTGATTTTAGATCCTTTCCTTCTTGGTACCTAAGAAATTTGTTTTGCTACTGGCATTAAGCAATGCCAATTTTGTTTCAAAAAATTAACTGTTTATTGAAAACTTTTTAAGTAAATACAATAAAATGTACACAAAAATCTCTCGCTTTTATGTATATGCTTTGATAAATTAAAATTATTTAAAAAAATAAAAAATGGTGAAAATCCGGAAATATCAGCCATTCTCATAAATGGCCCCAGTCGTTAAGACTGATTCTACTTCTAACTGACCTAAAACAAAAAAAAAATTAGAATAAACAAACCTAAGAAAATGTTGCCTTATATGCTTATTCTTAAACTATGTTGTAAAGATAAGAAAAAGCTTTTTTTGATAATTGCAGTTTTGTTTTCTTCCTTATGTAGGTAATTTTTGGTTCTGGCCAAATTTTAAGAATTCTGTCTTCAATTGAACTAACTTGTTTAAAAAAGAAATTAATTTACCATTATCCTTCTTCTATGAGGCACTTAATTTAGCAGAAATTTTATGCATTATATTTGATAACTTAAGCACATGTGGTAAATTATTAATAACAAACTTACTTATTTAATAATCAATTTATTAAAATTTAATATGGCACGGATTTAAAGAATTTATTAAAAATTCTTATTACATACTTTCTTTTACAAATAGTTCCTGATGACATAAAACCAAAATCTTGAAATTTAAGCATCTTAATGTAGACTAGAATAATCAGAACATAGATTTACCCTTAGATAAATAAAACATTGCACAGTAAAAAAATAGCATTAAAAAAATACATCAAAGATTAATATAATAAATTAGTTTTTATTAAAACACTAATATTATTACTGCCAGTATTTTAATTTAACAATTAAGTTTTAAAAAAATGAAGAGATCAGGCATATTTACAGGATAAAACATACTTTTCACTTGATACAAGAGCTTTAATATTTTGCTTAGCTTCTTTACTAAAAACAACCTAAAATTATAAATTTTTTCATTAATCTGAAAATGCAACTAGTAAAAAAATAAGTACAATTATTTTAAAGTAAAGAGAAAGTTTTTCCAATAAAATAATATACCACTTACATAAAAAATTCATGCATGCAAGTATAATAAAAAAAAATTCTGGTTATTATTTCCAATGTCAGTTCAAATTACAAAGAAAAGGTAAAATGAAAAAAAAAAATGAATAACAGGAAAGAAAACACAGAGCATATAAAACACTGAAGAAATGATATAATTGAAGGCATTGTTTAATAAATGTTCAGACTTGCTAGTACAGTGCAGTACTAGTACAGAGAGTATTAGAGCTGCTATGCAATGAGGTACCCCCTCCTCAAAAAAAAGGGACCACACTGAATAACTTTTGATGTAATGATTGGATCTTTACATTCTAAGACTCGATGATTAGAGAGGGTAACTAATTAATTATTAGGATATGCTAATTAATAAGTGCGGACGATATTAAGTTACAAAATCGACACAAAACTTGCTTTCTCTAAATAAACGTACCTTCTTTTTAACAGATTCAGAATTCTGACCCCCAAAATATCTGACAAATATGGTCCCCGTAGTTTGATCAGGAGAGTGATTCAAAGTTTGGACCCATTAATGCTAATTTTACTCTTTGTGTACATCGTCATATCTCGAGAACTTTTTAAGCAAATTGAAACATTTTTGCACTCAACTATAAAATTTGTTTGTCCAAAAATAATTTCCTGCAAAAAATAAATTTTAGTAAAAATTTATTATTTTTTATTCAATAATAGTTGAAAAATTTTGAATTGCGAGGTACACATATTTTTACATCAGTTTAAAGTATGTAATTTTACGTGACAAAATAAAAAAAATTTGTGAAATCGGTCATTAACCACACAACTTTTTTTAAAATTCAATTTCTCAATTCGATTCTCTTCTTTCTAAATATAAGTGCTTAAGATATAGATTGACATTATTTAGAAAAAACAGCTGCTTGTAACTATCAAAAAGTCTTACGCTCAGATCGGGAATAAAAATTTTTAAGTATAAATGGAGAAAAGAATAATGGTTTTGTTACAGAATTTATAAGTTAAGAGTAAATTTTTACTAAAATATTGAGTAATTACAATATTGTGACCTCACCTTATAATGTCCATTTCCATTAGGATTACAGAGGTCTTGTATTAAATGTCAATTGTAACTGTGTAACTATTTTTATTATGGGTAGAACCACAAATTTTAACATACATCTAGATAACTTCAAAATTTTCTAGAATCTTAAAAAAATTGAGCTGCAGTGGATAGTGTGCTTGCCTCCCAATGAGGTGCCCCAGGTTCGAGTTCTAGGGGTGACTAGTTGATACACACTCTGCTCCCGGCTCGCACCTACCACAGTGCTGATGAAAAATATTCACAGCAATAGACGGATTATGGGTTAGAATCCCATAGCCACCAGGATAATTGTGGGAGGTTCTTCTTATCATGTAATGCAAATGAAGGCCAGTTTCTTCAAAAAGTATTCCACAAAGGCTAGTTTGTCTAAATACTCGATCCAGAAGTTCTTTTGTCTCCTGAGTTGGGTTTGAAATTACAATGTGACAGAGTTGAACATTGATAATTGTAACTCAGAATTAGGTCAGCTGTTCAACACTGGTATGAAAACAAAATTGAATCTTAAATAATAATTAAATTTCATAGTTAAAAATTTTAAAACTAGTGTGTAGAGCATCATAATATTCCAACATAAAATAAAAATTTTCAAAAATTCTTCAATTTTATTTCAATAAATTGAGAATAAAAATAGAGAAAGCAGGGTGAGCTTATTAGCAAACTTTTGATAAATTTAAATCAGATATTTAATTTGAGCTTTAAAGTGATAAAGTAATAATTGCATAAAACAGCCATTGAAAAAACATTCAGAGGGCGGGAATCCTTTCAATGCGGATTTGCAAGATATTTAAAGAAGGCTCCTAACTGAGCCAGACACAGACAGAACAAAAAAAGATAAAAAGGTAAAATCATAATTATACTTTGGAGTAGAGCCAATAAGATGAAATTAAAGCTAAATTATTAAAAAAATCACTTAAAGAAATATTGAGACATTAACTAATAAATTAGAAAGATTTATTAGTAAACAAAAAGAAATTTATGCATAAAAAAGATCATGAAAAGTGTGCATTAGTTAACAATTTAAACATTCAAATTAATTTATATAGAATTTCTAGATCTATTTACAAAGAAAATTTAAATATATCTTAAACAGGGTGCATAGACAGATTTTTCAACAAAAAATAAGCACCTTTGAAGCACTCAAAAACATTTTTAATCACTTTCCAAAAAAAAAATCCTAATTAGGATCTGTGCAGTAATAAAAATTATTTCTTTCTGTCGTTTAAAGTTCTTAAAAAACATAAAATCAATAAAATTCAAAAAAAGATTCAAAAACTTTACATAATCATGATAAAATAACTAGTTTCCGATAAATATTGCAGAGAAAATTGTGAAAATCATGCATTTTTTTGTAATTTAGAACAATAATCAATACGGCAAAGAAAAAATCTCCTTCTAAAAGATAGTAAATTAAGCACTTTTTACAAACCTCGAATAAATAAAACACCTTTAAGGGCTTTTAAAAAAAGTAAATGAAAAATAAGCACCTTTGAAAAACGCTACACACCTTATTAAAAAGAGATCATTTTCATTTTATTTCAAAACAAGACTTTCAATGTTACTTATTTATTTATCATGAATCTGCAATAAAATGTTAAACGTTTGTATTAAGTAAAAATACTTACTGTACCATGTCCATTAGCTTCGAAATAAATACCAATATCATATTTCATAGCTTCATGGTGCAAATGTTTTACTCCAGTAGGTACACAAACAACAGGTATTTTCTAAACATTAAAAATAAATAAAAGAAAATAGCTTCAATTTCTTATATTTATTCAATGAAACAATAAAAAAAAATCACAAAAAATTCAATTATACTTAAAAGATGTTAAATAAAAGTGTTTTTTTATTAATAATTTTTGGTTACCCTACATAAAATTTTAAAAAAAAAATTAATTTAAGAGAGAGAAAAATAAAAATGAACCATTCCATAACCACCATTAATATATAATTGAAGGGACCCTAGTTAATATGAAGTCAAAAAATATATAAATTAGGAATTGTAAACTAATATTTAAGCAAAGAAAAAAACTATCTTAATAAATGTGGTGAATCAATATTGAGTGAGTCAAAATTAAAAACGTCAACCACCTGTTTAAATGCCAGAGGAAGAGAAGAAGTAAATACCAATATGACCATTAAAATTTCTTTAGGCAATCAAACTGATTTAACTTCAACTTTTCTCAATAGTAATTCATCAGGTTTTAAAAATGTCTTTGTTTTTTCATCACTTAGACATTAATTTGTGCTCCCTGGTGAGCATGCTTTTCAGTTAAGAATTCTAGAAGTGTATATAAGAGATGTAAATTAGCAACACTTTGTATTGTTCGCTCTTAAACAGTAACCTAAACAGAAATAACTAATATGTATGTATAAAAATCTTACCAATTTGTTTTCAATATATTGTGTTGAACTACCATTTGCATAAGCAGTTTGTACAACTCTTATTTCAAGTTTTAAGGAGACTAAATCAACTAAATCTTTCAAAAACTTTGCAACCTATTCACAAAATAAAATTCATCATTTTTTAAATTAATAGGTGAGAACTAAGACATACTTCAAAAAAACAAAATTATCAGAAAAAACTTTATATTACAGTACATTAAAAATTGAGTACTTGGAAATTTTTTTTTTCTTATTTTACATAATAAATAACTTAATAGAATAATTATTAATTTAAACTGAATTGAGTGCAATTTTGAAATTAATGTAATAGTATTTGTTTAGGGGCAATTTTTCTTGGAACTTTTCTTTTGAATTCAAAGCAACAAATTTTATGATTTTTGAAACATTTGTGGAACATAATTTTTGTACTTTTGAAACCACTTTCAGCATTAATTTAATTCAGTCTGCAATTTCAATGAAGACTGATAATCTTTAAATACAACAACAAGCTAAGTTACAAATATACATAAATTATAATTTTATTACTTCTACAACAGAACTTATTTTTCTGAAATAAATTTAGTGCAATTTTGTGAAAAATGGCTATTTTTGAATAGATATAATTAATTCTTTTTTAACAGAAGCTTCAGGATAACTGGAAGGAAAATAGAACAGGTTTAGAACAATTCTGTGTGCAAGTGATTGTTTTCTGCAAGTTGAAATAGGTGAAGCAAGAACATCCCAGATAAAATAAATGTAATATTTTTATAGCTATAAATGAAAATACAATTAAAACTAAAAATTTCATTAACATTACATTTTCATCAGTCAAAAAAGCACATTTGGGAATTTAGAAGTACAAATAAATAAAATAAAAACTAAACTTTTTTTAGAAAAAGATAGAAATAATTCAAAAAAAAATTTTTTTTCCCTTAACTTCACAAGTGTACAGCTAACATTGATATTAATCTTATGCATTCAGGTCCAAAATTTTTAGCCATACTTTAAATCACAACTAAAACTGTGCTAGAACAATTAAAATTACAAACTATGTACAAATTGTTACTTGATTAAAAGAAAAAAAGTTAATAAGAATAGAAATTTCACAAAAGTTTACAAACTTGTTTTACATCCTTTACAGAATACTAAAAGTAAAAATATTATAAACCCTTTCATTTTTATTTGGAATCGGGACACTATCTATAAAGAATGAATTAGATAATGTTACATCTAGATGAATCTTTAAATTGAATTTTTAGTATAATACATTTTGGAATTGAAACCCTATCTATAAAGACTGAATTAGATAATGTTACATCTAGGAGAATCTAGAAATTTACTTTTAAATGTCTTACATTTTTAGATTGGAAGACTATCGATAAAAACTGAACTAGATAATGTTACAACTAGAAGTATCTAGACATTTACTTTTAAATATCATAAATAATATACATATTATATTATGAATTTTTCTAGTATACCAATCAATAACACTTTAACCAAACATCCAAAATAAAACAACTGAAACATTTTTATAGATACAGAAGCTTCTTCTTCATTAACTTCATGAACAAAAAAACAAATTTGGTTACCTCAGTTTATTGAAATGAGTGGAGAAAAAAATCTAAATAAATTGTATAAGAAAAAAATAGCTCTTTAAACTTTGAAAATATACTTTTATGATTTAATTAAAAGCATAAAAAAATCATTTTCAATACTAAATCCCAAATAATAGAAAAACAATCAATCAAAAAGACATTTAATCTCAAATAATAATAAAACATTCAGTGATAAAATATGCATAACTAAACTTTCAGTTTAAATGACATTGCAAAAAAAGCATAACTACATACACTGAGATACAGAAAGATAAGAATAAATACTAACCAAAGTAGCAATTTTATCACCATCTAAGAGATGAAATGAACTAGAACCATCTTTGTAAAAGTAAACCAATCGATCAGCATCTCCATCAAAGGAAGCATATCTTTCATTAACTAATATTTCACTCCCTAAAAATAAACAATCATAATTCAAACAAAACAGAATCAAATGTTGAAAAAGGAAGAAAAAAAATTTTTTAAAAGCAATGTACCTTCAGGTGCTTTTTGTTCAACTTTAACGAAGTCTGCTCCACACTAAAACAAATATGTTTTAATTATTAATATTGTTCAATTTTTATACTTTGATTTCAGAACTGAAAGTTCACATAATTAAGGAATTAATTTTAAAATTGCTTGCAATACTTGAAATTATTAACAGTAGAGCAAACATCCCTATTTTTATAATTTATAAGATGATAAAAAATTAACAGAAGTATTAAGGCTTGTTGATAAAAAATTACTGAATTAAAAAAGAAATTTAACAGAAAATTATCATAGTTTGTTTCCAACCTTGATTAAGAAGCTTTGTCATTAAAAAAAAATTTATGGGAAAAACTTAAATTTGAAACCTTTGAACTTGAAACCAAGAGAAAGTTCAAAAAAGAGATGGTTAGACGATACAATCAAAGATCTAACCACTTTGAAGATGAAAAATTGAAAGCCTAAACCCAAAAATAAGACAGTCTGGAACAATATTGTTTAGCAGGCCAAGACTGACAACGAGCTGCAGTGCTGTATAAGTAAGTATTAGGAAAAATAAACAAAACTTTAAAGAAATATATTTACTTTTTATTGAGATTATTAATAAGTTTGGCTGGAAAATTCAAATTACTTTATGATGAAATGAATTTAAGTGAATTATACTAAGTGAAATGAATCATACTTTTAAAATCATTAAAACTATTCTTGCACATCATTAAAACTAACATTATTTTTAATTTTTAGTTTTTTTTAAATATATATTCCATATTTCCTTTCTCACTAAGAAAAAATTATCATCCTTGACCATCATCATTACTATTGTAGATCTTATGTAATGTCCAATGGATCTTAAATACCACATCAAATGAAAGTATATATATATTTTTTAACATAAAAAAAACAAAAATTTTAATAAATATTATGTACTTAAAACCATCTCTTTTTTTCTCTGATGTTTCCATGCAAATAAATATTAAAATAAAAGTTCTTCAATACAATGAAAAATGTATAAATAAACAGAAAGCTTAAAAAAAAAACAAATTATTGATTGGTAAATATCAAACACATAATTAAAAGTTTATAACTAATAAATTAAAGAAAAATTTACATTAAACCTACATTAAAATTTAACTTTCCAGTGGTTCCATCATTAAATATTTCCACATTGAGGGATTTGATATAATTTTGTAACTCCTTAAACTTCAAAGCTCCAATACCATTTGCACCATCCACATACATGTTAGCTGTATACTTTGTCTTGCTTTCTGTCATAAACACAAAAATGTATTTAATTGACAAAATAAAATCAGTGAACAGTAACTAGCATATATATCAGACTTGGATAATTTAAAAAATTACTTTAAAAACCACTAAAAAGGCATTAGCTCTAATAACTAAAAAAGAATCTCAAACTAAAATTCTTTTTTCAACTGAAATTACATTTATTATTCAGTTTCATTTTATATTTCAGTTTCTATACATTTTTAACTGAAATTACATTTTATATTTCAGTTTCTTTTAATGTATATAAATACATTAAAAGAAACTGAAAAGATATATTTTTTCATTATTGTTTGGGACTTTAAAATTTTTTTAATTTGTTTCAAAAATTAAGACCCTAGACAGTCAACACCAGGAAAATTAATATACATGAATCTGTTCTGAAATTCGAAAAATTTGCATCTGTAAAAGAAGAAGCTTGAAGAAGTACAACTTAGTTAAAACTAGAAGTTGACAAGAAGTACAACTTAGTTAAAACTAGAAGTTGACAAGAAGTACAACTCAGTTACAATGCATTAAATTTAGAACAATAAGCTACTCTTCAAAAATGTATATTAGTTAGAAATGATGAAAACAAGTTACAAGAAATACTGAAAATTACAATATATGAAAAAGGTTAAATTTCCTAAAAAATATCTTAAAATATAAAATATGGCAAAAATTTCAAAAAATACTAAAAAAAAAGAGATAATAATAATAATTTTAAAAAATAATTTAAAAATACCATTATGATTAAAATTCTGACCCTAATTATTATATTGAATTACATTTCAATTATTAATTATTCAATACATCTTAAGCCAGGAAAAAATATAAAATACGGCTTAAATTTAAAAAAATGCTAAAAAAGAGAGAATAATAATAATTTTAAAAAATAATATAAAAATATCATTATGGTTAAAATTTTGACCTTAATTATTACATTGAATTACATTTCAATTATTAATTATTCAATGCATCTTAGCCAGGAAAAATTGTAAACTAGTATAGCATTTTAAACTAAAATTTATAGCTAAGAAGTATAAGCAATATATATACATACAAATATTAGATAAACATAGATGTAATAAACAATTTCAATAAGTTGGTTTATAACTGTACCAATTGAATTTGATCTCAAGGTTTCAAAAGCATTTGATAATTTTTCATAGTAGCCTTCAGCTGTTGGAGTTCCATAAGTACCAAAATTTTTACAATAAACTACAAAATGTAACTGAGGAGTGGTCAATAATCCTAAAAAAATAACATATTTATAAATAAAAATTAATACAAACATATAAAAATAAAATTCAAAAGATAAATATATAATACAATTCAATTTCTATATTATATTAAGAACGAACACAGTGAACTTCTTAACTTAAACACATACAGAACAAAATTTAAGATTTGAAGAGAATTTTACATTAGTATAGAAATTACAACTATTATGTGAATCTTTTCTTGGAATCTAAAAAATAATGTAATCTTAAAATTCTTTGACTAAATCCACGTATTTAATTGTTAGAGGTTTTTTTTTTAATTACAAAAAATAAATACTGTAATAAAAAACTAATAGAAGTCCACTCAATTATAAAAATAGATGTAAATCTAATACAGTACATAATTTTTTTCATTTATTTTTAAAAATTCAATTTGCTGTTAATTATTATTTATATATACTACATTTAGTATAATTCCATTAGGTTTATTTTTTGTAAAGGAAAAAAAATTCAACGTTTCTTGTTTCACCTTTATAAATTACAGTAAGTAACAGTTCATCTGAAATTAGTAATCCTTATAACATGGTATTTTTAATCAATTATCACTTTAAAAACATAATTTTTAAAACATATAGTTATTCTAAACACACTATTTTAATGAAAAAAGCACAAAAATTTTTATAACCTTGTTTGCTTGCGTAAGACTAAATTAAAGTAATTTTAGGCAAAAATTGCACAAATAGACTTCAAAATTGGATGCTAAATATTTTATTTATTTACTAAACACAAATAGAAAACCAACCCATTTTAACCCTGAACATATAAATTTTTTTATAATAATTGAATAACTGTGCCATTCTATAAGGTTTGATTGTTAATATTACAGTAAAGCTACACAAATAGGCAATTGGAGAGAGTCTGGAATTCATCTTTAATGATGATCTAAAGATAATACAACTTCCACACAACACTACTACAATTTATATTTGAACGCAATTGGTAGTAACAATCACCTGTACGATGCTCATCAATTACCTAACTGTGTGCAGACTTTTCTAGCTGAGTAATGGAGAACATTACGTTAGAGTTGATTCTCAGTTACTAAGACACTATCAGAAACAATGCAGTTGAATCAAATATAGGAAATTGAAATGCGCCCCAAGCCACGGAATAAAACCTCGACATCAACTGATCAACAATACCAATACTAAAATTGTGAATAAATATGATATTCACATTTTATTCCTACAAATTAAACCAAAGATAACAGTTTATGTTTAATTTTTCTCCAGGGTGTATTTTAATTTTAAAAAAAAGTGAGACAGAAACTAATTAAAATATATCTTTAGTCTTGGGGAACTTAAAAATAAATATTACGCTATTTTCACAAGTTGACAGAAAAACTAAAGTTGTATGATTTTTCATTAAGTTAAGGTTATTACTTTGATATGGCTCAATAATAAATAATTAAAAACACATACAAACAATTTCAAAAAAATCAAAATACCAAAATTTTTAAATTCTCCATTTAAACTAGTAACACCATCAATGGCTGCCTGCAATAGAAACTCACTGCTGCTCCTAAAAATTATATTAAAATAATATATTACTTTCAAATAAAATAGCAATTATACTTCATCTTTGTAATAAAGAAATTAAATAAATAAATCAACAAAAAATTACATTTATAAAGGGGTACAGTTACAGAGAACAAAAAAAAGACCTTTATTATTTAATAGATGAATATATAAACACACATTATATATTTCAGTATTCCAAATGATTTGTAAGAAAAAATATTTAAAAATAAACCTACCTGGTATCTTTTGCAAGATATACATTAGCAGGTAAATCAAAGTTTATTTTGTTCGAATCTAAAATAGATTTTAGAACTTCCTTTAAAGATTCATTGCTGAAATATTAAAATAAATATAAGTATCACTTACACTGTCTATAAACGAAGTAAAACTGTCACAAGATATTGATATTAGGTATATTTATTGCCAATACTTCATTATATAAGGAAAATCAAATATTTAAAGTTAAGAGAAAACTTTAAATAAAAGCAAAACAATTTATAAGTGTTTCTCTAAAGAATATATATACTTTATTTAAAAAACCATGAAACTTGTTCAAAAATGTCCTTGAAGAATATTATTTTTTCATTATATATTATTTTTTTACTGTAGGAATAAGGTTCTACCCTCATATTAAGTATGTATATAACAGATAAAACATTGAAGTCTATAATATTATTTACTGCGAATAAAGACAATGACCCTGAACTTTTTGATCTAAAGATCAGATCTTCACATTCTAGGACTCAATCTTAATCGTTCAAGGGGAAGACCTCAAATTTGCTAATTAATAAGTGCAGAAAACATTTTAGGTTACAAAACCAGTCATAAAAACGCACTTTTTTTGAAAAACATAGCTTTTATTTAACGAATTCAGATTTCTGATCCCCAATATATAAAGGGGAGTCGCAATTTTGCAATATGGTCCTCATAGTTTGGTCAACAGAGAGATTTAAAGTTTGAATCTCTTAATGCTAATTCTACTTTTTAGGGATTTCACCATATCGTGAGAACTTTTTAAGCAAATGGAAAACTTTTTGCACACTGTTGTAAAACTTGTTTATCCAAAGAAAATTCCGCGCAAAAAATATAAATTGCAGAAATTTTTTTTTTATTATATTATTAAATATTAGTCAAAAATTTTGAATTGTAAAGTGTATAATTTTTTACATCATTTTGGAGTACATAATTTGACATGGAAAAATACAAAATTTGATTGAAATCGGTTGAATAATTTGAGAGAAATCAAATTTTAAACATCTGACTTTTTGAAATTCAATCTTTCAGGACCTTATTATTCAACTTAATTTTGCCCAAATTTTGTATTTTGTCATGTAAAATTAAATTCTTTAAAATTATGCAAAAATTGTGCACCTTACAATTCAAAACTTTTTCAACCACTCTTAACTAAATTAATAAATAATTAGTAAAATTTTTTTTCCTAGGATTTATCTTTGGGTAAACAAACTTTATAATTGCGTTCAAAAACTTTTCAATTCACTTAAAAAGTTTTCGAAATAGAGCAAAATATGCAAAAAGTACAAGTAACATTAAGAGGTCCAAACTTTGGAGATCTCTCATGTTCATGGGATCATATTTCCCAGATTGTGGCTACCTCAATATCTTGGGGGTCAGAAATCTGGATACATCGGATGTTTATTTAGAGAAAGTACGTTTTCGTGTATGAATTCGTAAGCTAAAATATCATCTGCAATTATTAATTAACATATTTGAGGTCACCCTCTTGAGCCATTAAGTCTTAGAACGTGAAGATCCAATCATTAGATCAATGCATTAGTTATGCATGGTGATCCATTTTTTTTGAAGAACTGTACAATTCAAACAAATTCATAATTGATGAAATATAACAATTTATCTTCTCAGACAAAAAGATATTTTGTTGAAAAGAGAATAAAAGACCAGTTATGATAAAAAATAATGTGTAGTTTCGCTTTAGAGATTTATAAATTACTAATAAAAAGAACAGATTATTTTAACCTAATTTAATTTCTAATAAATGATTCAGCATGAAAAATTGAAGTTCAAAAATTTTATTTATGTTTTAATAAATGAAAATTCCATTAAAATATGTATTCACTGACTTTACATCAGCTTAGACACATACAGTCAAACTGTTAATGAACAGTAAAACATAAATATTAAAAAAAGGATAGGAAAGGAAGAAAATTTTATGGTATATTCGAGAAGTTCTGATAACACCACTTCAAGAATGCATTTAAAGCTTTGTGTCTCTAAGGTAAAGAAACTTACTTAAAGAATTACATATCATGATATGAACAGTATTGAATTTTAATAGCTTTTTGATGATTACACAAATATTTTACAGCATGTTTTAAAAAGTTTAATTTTCTAGAAATATAGATTGTCAAAATGATTTAATGGAAAAATGAAAGTCATATCAAATTGCTTTACTAGCAAAAAATAATATGTTTTCTGATTAGATAAGTGAGGAAAAAAAACTGGAAACAAACCGAGTTAAAATAATTAAATTCTATTTATTTGTGTTGACAGCAAATTAATCAAAATACTGATGGATTAATTTGAAATTAAAATTAATTTTAATACATTAAGCCTAAATCATGCACTGATTTTTATTCACTTTTAAAATGGACATTTGGAAGAGATTTAATAAAGACATAAACTCATGAAAATAAAAAAGATATAATTTAAAATCATATCTGCTTTTACACAATGAAAATGAAAAGTATGAAGCTTTATAAAGTAATACATGCATAAAAAAAGAAAAGAAAATGTAATCAGATTGATAAAGAGTTTTAATTCAAAAAAAATTAAACCACACTTTTGAGAGAATTCATACTTAGTATTGATAAGTTTAGTTGCTAATGTTTCCCAATCTTTCTCAAGCATTTTACTATCTGGGTCACATAATTTTACTCCATTGTCTTCTTCTGGATTATGAGAGGCTGTAATCATCAACCCAACTGTAGAGCCTACATAAAATAGAACAATATTATTCCTATATATCATTATATTTTATTCATAATGCTAAGAATAAAACTAATTACGATAAATAATTTCAAAAATTATATTGAAATTTTTCGATTTCCTAGCAATTTTAAATTAGTTAGGGTCCAAGAGCCTCACTCTTAAAGGGACCCTCCATAGTAACTGAAGCCCAGGGGTGATCACAATTCAAAGTCTATAGCTAGATAGACCCTGACAGTCAATAACTATGGAAGATGTTTAGCAATTCAAAATAAAATTTTAAAATTCAACTCTTCTTGAAAATAAGCATTTGAATGAACTTTTTAGATTATTTGGTATAGCTTTGTTATCAGCACACACATGTTTTTGAAAAAAAAAGTGCCAAGTTGGGTGACAACTGACAATAATCCTAGTAATAAGCTAATTAAATCTCGGTTTAATTAACCTATAGTTTAGATATAGTTTATTATAGTACAGTTTAAAAAAGATTAAAAAATGTATAATAATTATTTTTTATTTAATATTTAATCATTAATTTTATAATGTTTATTTCTGCATAATTAATATGTCAGTTAGGCAGTTAAAAAACATAATGGCATTTTATAAATATAGTCTCTATGTTGAAGTTAACTCCACAAAAATTAATAGACTGAAACATTTTGGATAATTCTGCTCCCATCACAGAAGTGAAGCAAGTAGGGCATTTTCTCAAGGCTTGACATTACATGATCTTTCAATAGTTTCATCCATTGATATACAAAGTAATTTTCTGGAAAAGTATATAATTTTTTTTTTTAATCTTTTAAAAGAAAAATTAATTGAAAGCTAGTTTACTAATATTTTTGTTAACAAGTAGTTTATCATAAAGTTCAAATTTAAAAAAAAGAGTGAAAACAAAAAAAAACTATCTATAAATAAAAATTATAGAATAAGATTTACTCAAACAATTTTAGATAATTATTTAAGAGTGGTTGAGAAGATGAGACTCAAAATTCCTCAATTTAAAGGGTCACTAATGTTGCCTAAATAAAATTGAAATAATAGCATAAAATTTGAAGGGGACAAAAAAAATTTTAAGTTGTTTGTTTTTGAGAATGAAATTAGGAAGAAAAAAAAAAACTAGATTTCAAAAACATAAATTAATACCTAAAGTCCGAAGTAACCTAAGGAGCAATTCTAAGGAACATTTACGAAGCTCCACAAAGTATAGAAACAGTTCCGTTATTTTTTTCTAGGTTTGATATACTTAAATTAACCTAGAAATTAGTTTATTTAATAATTTGATTTCTTTGGACTTGTCTAAGCAATATATACATATAGATATATATATACTCGCCATTTTTTACTTTTGATCTCAAAACTGCCAATAATCCCATGCGAAACATAACATGAGGTAATTCAGAAGATCTGAAAAATGAAATTAAGTATAAATTTTATATTAAACCTACAAATTTATTTGCAGCAATAAACAGAACAAAAAATGTAACTTCTTACTTCTCCCGGAAACCAGCAGTACCATATTGTAAAATTCTTGAAGAGTTCCGGGGATATTTTTGAGCACCTAAAGATTCTGCAGTTTGAAATTGCTCATCCATTTCGACAAGGAAATTTATTTTAAACAAACACTGCAATTTCAAAAACACTTATACAACAATTAAGGTAATTTTCAAGCATTAAAAGCATTCACCCATCAAAAATTAAAACCTTGATTTACAATGACCTAAATATGTATACTTATTTTAAAACCAGTTCATATTTACAGAGGAATTTATTCTGTTTTCTCCGGACCAGATGATGCATACGTTACCATAACAACCAGGTGACAAGTGAAGTTACAAGATAACTAAATGTAAGAACTGAGGCGGAAAAATAAAGGAATATGATTGGCTACATTCAATCAAATGCTCAAAATAAACCAATCAAATTCTCGTATCTTATCCTCAAATTTTATCAGCAAAAATGTTTCATCGAAACTTTTATCTCCTTGAATAATTTAGTAACTGTAACCGCGTTGTATACTAAAATTATTTAAGCCGAACACGTTAATTTTGAAATTTGCAGATTTTATTAATTTTAGCGTTTAGATTTATTTTTCTTCCTAATGTTCTGAAATTTCTTATTGTTTAAATCACAAACGCTATATAATCTTAGTTGAGCAGTTATTAGATGCTTACAAATTATTATAGTTCCTTGATAATATTCTTTCCTAGGTTATACGTTTTTATACTTTTGACAATTTATTTGTAACATTATTTAAATAAATTATTAATAATTTAATCATATATTTTTACGTAATATAATTAATGTTTTTATCGAGTAAATTTAAAATTTTGGAAGTTATTTTGGTAGCTTTTATTTATGCCATTAGCTTTGGTGATGAAAATAACCTATCTGATTCACAATATTATTGAATATGTTGAAAAGTTTTCAATCAGAGAAGCTGGCAGATTTAAAAGCTTTAAAATAGCTTCCTGTCTGACCTTTTTTTCTAGTTTTGTTTTTATATAATTTCTAATAATTTGTATGTTTATTCTACATGATAATTGTTCGAATTTAATTCTATGAATTTCTTAGTTGAGTCTTAAGGAGATGAGAGAATCAATGAAATTAGAGATTTCTGATTTTAAACATGATGAAAGCCTAAAACTTTTTGTGAGATTTTTTCTCTCTTGTTGATTCCTAGGAAGTAATTTTTAAGTTACTAGTTATTATAGCTGTAAGCTATTTAGCATTATATATTTAAGAGTTATTTCTTATATGTTATATTTAAAAGGTTTTAAGTATAATATGTAATATCTTGTTTAAAATAGGTTAAAAATGTCTCGTTTAAAATAGGTTAATTAGTTTTAAGTTCTCCTATGATGACCATGAATTTTGTTGAATGAAAGTTATGAAATTTCCTCTCTGCCTTTCCTTACTCATGCAGTTTAAGTCTGAGGAGAAAACATATATATGCCTAAATATTTTTTATCATAAATGTTCTCTAGTATATATTAATATTAAACATTTTCTTTTAAATTTAGTAAATTAAAGATAAGACTTAGCGGTAAAGTTTAGTTGTGCAGTGAATATAATTTTTAGAATTCATGTATATATATTAATTACAAAATGTTTATAAATAATAGTGTGTAATCTTTTCTGGAAGAAATTATTAATTATCATTATAGAAAATGATTAAAAAGTTTTATAATATATAGATACTTACTAAATTAAACAGGAACAAAATAAATAACATTAGGGTAAAATTCTACTGTCACTTATTCGGTTTTTTTTGGGGGGGGGATGCAAAATGGGGGTTATTTAAATTGTTTTAATACACTATAGGGGGAAAATGTAATTTTAATGAGTTAATCTCAAAGAAGTCTTTTATGTGTTAACCTGTGCAGGCAAATTCTGACTATTTTTTATCAAAATTTTCTCAATATTTAACTTATGTTTTCAAATACAGAATTCTTATTATCAAATTCTTTTTGTAGACTGTGATCTTTTTATATATGAATATCTAAATGAGTGTTTGAAATAATGTATTCAGAACTTATGAAGTTTAAAATTATCATTCAAAAGAAATTGAAATCAATATAGTTTAAGACATAAAGATTCGAGCACAAGTGATGTCATACCATGAAAAGGTACACCCGAAGTGACATTACATATTTTGGTTATGATAAAGGCATTCAAAATAAGCAGTTTAAATATTTTTGCATTATTCTTCAAAATAAGTACACATACAGTCATCAATCTTAATATGTTTATAAATGTAATTATAACTTATTAATTAAAGACCAATTGTAAAATTCAAAATGTAATCTACCCTATGTTTTTTTTTCTGAACTGATAGCATATGTTTGTTATAGAGTGTGACATAGTGAAGATTCAGATGTAAATACGGATGTAAAATTTTTGATAATGCTCTTCTGTTTGATATTCACTTACTTACAATGAAGACAAACCTTAAATATTTTATTATATTGATTCATTATTTTATGTGATTTAAAAAATATTTATTGCTACTTTACAAAAAATAAGAATAAAGCTAAGAAAGTCACAGTAAACTGAAATACACCGTATAAAAACCCTAAAAATTGTTTTTAAAACTATTTTAAGTGCACAAAATTGTTCTTAATTGCAGTGCATTTCATGCATAAATTATTTTAAAATTTACTATTCACATTATAAGAAAAGACCTTTTTAATTCGAAATATTTTTAATAGATATTATTAGATGATTCTTACTTATGGGGAATTTTCTCTTTTTATGAGTAACAATAATCATATTTACTAATTATCTTGTGCTATTTTTATATTAAATTGAATCATGTAAAGAAAAAATTTAGAAGAACAGTAAACTGTTTTTAAGAACTATAAGTAATCATTATCAAGACTAAATTAATCATGGATAATAAGAACTGTATCAGTATAAAAATTAAGTTTCTTAGTAAAGACTGCACATTCCAAATGAATCGATATTTTGGCTGCATGTTTTGAAAATTCATGATTTGTTGAATACTATTGTGGAATGGATCACAATGTCAAGCGCCATTAATATAATTGTCAAAGCATTTACTGAAATTAATAAAAGCTTGCAAAAACGTTTTACCAGCAGTTTCGTTTCTGAGGAATAAGGAAAAAATTATATTTGATTTTGTGAAAAAAGAAAGCTATATTATTAAAATCTATGCGGCTAATATTTTGAATCCTAAATTTAATCTGGAGCGAGTAAGAATTCTTCCACCAATTGGTAGCATCTGTGTAAGATATGTTAGTGGAAGAAGTTCTATCAGAGCTAGCTGAATACAGTAAAACCTGTCTATAACGATACTGTAGGGACCCAAATAAAATATTGTTATAGGCAGGTTATCGTTATAGACAGGTTTGAAATTTAAAAGTATACGTTTAGAATTATGAAACAGCACACAAGAAAAATTTACTTACAATTTTATGAATCAAAACAGAAATTATTTAGAAAAATAATCGGTTAGTTTTGTTTGCTTATTTTTGGAAGCAATTTCCATGCACATAGATTTCAGTCCATTTAATGAATTCAAATGAACATCAGTTACATTTGGTAATGTTGCAACAAAATCTTGCAAAGCGTTAATTAGCAATATGGCATTCTCTGGTGAAATCTTGTCGTGTGTCACCCGTTTTTCTGACGAAGCTCTCTCCCTCCTACAATACCCCTTCACCCATTTCTACTGCTCTAATTTCCCCTAAAAGTGGCTTTTTTTGTCAGAAACAACGAAAGAATATTACATACAAAAGAGAAGAAAAAAAAAACATTTTGTTATCTCACATTTAGGCTCGATGGGGAGTTGTTTCCAACGGTAGAAAAATCGGAATAGAACTATCAAAAGAGGAAAAATTATCGTTGTAGACATGTTTAACTGAAAAGTTGTTATCGCTATAAACAGGTTAAAAATACATTGAGTAAATAGGAATTTCACCGGGACCTCAAGGAAATATCGCTATAGACAGGTTTATCATTATAGACAGTATCGTTATACACAGGTTTCACTGTATTAAGTCAAAGTGGAAAAGAATGACTTGCTGGTGGAAAGAAATATGTTTCATGGTCAAGTTGGCTGAAATTACATTGACTTCAACAGAATGAAGTTTTGGTATTTGTGACTCAATATATTCAACGAAAAAAAAAATCAATTGTTTACTGAATGACACGGAAAGTTAGCATTTGTAGCTCAAAATATTGTATTTAAGCCAAACATACACTATTAGCAAGTCCAAGCTTACTAGTACACCTGATTCTGATGCATAACTTGTTATTGTATGTTAACTGATGAAAATACATTTTCGTTTTGTGATCATTATCAGGATTCAATTCTTAATAATTCCTCATTAAGAATCGAAGAATATAAAATCTTTTTTTTTAACAGTTAATTTAGATTTTGTGAATATTTTCTCTAATATAATGTATTTTAAATGTTTTTCATATTTTTTACATGGATAACTAAACATTTTCCCTAAGTAATTTTCCAGAAATAAATATATATGGCAGAAATTCTCAATTATTCCCCAAATTTTGACTTCAAAAAAATATTTTCACATCACATCTCTAGTGAGTGATAAACGGTTGTCAGTATATATTTTTTTTTCAGGAATGTAAATTATTATTAGTCTTTCTAGGCTTATGTTTTAAAATGAATAAAGTATCTAAAGGTGTATAGGCTTTAGTGTTGTTCCATTTTCTTAAATGTTTGATTTTTCTTTTTTTTTTTGCTCTTTTTTAAAAAAACGTTCACTTTATATATTGCATAATAGTTATATTTTTTCCCAGATTATCCAAGATAATTATAAATAAGTCCATTCTTTTAATGGCATAGATTAAAGATTAAGATATTAATTAAAATGAGAGCTCTAGTTAAGTAGCATTTCTTTGGTGCTGATATTGAACTACGAAGTGTTTTAACTTCAAGTTGCAGGATAAGAAATTCAAAGTTTCTTTTTCTGAAAGTATTGCCTCATTTTATTTTATTTTTTTCTACATCAAAAATAAAATTCTTGTAAAATTATTCTTGGCAGATCTTTATTTATACTATTTGTACGACTTTTTGCGATTGCCACTCTTTCTGCTTTTTTCTTCTGGATAATCCAAATCTGCAATAAAAAGTCATAATTCCCATTTAAGATTTTAAATTTACATCAACCCCTTCCTCAACTAACCAAACAATGGGTCAAGTTTAGCATCATCTGCATAGTTTTTTTTTTCTTTTCAAAAATATGCATATGTGTTTTTAATCTTATGTGTTTTTGGGGTATTTGAATGTTCCCATACTTTTTGGACACCCTATATCTATACAGATTGACAAGAAATTACTAGAACACCAATACTCTTTTAAATTTTATGTTTGTTAAACTGCCCCAACCAAACTTTCCGATAAGCATGAATATGGAAATTTATATTTAGATATTTAAAATAAAATTCAAAATGCAGTTGAATTCGCAGTCTTGGAGATGAATCTAGTCAAGCTAAAAATTGATTTTCATATTGCCATAAAAGAAATACTGTTATAAATGTTGAAAATGGTAAATAAGGAAACTTATTTCTTTTAAGAATCCAGTTATTTCGATTTGCAAAGTGAATTATTATTGGATTTTTTTATAATTGTTGAAAAAAAATTAATCTTTCTCTCTTTGGCATTTTGCTTTAAATGTTGCATAAAGCCAATCAAAGTAATAAGTAAATGATGGCTAAATGTAATGCTGCTTCAAAAATATTTCGAAAAAAACTGTTTAAATTAAGTATTAACTATTGATGCCCCTTTAACTCTTCCCTGGAACCCTAGATTTTCGCGGAACACGATTTGGGAACCGGTGTTCTAGAGCACTCTTTGCGACTTTTGAATTGAACACTGGGCTGCCTTTTGCTTTCCAAATTTTTATCAATCAATTTTAAAAAATAGATTTGTAAAAATTTCGTAAGAAATTATGTAACTGCATTTCAGACTAATTTCAATTAACTTAGAGAAAACAGTAATTATTACATTAAAATTCTGAAAAGTCGATTACCTAATGCCTAAAAAATAATAAGTTTTTCAACAATTCAGTGTTTTTATTTTTTTGAAAGAAAGAAAGTTTCTTAACCCAAATATTTAACTAAAACATACTCCAAACGATATGTAGATCAATGATTTATTTAAAAATGTTAGTGAATGACAAAATTAATACCACGAAGTACGTTTGAAGCATTCTGCAGTATTATCAAAGAAGACAAAGTATTTAAAATGAAGTAAATTTTCTTCGTCTATTAATGTTGAAACCAAATGAGTTTTGAACCAAATAAAATTTCATATTGCAGTAAGGAATATTTAATTTCTTAGTTGATATAAAAACAATTTGTTGTAACCCCCAAAATTATTTTTTTCTCTGTTGCTTTCCTTTGAAAAAGGTTGTGCATCTATAAATAAATAATATAATTTTTAGTGATTGTATTGCTCTTCATTTATTTTGAAGGTATTTAATGATTGATAAAGATGAAATTAAGTTTCGCTTTTCATCCATTTCAAAATAAATATTTTAGAAGAAAGACACTACTGTGTCTCCATATCTCATTCAACTTTTATCTTATCTATTGTTTTATCTTTCAATGATTTTCTAATTCAAGCTGATATTCTTAGTTTCATTGACAAACAACCCATATTTAAAAAGAACTTTTTAATCTTTCATTTTCAATCTTCATCATTTTTAAAGAATAAAAAATACTATTTGCTCAACGGCCTGCATATTTGTATGGACGGCTGGAGACAATTTGTTCAAAAAATAGTCTCTTTCATAAAATTATAACGAATTTTTAAAAAAAACATTGGCAAGATATTTACTTATAAAATCTATCTACCTTTTAAACTGTATCCAATTGAAAATTCTTAAGTGTTATGATGAATATTTAAATTTTAATGACCTAAATTTTCATTTTTAAATTGGTTTAAAAATCATAGTTTATGTTTCATAAAATATTTTCCTTCTGGTAAATAGAAAAAAAATTTTAAATTTTCGTTTTCCCCTAGCTGCAGATCACTGTTTTTACCTCTTACTTAATAATTTAGCGAATTTTCAACACGTTATGTCTAGCTAAAAGTTATCGTTTTTTTTTTTCTTTCCTCTTTCTTTGTATAAAATATATGCATCTTAAACTAACAGTATATCCAAATCAAAGCTTAATTAAATCATTGTTTTTATTTTAGATTTCTTTCTTCCTTTTTATTTTATTCATATTCGAAAAAATTAACCTTAAACATAAAAATTTTGTATTCAGCTTATATATACAATAAATTGCGTATCTTAAAACGCGTATTTCTAACTTTTTTTTTCTTTTGCTAGTAATCATATAGTTTCTTATGTTCTGAACTGATTAAAATTTTCGTCATAATTTTTATTAAACTTGTGATAAGTGAATTTTGATTTTCTCATACAGAAAAGGTCGGAACTGGATATCACGTCTCCTTAAAAATTCAAAAAAATCTTTTTTTTTTTTTTTTTTTAATAGTTTGCTGAAAAACTTTTTTTCACAAAACTTTAATTCTCGAAAGATCAAATAGTACAGAAATAAAGATTTCCTACTGTTTTATTAATTTTTTATTAGTGCAAATGAAGAGTATTTCACTAAAATTGTGAAACGTTACAACTGCATTGAGGGGTTATCCTTAATCGCCGCCCTCAAAACATATTTTTAGAATCCATTTCAAAGAAAAATACACACTAGGAGTCGTAAATTAATATTTAAACTTTGATAAGACTAAACCTTAATCGGAATAAATGAACCGACCTATTATAGTGAGAAAAATGAGATGAGGAACATCAAACTTTAATCGCTGAAATTGTTCAGAGATCCTCTTCCACCTTATTTTGAATATTTTCAGGCAATCTATCAGGTTACAATATTCTCGTCTTCGTCAGTGGAGATACAATAGATTTTGATTGTATGTGTGTATTTTTCACTTGCCTAAATATTACCTACAATCTAAGATGTATGTATATATTTATAATTTTTGCAGATATTATAAACAGATAATAAGGACAGTGATTGTGGAACATAGGATATAGCGTATAATTATGTACTGATAAAAATAGAAATTCCCTTTCGATTTCTTTTTCAAATTTACTTGAAAAGTATTACACTTTTTATCTAGTACTCAGCAGCTTCAAGGCAATTACCTTTGCTATTTCTGAGCATAGCATTGCGTTCAGTCATTCATATTTATCGCAAAGATGAATTTAGGAACTGTCAACAAATGATGTGCTATGAGAGGAGAGGAGGAAGGAGTTCCAAGAAACGAGACATCACTATCACATATAATTATTGTTCTTGTAATCTTTACAATTATCTATATTAACCCATAGTTTAGGAATAAAATTTAATCTAGAATAATAGTTTTGTTTCTTAACTTTTGGTATAATCGTTACGTAATACAGCGTGACATGTGAAAAGCAGGTATAAAGAAATTGCGACATAAGTTATGGTTGTTGTATTGAATTTAATGAATAGATGGTGAACACTTGGTAAGCAGAAAAAGAAGGAAAACAAATCGCATGAGGGGGGAAATGGTTTTTGACGAACACAGAAACCTCTTCATAGATTTGCATCAAGGGCAACGGAATCTCCCCTTTATTGTTGTGAGAAAACTACTGCTCAGCTCCGAGATCATTCTCAGTGCCAACGAACATTTGGATACGTATGAGAACCTGCCTTATGAATTTTCAGAGCATAAAATATTTCATCTATCAGATTCACATTTGCATGCAAGTTTTTCAAATGAAAATTGAATGGCCCTTTAGTAACAACGCATGTGCGATTGCAGGAATTTGGATTAAAGCGTGTAACACGGATAAATATTTCAATAAGAAGAAATTCTGCTTTGTAATATGATTTAATTGCTAATGTCCTATTTTAACTACATCTATATGCTTTCTTAATTTGAATGAAATAGAAATAAGTTGAAAAACCACAATTACGTAGGTAGATGGCGCTAGCGATTACTTCGCGAATTTGGACATGTCAAGATTTTAAAAAGAATTCTGAGGATTTTTAGTGAAAATAATTAAAATAGATATATTTTGCAATTATTTATATTGAATGAACTTAAATATATTTTCATATAATGAAAAAAACACAATATATCATATAAAGAGAAAAAAATTGTCATGCAGTTTTCACTTTGGCAACAGTTTGACAGATAAGAAATTTTGTTGCTGATCTGGCATCACTTCCATAGTCACCATTTTAAAATTTTCCGACGAATTTGTGGCGTGGATCCTAGAGGCTTCAACGTGGGAAATAATTGTGTAAAGATACAGGTGAAATTATTTGCAATTTACTAATTTCCTTCTGAGAATGAATTCCAGTGAATGTTACAAGTGCCATAAGACGGGCCATTTTGCTCGTGATTGTCCCTCTGGTGATGGCGGTCGTGGTGGTGGTGGATACCGTGGGGATTCCCGAGGATCGTCTAATAGAGCGTCTTGTTACAACTGCGGCCGCAGTGGACATTTTGCTCGAGAATGTCGTGAATCTGATAAAACATGCTATACTTGTGGAAAATCTGGCCATATTAGCCGCGATTGCACTCAAGGAGGCGGTGGTGGAGGTAGCAGTGGTGGAGATAGAAAGATGACGTGCTACACATGCGGAAAATCTGGCCACGCATCACGAGATTGCCCAAATGATCGCGATGATCGAAAATGCTATTCCTGCGGAGACACTGGCCACATCAGCCGTGATTGCCCCGAAGGTGGAAACGATCGCAATAATGGAGAAGATACCGTCTGCTACAGATGCAATGAGAGTGGTCACATTGCTCGTAATTGCCGTAATAGTCGACCCAACAACAAGTGCTATTCTTGTGGTGAAGTCGGCCACATCGCCCGCGAATGCGAGGCTTAAATCTGCTACCTTCCCACGTTGCAGCCTTCTGGTATCATTCTGAGGAAAAAAATAAATGAAAATAGTCCACACTGATGCGTATGAAAGAACATACCACGAAGTTCTAAAGTGTTTTCCCTTGTTAAGATGCCTTTTGATTCTGCTAGATAAGTGTAAAATATCCATCTGCAGCGGTTTATTAAAAAAAAAAAAGAACTTTTTAGAAAGACGGGACAAAGTGAACAAGTTTTCACGAAGAGTATTTTAAGTTTATTTTTATCGCCATTTTGTTTTTATGTTGAGAACATTTTTTTTTCATTCCAATGTTTACAATCTGCAGTTGAATAGATCCAAAAAGAAAAAAAATTGAACCTGCAGATTCTATTACTTCCAGTTGGCGATGTTTTTGTGGTATTTTGAAATCAGAGTCTAAAATCCAAAAAATTAGACTTTTCGTGTAAAACGCTCTCTGGTTCCTGCATATGCAAATAGGCGAAGTATATATTGTACATCTCTTTGCTGAGGACTGTTTTGATGAAATATATATTCAAGGTTGTCATCAAGGGAAGGATGCTGTTTAACCTGTTTAAATGATTTTTTTTTCTTTGTTTATCTTGACAAGTGTATGAAAACTGAAATTTTTAGCTCTCAATACAACTAATAAGTGTGCACTTGCTGTTGTTGCACACTAACTAGAGAAATGATTTTATTCAAATGCTGACTTGTTTACTCTTATTGCAAATAGTGATTGCCACTCTGTTCTTAAAAAATAGATGTTTGATTATTAATTGTTCTGAAAAAGTTTAATTCAGATTTAAAAAATTATCTTATTTTTGTATGCTAAATGTTACATCTCTGCGAATTAAATAAACTTGCACTTGTTACAAGAAAATCTTGTCGTTTCTGAGTATTTAGCCATTAAGAAAGTTCTATAATATGTAATTTCTATTTTTTCCAACACATTAAGATGCAGACTAATTTTAAGAGAAATTTAATTTGTACTTTTAAGTTTTGAAACTTAATAATCTCAAAAATAAAAATATGTGGTCTATATTGATTCTTCTGATATCGTATTATATAACTTGATTTTTCTAATCTTTTTCCTAATGGTTGAACATGCATTTTCACTAATTGCTGAGATTAGTTACAGTAAATTTTTATTTTTAACCAAGACCTGATTTGAACAAGATGTAATAATAGATTGAAAAGCTGACCTGTATTCTATTAAAAGTTTGAAGGTAAATCAGAAGTTATTTATTTTTGTTCCTCCTTGTTTTGCTCTGAAGTATGTTAGTTTATTGTCAGGATTTAATATATAACTGAGTTAATAGTCTACCTATACTAAGTGTTAAATGTTTTTTTTTTATTATATCGCGCTACAGCTTTGAGATGTATTTTTCTGATGAAATATAAATGGTTAAATTCTTCTTTTGGTTTAATTATTGAAAATAAACATGCAGAAAAGAACATTTATTTAAAATGGGAACATCTTCTATCCAAGTAAAATTGTGAATTATTGCTTAGTGTAATTTCTAAAATAAGTAGTAAAATAGTGTCAATCTGGTTTTAGGGCCAAAAACCTGTTCCTCAACTTAGTGATGTAGATAAGAATATTTCTGCCTATAAGGGCCTCATAGCATAAGATTTTCTTTAGTCATTAAATTCATGCTTAGAAATTAAAATATGTCTTTTAATTAATGGATTTAAATGTTATATTTTATATTAAATTTTGCTCCTTAAAACTTAGTAAATTAAAAATATATTTGAAAAGACAGTTACAATTCAATTGTGCCTAAAAATAAATGGGCTATTGTTTTCATTGTACTTAAAAGTATGTTAATAATTGTAGTAAACATGGGGAGAGGTATGACACAATTTAAAAGAATAGTTTATGCAAATTTTAGTACTAATTTGGAGGTTGTTAAACAATTGTCTAATTTATAATTAGGACCATGGTGCTTAAATTATTTTGGTAATAATTACTTCCAATATTTTAGTTAGTATAACCCAATAAATGTGGTAAATTTTGGACACATTTTGAACTAGGTAAGTACCAAATTTTTATTTTAGATTTCCACAACTGCTTTAAACTGATAGAATGTGGGCGGATAAAAATACAGAGGAACTACCTTTCACTTGCTGTGGAAGTGAATCGATGTGATATGATATTGCTCTTCTCATTTTTACCTAGATATTTTAGTACAATATTTATTATCTTAACAGCAACTGCGAAACGTACTGATTGGCGCTGCTCTTTTCTTTTTGTGGCAAGAAGAATCTGGAAGACAACCAATATTGATATTGGTTGTGAAAAAAAAGTACCTTTGCAAGGTTAGAAGTAAGTAATTTTCACTTCGGAATGTTCAACCTTTTCATAGGAATCTAAAAGAAAGATTAATGGGATTTTGAGGGTTTTTTTTCTAGCAGTTATTAAAAAACATCAATTTGACTTAAAAATTAATGATAAACTATAATAATTTTAGGTAAATTTAAAGATCAAAATAAAAAGAATTCAAAATTTCCATTCAAGTTTGATATCGAAATTAGAGGCACATAGGGGGGACTATACTTGTCACTTGAAAGCCTAATTTATATTGATTATTTCGAGATATTTTTAAATTATTTATTCTGGGCTCTCTCTAGGGTTTTATTTTTGTGAAATTTCTTTTACTTCTGAAATTTAATTTTGTGAAAAATATAAAAACCATTATTGGCAGATTGATTTACAAAGCTTCTTTATTTTGTTAAACTCCTTAGGCCAGAACATTTTTTTTACTCTAGTTTTTATATCGAGCACACTTCATTTAGTTCAAGTGGAACAAAAACATTAACCATCTCCATATGGTTCTCTTCTGGAAAATTTTACATAGTATAAGTTGTACCTTGAATTTAATCATAAGTAAGGGATGTTATTATTTAGTGAGACCTTTTGTAATAGTAACATTTTTATTCATTTTTTGTAATACTTAACATTTCGAGAATTTCCTCCAGTAAAAGGCTATCCACTTTTCCTTTTTAAAAACTGGAACATAAGTTTAAAGGTCCACATGAGATCAAAAGTAGTTTTCACATCTTCTGAAAAATAAAATCTACTTCAACAGAAAAGAAAACTGCCGAGTTGGTCGGACGACGGTATGAAAATATCAAGATCGCTGAGAAAATCAAAAATTCCGGCACTTTCGGCTGTGAATCACCTATAAAAAGGAGAATTTTTTCGGTGATTTTATACAGGCACTAGATGCAGGGTAAGTAATTTTTTTGTGGAATTCTGTGTTACTCAAGATCATTGATTCACAATTTTCCAAGAATCAAAACTAATCCATCGAAATTTTCACTGCCATCTAAAATTTAAACTTAGAAACTTTTTCACTAAATCACATTAGCAGGATGTTTTTGTACATGTGATTCTTCTGCCAGTTTGATAATTTTCTTTTAATTTGCTAGATTTTCAAAGTTTTTAATATTGTTAGCAATGTTGGAATCCACTAATATTGTGATTCATATTCTCATGGTTTTAATGTCAAACATTGATTTTCGTATTTACCTGGTTTATAAGTTACAAATTGTGAATCGTATTCACAAGATTTAAATATCAAACATAACGATTCTATTCATGTGATTTAAAAATTCAACATCGTAATTTGTATTTGCACACTTTTGAAATCAATATCGTTATTCGCATTTACACGAGTTTAATATCCAATGTCGTAATATGAAAATTCAATATCACAATTTGAGTTTTCATGTTCCTAAAATCCGATATCGCGTTTCTTGTAAGAACTAAATTTTTTCTTAAAATAGTTACTATAATAAAAAAAATAAAAGTGTGATATACATCATTAGTAGGTAATTTAATTATAAATCTTTGTTCAAAAAATCATATTAAAAATGCGATTTAAATCAATTAATAACTTGTTATTGAATTTATGTATATAAAATTTTCAGGGTTTTTCTGTCTCCCTGACAGACCCATGTAAATTATATCTTAATAAATTTTTAAGGGAAAGTGAAAAACCCAACACAAAGAATTGTTTAATATTTACAGATAAGCCTTCTGGTAAATAATCTGATTGAAAGACTATAAACTAGATTATTAGCTTTCGATTACTCTTAAATTTTACAATTCCGGACCGCAAGTTAAATGGCTTTTTAGGCCACTTTTGACTCGAAGACCATAGGTTGTGTTGTTTTCATCAACCTTTTCATTGTTAGTGTAGTTTAATTTGATATGATTTCCATGTATGCTATAAAAAAAGTAAGCTCTGTTATCTGTACAAGAAAACTATATATAGTGTAAATAGAATCCAGAGAAACCCATATAAAGCAGATGAATTTGCTAATTATTTATGTATATAAAAGTGTAAGAGTTCCACTATCTGGGGGTTTAGTGCTAATGAATTATAAAAAAAAATTTTTTTTGAACTTTTATGACAGAAAGACTTATATAATGGTCATTTTGAAATAAAATAATATACAGTACTTTTTTTTTGTCTTCAGATTATTTTGGAAACAATGTTACCTTTATACTCCAAATATTTGAACTAGGTCCAATCCTAGTTATTTTAGAAAATAACTAGGATTGGATTTAGTTACTCCTCCTAGTTATTTTAGAAAATACAGGTGTTGCAGTATATTGCTAACTCTTAAAGAGTCAAAAAGCTTAGTATAGTATAGTTTTTCTTTTATTTTCTGTTACTTCTTTTTTGGTTTGTAATACTGTTATAAATTTGTATAATTTTTAACATTTCTTAAATATTAAAAAGGATATCTCTGTGAAGGTATTATAGCTATCACACATTATAAATTCAAGTTTGAAGAAAATCAATTAAATACAGCTGAATTTAGTAGCCAAATCAAGAGAAAGATTGTAAATGTCAATCGTAATCATAATTAAAAAAGGAATTTATAAAGTGTCCTTTAATTGATTTTAATACTCAGCTTAAAACAGTCAAATTGCCAAGTGCATTTTTTTTGTTCGATCTACTAATTGTAATCAGAAAACTACTTAAAAAAAAAGAAAAAGACCAAAATTTTCTGACTCTGTTTTTCTAATTATAACGGAAAAAGAAAATTGCTCACTGCTGCTCTTAGTGAGTTTTTATTGCTTCAATTTTTTTATCAACTTCAATATCTAATGTCTATGATATGAAGATACTTGTAGTAAGTAAAATCATGATAATTCATAATATTTGATACTACAAATCATAATTGTTATATTGAACAGAGCTTTCAAAAAAGGCAAGTTAACTGTTTTTTTTTTCCTTCATGATGTCATTTTTCTTTTACAATTTCAGATTTGTTCAGTGACTGAATTCTCATTCCAAGAAACTTAGTGGCCAATCAAATTTTGATGTTAAAAACAAAGTTTATTAATTAACATTTTATAAAGATTATCGAATTGGAGAATTCTAGAACTAAGTTTTGAAAAGAACACAGTAGTTTTATAGAATTAGGAAAGTTTTGAGGTAACAAATAAAAACAAATTCTTAATAAGTTAAATATCTACAGTATCATCTAATTGATATTAAATAGATATTTTTATCAGAGAATTATTTCATTCTTAATGAATCCTCCTTTTATATTCATTCAAAATTATAACAGTTTTAAGAATTAAGATTGCTTGAGATTTATTTATTAACAGTATTTATTTCTGTGCACATAAAACATTAAATTGATTCCCTTACTCTATTATTTGTTTTTGTTTAAAAGAGGAGAGCCTTTTTTATATTAGTATCTAACATATAACAAAAAGTTCATTCAAAATATTATATATAATCTAAGGGCTATAAAGCTTTTAAAAAATAAAATGGTTTCACTTTAAGTGTAACTTTTTCCTAAACTATATTGCACCTGTCGCTATTTACCATAATAAAACAAGAAAAGTGCCACTGA